GGTATCAGTTCTCCTGAAAGAACTAGAATACAAAGTGAAAAGCTCAAGTAAAGGTAGGTTGGAGGTTATGCGGCCAAAGTCCAAAAGCAAATCCGAACTTCCAAGTAAAAACACCGAAACAAACCATTCCGGATCGGTCCAATTGAAGTTTTACAATCATGATTAATTACAGTGCGACCGGAAAAACCATGAACACTTGAAATATCTCAGGAATGTTTATTGTGTTATGACCAATCACAGCAAAGATCAAGACATGCGAACTGGCCACAAAACCACAAACTAATTAACGTTCTTGCTTGCGGTTAAGTTTTCTCAAGCCTGATTTGCTTTTTTCTTGCAACACAGTAACATTCCAGAAATAGTTCTGGTGTTCACGGTTTTCCCGGTTTGACTGTAATACAGTCTATCATTTATTAGTGAAGAATAATAAGGGGGTGGGGAGGGGGGTTTAAAAGAGGGGGGAGGGGCTTATTAACTTTCTTCCCCTGAAAAGGGGGGCGTATTAGAGGGAGTGGACTCATCTCCAGGCTACACTAGGTACATTTGAAACCAAGATGGCCGCCTGTAAGGCTCGACTATCTCACGGAAAAACTGGAGACTGTGGACAGTCGAAAAAGTTAAATTAAAAACCAGACATGACATACCCAAAACTCCCACAGTGTAAACGATTCAAGACGTTTAAAATACTGGGAAGTTTGTTAGACAATACCTTAACATCGTCATACTTACTAGCCCAAAAATTTAAAATTCCTTGCTCAACTTTTATTCATTTGAGTACAGTGTACAGTTATTGATAATATGTAAAATATGTATTTAAGTAGTTATAAATTATTTATAAAATATTAAATATGTTTTCGATCTTGTATTATCTTTTCTTTTATTACCTAAAGAAGTGAATCCACAGGTTAATAAATGCCGGCTCAATTCTTGGGTTAAAGCGTCAGCATTTATAACGTATTACAGTCTCATTTTCAAGAGTTGACCGAAAAAAAAAACTGAAAAGAAAGGAATGGAAAAAACAAACAATAAAACAGTTAAAATATTAGCCGAACCGCGAATGTTATTAAAACCTGGAACGGGAAAATGAAAAATGAGATAGATACAGTGGGTTTTATTGAGTTACTTTGCAGACTTAACTAAATTGCGCAACGTTTAATACAAATCTAAAAATATCTTTAAGCTAAGAAAAAAGAGAAATGAAATACGTTACTAATCTCTACGTTATGATTAAAAATTTTAAAATGTAAACTGCACGTCATGAATACATTGCCATAGAGCTGCTCTTGTTGAATGGGAACCAAACCTGGGGTTCATTTTCAATTCGCTGTTTTATTCCCATTATTTATTTTCCCGTTAGTGGTAGTTTTCCGTCCGGGGCGGTGGAGTCACAGTTATATGTATTTCCCCGTGATATGTGTTGCTCCGAACACATATCTCATTGGCTAAGAGCCACATGTTAGTCAGTTATCCGCTAGCAGATAGCTGAGTAATCTGTTCGTTGGGCGCGCAATGCATGAATGTCAAGAGCACTGGTACGTGTTATCAGCCTCGGCCTTTGGCTCGGCTGATAACACTTACCTCGAGCTTGATTATTCCGGATATCACAAAAACCTCATCCAATAATTGTTTAGTGCTTTCTGTTTCCCGTGCAGGGAAACAAAACACTCTCTGATTAAAGGCGTAACGTTAAAAGCGCCATTGGCGCAACAATTACGGCTTAAAACAAATGAAATTTTTTTTAAAAGGGCAAATACAAAGGAAGAGACGGCCGTGGAAAACCAAAAGAATATTAAAACGGATTGCAAATGTGGTTAATTTACAAACTCTAATAGTTTTTCATAGCTTATGTTTTTTTCTTTTTACCTTTACATTGGTTTGTCACGACACGCTGTGATGAAGTCATTTAAAAGTTATTGTGACGCTGAAGTTATTCTCGAAGTCTCTGAGCCTGAAGATTCATTTGGTATCATGCTGTCTGATTGATTTTTTTTTTCTGCCAATTATTAATAATTGAAAGAATCACCTTTTCACTGGCTGAGGGCGTGAAGATTTTCTCAATAGCCCGTTTTCACCATGACTACAACTCCAGAATCAATTTCGATTTCTCTTATGTACATTTGATAATTCCAATAAGGTTTTAAGTGAACAAAAGCGCCGTACATTACACAAGAAGACAAAGACAACAAATCCTGTAGATATCTGGTGGGCGTGTAGCATTTTCGTGTAAATGGCATTGGCTATTGATGATCGAATAACTGAAAAAAGGCATGTGCAATTGCTATAAAAATCCGTTCCTTGAATCAGAATGGGCTCTTCGCATCTTGTCATCAGTTACCTGGTACAAAAGATCATACTAGAGAGCCATCAACATAGTAAAATCTTTAAAATGCTAATTTTCTTTTACTGAGTCAAGGTGCTACTGTTTTGTTTACACTCCACAAGCATGGCATGCTCTATTGTCTATACTAAGCTTCGGTAATGCGCTGCTTCAGTCGGTGCCGACTGACAACATGGCACCGCTTTTAACTTCGAGAAAGACAAGGTCTTAAAAACAATCGCTCCCAAGAGTGTCCACGATCAGTTATGAGACGTTTTCATTTATAGCAGTTTCCCACAATGTATGCTTTGACTGTGAAAATTGTGGTGTTTTGAGTAATTGGCCACTTATGAGAGGTGGTTGTTAAAAAGTAGTTCGACCCTATCGCCTCCACCTTCAGTTATAGACCTCTACCTACACCAGTTCCGAATAGACCTTGTTCACGATCCCCGCCATCTTTGCACGCGCTTTAGGATTGATGGGATAAAAGCAATATCACGTGGTATTTCAGGGGGAAAACGAGTGGTGAAATTTGCCAATACGGTCGCAAACGAGTTTGTGTACTCTTTCAAAACGATACGACAATTTTAGACTTGCAAAATGTACAGTTCGAGTTTCGATAGGTGTTACGTCAATATTTATTGCTTGCTATGAGGACATCTTCGTTCACTACCTGCATTCTAAAACAAGAGAGGATAAAGGGGACAGAGAAGGCATCTCCCATACATACCCTATTCCATAGGTAATTCGTCTCGAGTTATTTTTAGAATCGGGATAAAGTTACCTCGCGCGCTGCCTCAATTCGTGAAGGACGCATGACTCAGAGCGTGGGTCATCCACGCGGAACACATTCGCGCTATATGATTGGCTGTTGTCTAATCCCCCTTGGGATCTGTGGTCTTAAACATAACTCGAGACGAATTACCTATGGAATAGGGTTTGTACGGAGGATGCCTTCTCTGTCCCCTTTATTCTCTCTTGTTCTAAAATTAATTGACCAATATCGTCTTTAAGGTAAAAAGTTCTTCTTTCCTGTTGTCTAGAATAAACAATCTCGCAATTTGTTGTATTGGCAGGTATTATCACTTGTTTGAGAAAACACGTAATATTGCTTTTATTCCTCAATCTTAATCATTTGTGTTCTAGTTCTCTTTGCACGCATACCAGATTTACCACAAGAAAGTTGGCTAATTTGCTAATAATGCGATTTGAGGTGTCAACAATTCAAAATGGTTGAAGTACGACTGGATTTTTCAGGGGAAATACCTCCTACGCCATAAGCGATGATTTGGAAAAATGACCACTACAGCTGTATAAGATATGAAAAAAGCAATTGTTTTGACTTTTATATCGTTGGCATTGGAGTTGTCATAGCAACGAAATGAATTCATTACCTATTTTACTGACAGCCATATCGACACTGGAGAGTTTCCTTTTTACCAAAATCGTTCACGGAAGGTTATTCCTCCAATAGCTGCTCGATGATCGTGACGTTTGAGCAAACTGAGAACGTGTTCGATATATTTTGGTATGAAGTTTTTTAGTTAAAAATTTAGTGAATACTGGACAATCTTATTGTTCAGCCGCTATCAAGGGAAGGGATGGCGCAGTGGTGAGAGCGCTCGCCGTCCACCAATGTTGCCAGGGGTTCAAATCCCGGCGTCGACGCCAAATGTGGGTTGAGTTTGTTGTTGGTTCTCTCCTTTGCTCCGAGAGGTACTCCGGTTTTCCCCTCTCCTAAAAAAAACCAACATTTCCAAATTCTAATTCGACCAGGAATCAGGTAGACGAAGGACCACTTTGTGGATGCGCCACCTCCAAATCATTATTCATTAATTATTTATTTATTTATCTACAGAAAACAAAACGCCTATGAAATGCAATTTCACCTTATAGTAGTTTCATTTTCTTTAAAACCGTATATGAAAAGATCATGGAAATAGTTTTAGCCGATTTCTAAAGAGGAATTTGATTATAATGCTTTCAGATGCTGTCATGGCGTTTTTGTATATGTTTACTGCGCGATAGAAAAGAAATAAGAGGTATTTGCTCCAAATTTCTTATATTTTCTTAGGCAATAGTAGGTAATATTTCTGTATAATTCAAGTGCATTGTTAGTTACCGCTGTTCTCGTGAGCTGTCACTAATATATTTTACCAAAAAAACCCTTCCACAGAATTTACACAACAAAACGATAAAGAAAAATAAAATGGAAAGGAAAAAAACCTTCCACCCGCTTTGTGAAACTGATCTTTTTCGTCGAGAAGGTTCGCTATTGCTATTAAAATAAGTTTTGTCGGTAAAATGGATCCCTCTGTGGTGTTTTTTGCGTCATTGTAGTTGATCCGGGTAATATTAAGGTATAACAGTATTTCAAGAGTCTTCTTGTTGACTTGGTTGTTAAAGCAAAAATTTTGCCGAAAAAGCTATTATATGGTAGCGAGTACAGAAAACTCTTGAAAGAATGATAAAGTTGATGATGTGTCGTACCATAAACGCGCGAGCAATAATTTTCACCCCATATTTTTTGAGAAGGCAACTGGCAACTTACATGTATTTACCCTGCAAGGGTTTCCTTGCGTCATATATTTAATACCAGGGAAGTATCGCTCACTCGCTTGCCAGCTGGTTGGATCGCGATAGATTTTAAACAGCAAGACAGTAACTTAAGATCGCCTCAGAGATGTGGAAGTGTCGTTTTGAAAGGGCAGTCTATACCGGTCAACAGCATTTTGAGATTACCTTGGCGAGAAACGAAAAAGATGTCCCCGTGGAGGTTAGCAACGAAAACTGCTTGTCGAATGAGAAAGCAAAGAATGGTATGGAACAAACATTATCCAGTGCTCGCACGAAATATGAATACTGTGTCTTGACTGCTTATGGCGTTTTACCTACCGTCGCAAAAGGAATCGATGGTGTTTTTTGTGCTAAAAAAGAAACAAAAGACCACCAAAAGGAAGCAAGGAAGGAGGAACCAGCAGTTGGTGTGTTCATGAGCCGAGGACGCTCTGATTTCAGTGATAAACAGTATAAATATGCTGTTTTAAAAGCCTACGGATTTTTTTCCCGCTCTAAGGGAGAATAAATGGTAAATTTCTTCCGCTTTATCCGAAACTGTATATTTTTTTTAACGTTTGGCCTGCACTCAGAGGCAGCCCAAGCTTAGTATAAGAGTTTAATCATAAATAGGTGCGGTGGTCTGGTATTGCGTAATCCTCAAATGACCGTGAAAATAAAGGATTGGTATGGAAATAAGGTAAAGAATTCAAGAAGACAAATACTTGCCGGATTTTCAATAAAATGCACTCCATCTAATTTACTTTGTTTGTTCTTGCTTGCCGTGTGGGTATTTTCCCGATCCGGTGCTATTTAACTTAAGCATAAACTGCTAGGTTGCCTGTTCAGCTCTGCACAGCTGAAGCGGTTATTTACCATTTAATTTTCACCACAGGTATCCCAAACTCACGCGTGAGAATCGTTGCGTGTCCGTATGGGGATTTAAGCGTTCGTTATTTAGGGGTCAAAAATAGTGATAAAGATACTTCAGAATTTCTTACCTTGTATCCTTGTTTAACTTTATTGTGTTTTCTTAGCATTTTTGGCCGTTTCAGGGCGATTCCAGCGAGTTTTAGTTCTGCCGTAATAACGATCGCTTAAGTCCCCATACAAGCCCTTATAATATTTCTGGTACGCAACGATTCTTACTCTTGAGCTTGGGGTACCTGTGTTTTCACATGGACCATGATGCACCTTGTTTACCCTCCCCCGCCTCCCTGAAAAAAAAAAAAGAAAAAAATTGCATAACCATAAACGAATCTTAACCATTGACTGTAATACCCAGAAGAAATTGGAAACAATGGTTAAGCAAAATTTTGGGTCTTAAACAAATGCATTATGGCCTAATTGAAAATGGTGAATTGATTGGAAGCAAGGCTGCTAGCAATGTACCATAGACTGGGTGAGTTATTGCCTACATCTTTCAAATAATTATGGGGCTCTTTCATTCAACGAAAACGTTCGAAAATTTGGGAACAGCGGAAGATGGTGCAGAAATTTCCCGGAAAAAAATACCGAATTTCTGAAATGCGCACCATTCAACCGAAAATTCTAGAAATTCCGGGAGCAAAGTTGAATGGAAAGAAAACTTCTGGTACAAAATTTTCGAACATTTGTGTATACCTCGCGAGGTTGTCCTCTCTTGGAATTTTTGGAAAATGCTGTTCCATTCGCTACTGGAAGTAACCGAAATTTTAAAGCGGCATTTTGATGAATGGAAAACGCCTGTGGTGAGCGCCAACTGGATATGAAGAATTAGCCGGGACTGGAGCCAATCAGAAACGTCGAAATATTTTGAATGAATAATAAATGATGTCACTTTAAGACACTTCCCGTGAGCTTACACGTGCGATTTCTGTGTTGCTATCGGCTTGCTACGTAGAGCCAGCGGTCTTTTCGCAGCGAGCGAACTTCTCTTAAACTACCACCCACAGTGCAAACAGGATACCTGACCTAGTTATTTACATGTTAGGGAGTGCAGAAAGCACTTAAAATTATGAAGTTATTGAGTAAAAGCCAAACTTTTTTTTGGATGAACGTGCGAGCTGTAATTTATCGCCCCATATTTTGTGTGGAGAAGAGCCGACACCTGTGTCTTGCCTGGGTTTCCTTGTGACATTACATAACGAAAGTTATTGTCTCTCACTGGCTCGTTGGTTGGATAAATATCGAGAAAATTTTCAGTAACGATACAGTTAGATCATCTTGAGCAAAGTCAACTAACTTCCAAGCTATTGAAATGGCAATTTCAAAGGGCACAGTTTGTTACGATCCACAGCTTTTTGAGATTACCTTATCAAGAAACGAAAAAGATATCTCAGTGGAGAACAAGGAAGACCCCTTGGCGAAAAAGGAAGCAAATTGTGGCATGGAAGGACCATCATCCAGTGCTCGCGCGAAATATGAACACTGTGTCTTGGCTGCTTATGGCGTTTTACCTGCGATCATCAAGGGGATCAATTGTGTTTATGGTGCTAAGAGAGAAATGAACGGCAATTTAAAGGAAGCAAGGAAAGAGGAACCGTCTGTTGGTATTTTCATGAGCCGAGGCAGGCACCCTGAAATCAGTGATAGACATTATGAATATGCCGTTTTAAAAGCGTATGGAATTGTTTCCTTCTGAGGGAGTTTAAATGCTGAATTCGTTTGCCTTCATTCGCAAGTGTAACTTTTTTAAACTCATCGCATTTTTAAATGGACAGTGTGTATGTGACGGTTAGAACCATAAGTATACAAAGTATGTTCATTCTTTTCCTATGGACTTATCGGATAAATCGTTTTTATATCTGTTCCTTTTCTTTCTGAGTGCATGTTAAACTGATTTCACAATTGAATTTTATTAATTGAGAACACTGGAAGTGAATTTCTGGCAATTGAAATTTTCGCGTTTTTTTTATTCTGTTTATTACATTGTTTTATTTTTTTTCTAGCTTGCGAGCGGGCGGAATCCTCCAAATCATGCAATCTGATTGGTTCCGAGAGCGGGCGGTTTTTTTATGATCTTTGTTTTTTGTGAATAACCAAAAAAAGCTATTTTTAAACCATTTTGTTTTTAAAAACTTGCGCTGTTATTAGCATTGGCAAGGGTTGTTTGACGCTCAGATTATGATATTTAAAAAACCTTTCTTTATACTAAAGGAGAGCTTAATTGTGTTACTATATATTACAAGCTAAAAATCGTGTTGTAATGTTTTGCTTTGGTTTGCAATCTTCAACGTGCCCCGGTTCGAGTAGTCGCACTGTAACAGCCCATATTTATTGGTTAATTTGCTATTGCAAATCTCAAACTGTCCGATTTGACCTGTCCGATAACTAAGAGCTTCCCGGCCAATCAGACAGTTAAACAGCCAATTAAAATCCAGGACAAAATTGACTAGCCAATACACACTTAATGTCAGATCCCGAGTCAAACAGGTAGCTTTGTTTTCCCGAGAGTTCTGATGTTTCCCAAGACGAAGTCGAGGGAAACATCAGGACTCGAGGGAGAACAAAACTAACTGGTTTCCCGAGGGACCTGACATTAAGTGGTTTGTTATATTTCCAGACTTCTAATTCAACGTACTTCAACAGCAACAAAAGAATACGCTTTAGCGGAGCGAATCAAAACACTCGACTCGGTACTTATAAGAACACAAATTTAATTCTCAAAACTGCTGAATGAATTATTTACAAAGTACTTTCGTTATATTATCTGCATCTTTTTCCTCCACTGGCTGCTATTTCTCTTCTGGGATAATTTTGAAAATCGTTGCTTTTTAGCTTGAGACTTCATGTTTGTGTTGTTGTGTTCAACAGTGATTCACGAAAAACAAAACTGGCAGTGTTTTTCCCGCCTTCTGTCATGCCGCTTTCCACCATGCCTTGATCACGTGCTGTAATGTAGCCCAAGCGGGGTACATTGTTTAATAGAGGATGTTAGCATCGACAACGAGTACGAGTTCTAGAACGAGATCAGCGATTTTGCTTACTGCGCATCCGTTCTGCGCATCTCCACGTTTTCAAGTCGTCCTGTCAAGTTGCACTACGACGAGTTCTGACCAAAAACTCGAAGTGGGTAGAACGACTTGGAAGAGCTGGTTTTCAAAGGTAAATTCCGATCGTTTAATGCAGTTTCTTTTCGTTTCTTGCCTCTCTTTATCATCTTGAACCTTCCTTATACCATGTTTTATGTAAAATACTGCTTTTGAAGTCGAGAAAAAGCAACCGAACGCGATATTTCCTACACAGAGTAAATTTGCATTTACCCGGGAAAGTTTCATGTCTCTCCACAGGCCTCACAGGCTCACGAAATAACTCCTAAAATTGCCATTATTTGGTCGAAAATATCCCAACAGTCGAAGATATCAATAAAGAACACTTACTTCTTTATCCAGTGTGGTTGTTGTGTTGAATTTGATGGGTTTTAACGTGTTTTAAGACCGCGACTAACCATCCTTCGAGTTACCTCGAAAAATCGGTTTTAACCTTGGTTAAATTTTTAAGAGTCATTTTTTGTTTTCGAAATTGTTGTGGAAGCGCTACCTCGACTCAAATTTGGCGCCCAGTCATGCGGAATCCCATAATTTTATTGTCTATAAACTCGAACTCGGTGTCATCGCTAACATAGAAAGCTGAGAAAACGACTTCGAGTACGAGTACGGCTTGAAGTCGTTCTCTTACTCGTACTCGTTGTTGATGCTAACATCCTCTAATGTATCACGATCGGGATACATTTGATTTTAGTCAAGGCCATGTGACCAAGAATCAGCCAATGTACGAATATTGTTGGGAGAAAATTGATGTTGGTCACTCTTGGGACTTAAGGTTAAAACGTCGCCGTTATCAGTGACTACAGTGCTAGTATCTACTATCTCGTGTTATTGGTGGTTCGAATCCGGCATACGAATCCGCAACTTTTTGAATCCGCTCTCCAGAGTGGAAATTTTTGAATACGCTATGAATCCGGAATCGTATGAACGCTAAATCCGGATATTTTTTTAATCCGGTGACGTAACAAGATCAAGCCCAGTTCTTTACCGTGAATACTGTATTCAAGATAGCAACCTCGACTCATAAATGTGACTGATGTGGGCATAAGATAAACCTAACTCCCGAGCGAAATTTACTCGTCTCGTGTTTATTTATTTTTTTTAAAATTTATCATTTCCCCAAACCGTGAACCGACTGATTTGCCAATGTGAATGTTAAACAACTAACAGTTAAGTTTTTGTTTAAGTTTTTACCTGCTCAACTAACGAGTAATACATGTGTTGCAAAACCTCGCGTATGACAGGTAAATCGCCAGCAGATAAAAACACGAATTTTAATAAATCTTTCTTGATTAAAAAAGTCGTTCTACGGTATTTTTTGTAACGAGGGTGGCAATTTGTAACAACTTCCTAACGCAAATTGTAATAATTCTATTTTTGCTCATTTCATAACATCTTTTACGACAAGATTTTAGAAATGTAAAACAATTTGCAGCTGGGCATTGTTACAAATGTTCTATGGTTTCCTTGAGACCGCCTTGACATTAATTTAGTAACATTATTTCTTGTTCTTTCAATTGTTTGTATGTTGTTCTTGCGTCCGGACGTTGTTAAAAATTTCGTAGATCGACCATTATTTCCAAATGCTGTTACCCTGATGCCTAAGTTGTCGCAAAAAGCGTAAGTTATTACAAAATGCGTCGTTATTAAAAAATAAAAAATGCCGAAGAACAAGCTTCCTTTTTTTGTTACTGAAAAGAGTAAATGCTTTAGAGGTGGAACGATAGCAGAGAATAACTGATCTTTCATACTTCCGCAAGAGTGCATTTTCAAACAAAAACAAGTGCGTAGCTCATGGTTTGTTCTTTATAAATTGTTAAGTTAATATATATTTTTCTTCTCTTTTCAGTTAAAAAAGGAACTTGAGGCGTTTGACCCTGCCTTTTTTGAAGAAATTTTTACAATCATGATTAATTACAGTGCGACCGGAAAAACCATGAACACTTGAAATATCTCAGGAATGTTTATTGTGTTATGACCAATCACAGCAAAGATCAAGACATGCGAACTGGCCACAAAACCACAAAAAAAAAAAAAAAAAAAAAAAAAATAAAAAAAAAAATTTTGGTTTTTTTCGGGGTGCCGTGTTGTGTTCATGGGGCCCCCGCGGGGGGGGGGGGGGGGGGGGGGGGGGCGTAACCATTTCAAACACATTTGAAGGAGGGCTAAATAGATAAGGGGGCGTATTTGAGAAGGAGGCTTATTTGATTTGGCAAAGACTGTGGTATCAGTCCTCCTAAAGAACTAGAATCCAAAGTGAAAAGCTCAAGTAAAGGAAGGTTGGAGGTCATGCAGCCAAAGTCCAAAAGCAAATCCGAACTTCCAACATGTGAACAAACCATCCCGGATCGGTCCAATTGAAGTTTTACAATCATGATTAATTACAGTGCGAACGGAAAAACCGTGAACACTTGAAATATCTCAGGAATGTTTATTGTGTTATGACCAATCACAGCAAAGATCAAGACACGCGAACTGGCCACAAAACCACAAATTAACTAACGTTCTTGCTTGCGGTTAAGTTTTCTCACGCCTGATTGGCTTTTTTCTTGCAACACAATAACATTCCAGAAATAGTTCTGGTGTTCAGGGTTTTCCTGTTTGACTGTAATACAGTCTATCATTTATTGGTGAAGAATAATAAGGGGGTGGGGAGGGGGTTTAAAAGAGGAGGGGGCTTATTAACTTTCTTCCCCTGAAAAGGGGGGCGTCTTAGAGGGAGTGGACTCATTTCCAGGCTACAGTCGGTACATTTGAACCAAGATTGCCGCCTGTAAGGCTCGACTATCTCACGGAAAACTGGAGACTGTGGACAGTCAAAAAAATTAAATAAAAACCAGACATATGACATACCCAAAACTCCCAACGTGTCAACGAGTCAAGACGTTTAAAATACTGGGAAGTTTGTTAGACAATACCTAAACATCGTCATACTTACTAGCCCAAAAATTTAAAATTCTTTGCTCAAATTTTATTCATTTGCGTACAGTGTACAGTTATTTATAATATGTAAAATAATGTATTTTAAGTAGTTATAAATTATTTATAAAATGTGAAATAATATGTTTTCGATCTTGTATTAGCTTTTCTTTTATTACTTAGAGAAGTGAATCCACAGGTTAATAAATGCCGGCTCAATTTTTGGGTTAGAGCGTCAGCATTTATAACGTATTACGGTTTTAGTTTCAAGAGTTGACTGAAAAAAACAACAGAAAGGAAAGGAAAGGAAAAAACAAACAATAAAAAAGTAAACATATTAGCCGAACCGCGAATGTTATTAAAACCTGGAACGGGAAAATGAAAAATGAGATAGATACACTGGGTTTTATTGAGTTACTTTGCAGAATAAACTAAATTGCGCAACTTTTAATACAAATCTAAAAATATCTTTAAGCTAAGAAAAAAGAGAAAATGAAATACATTACTAATCTCTACGTTATGATGAAAAATTTTAAAATGTAAACTGCACGTCATGAATACATTGCCATAGAGCTGCTCTTGGGAACCAAACCTGAGGTTCATTTTCAATTCGCTGTTTTATTCCCATTATTCATTTTCCCGTTAGTGGTAGTTCACCGTCCGGGGCGGTGGTGTGATATGTGTGATATGTGTTGCTCCGAACACATATCTCATTGGCTAAGAGCCACGGGTTAGTCAGTTATCTGCTAGCAGATAACTGAGTAATCTGTTCGTTGGGCGCGCAATGCATGAATGTCAAGAGCACTGGTATGTATTATCAGCCTCGGCCTTTGGCTCGGCTGATAACACTTACCTCGAGCTTGATTATTCCGGATATCACAAAAACCTCATCCAATAATTGTTTAGTGCTTTCTGTTTCCCGTGCAGGGAAACATAAAACACTTTCTGATTAAAGGCGTAACGTTAAAAGCGCCATTGGCGCAACAATTACGGCTTAAAACAAATGAAGTTTTTTTTAAAAGGGCAAATACAAAGGAAGAGACGGCCGTGGAAAACCAAAAGAATATTAAAAGGGATTGCAAATGTGGTTAATTTACAAACTTTTTAATAGTTTTTCATAGCTTATGTTTTTTTCTTTTTACCTTTACATTGGTTTGTCACGACACGCTGTGATGAAGTCATTTAAAAGTTATTGTGACGCTGAAGCTATGTTCCATAGTGGTAGAGAAAACGGGAAAACCCAGGAAAAAATGCCTGAATTGGACTGTTATGACCAAAGCCTTATTCTCGAAGTCTCTGAGCCTGAAGATTCATTTGGTATCATGCTGTCTGATTGATTTTTTTTTCTGCCCATTATTAATAATTGAAAGAATCACCTTTTCACTGGCTGAGGGCGTGAAGATTTTATCAATAGTCCGTTTTCACCATGACTACAACTCCAGAATCAATTTGGATTTTTCTTATGTACATTTGATAATTACCGAATAAGGTTTTAAGTGAACAAAAAGCGCACATTACACAAGAAAAATTAAACAACAAATCCTGTAGATTTCTGGTGGGCGTGTAACATTTTCGTATAATGATGATCGAATAACTGAAAAAAGGCATGTGCAATTGCTATAAAAATTTGTTCGTTGAATCAGAATGGGGTATTCGCATCTCGTCATCAGTTACCTGGTACAAAAGATCATACTAGAGAGCCATCAACACAGTAAAATCTTTAAAATGCTAATTTTCTTTCACTGAGTCAAGGTCCCACTGTTTTGTTTACACTCCACAAGCATGGCATGCTCTATTGTCTATACTAAGCTTCGGTAATGCTCTGCTTCACTTCACTGTGACATATTTAAGCACTCCCCTTCCCTTATACTTTATAAGGGAACAAATTTGCCTCTCGATCTGGCATGTAGCTTTTTCATATGAATTCTTTTTGAGCTTTTGACATAAGGAAACCTCAAAAACTTCGGGAGGGAAAATATTTTGTACGCTAATTAGACAACTCGGCTATAGATTTTCCTTAAAAACCTTTTCCCAATTTAATCCATTGTTACGGTATTCGAAGTCATAATGAAACGATCTTAATAAAACATTAATGAATACCAGCTACCTGCGGCTAATCAAGAAAAAAAAAGTTTGATGATAAATTTTTGTTTCATTTGTAGCAAACAACAGAGGATGTTTGAGAATGAAAATGAATAAGACGTAGATGAAAAATTATACTTGAATTCGAGATAGTTCTGGTGGCCATAAAAATGACGTTGGTTTGATGATTCCTGCGATTTAGACCAGAGGTAAATGAGATCTTACTTTCCATAAAATATGTATACTATGAGTGGCTATCTAAAACATGTATGGGTAAAATCTTACGGGTTAATCGATTATGTGTGTAAGTGTAAAAGTGAGATACAGCACAGATATATATGTGGGTGTTAAAATTGCAATTGATACTTCAATTTCCACGAAACTGTAACTCATTCTTTATTCGTTCAGGTCCATGAGCTCCATTCTAGCGATGTTTCGCGACATTTTTTTTAAAATAGTGACAAAAAATCCTGATAATTTATAGCTATTATTGGCCGGATTAGGCCGAGTATATGATCTGTAGAATTATGGCGGATCGTGGAGGGAGTTATCCGCCTAGGCCGATTTTATTCGTGCGAAATAATTCCTAGTTTATAAAAAATAAAAATAACTTAAAACATGCTTACCTTGATGGATGTTAAGTTCCAGTCTTCAATTGCTTGTTTCTCGGCAAGCTCAGGATATAGAGTGATATGTTTAGCCTAGAAGATATTCTTTAAATAACAGATATCATCCGTTGAGCGCTATTTTGCTGTTCTTGCTGTACGTTTAGGCACTGCATTTTGTGCGAAACGTGTGAAATAGTCTGCCATTTCCGCTGCCCTACCAAACCAACGCCGCGTCGTCCCCAGGACTTCTCGAATGCCGTCCCTTTTTCTGGCCATTACCCTGTACTACTGACGTCATTTCTCGGATATCGAATGCATTTTCAAATTTGGTCAACACCAGCTGTAGCCTGAAATTCATCCGATTGCTTCGAGTCGTTTTCTGTTACTGAGGGAGTAATAACGACTCGAAGTAATTGGATGAAATTCACCCTACACCAGCTGGTTATATTTGCAGAAGAATTGGCCGAAACGGACAATTAATTTAAGTGAATAAAAAAAGGAGATATCTTCCAAATTTGGGCAGTTTTATTTCTTGGTCAACTTAAAAGTTTAAATATGACCTCTCATCCAAAGAAAAAAAATACGACTAAAGACCGAGTGAATATTGACGGAGAAATGCCGTTTTAACCGCGTCAGGACCAGTTCAGTCGGTAGAGCGCTTGACTGCAGAGCGTGAGGTCGCGGATGCTTTCTACGGGGCCGGATCAATACTCAGGGTCTTAAAATATCTGAATGAGAAGGTATAACCATAGCATTACAAACAAGGCCTTCGTTTGGCTTGGATGTAAATGGCCGTACCATCTCCAAAACGAGAGTGTCCTCTGATGACGGTTGAAGTTTTTACATTTTGACCTGACGTAAGAGTCCACTAATCGATGTTTCTTAAAAATGTTGCTTTCCGAAATGGAAGTTTTGGCTTGATAACGGCACTTAACTTAGAGATAAAAAGCGAGGAGAAATTGATCGATTGACCTCAAATTTGAAGCAGGGAACTTATTTCTCATTTTTTTTCTTTTTTAGCACCATAACCGTCAATTTGATATGGTTTCGACCGAAGCTTTATACTTAAATGCAAAAATTGCTGACCTCATTTTAATATAAACAAATTGGAAAGTGTTGTTTCAGCTGTTCAGGTTTTTTAATTGCTGCTGAGGTTTTTGGTTATTGAGAGATAATTACCATCAGAAAAACTTCAAGCGCTCTTCAAGTACGACTCAGATTGCTACCCCAGATCCGACTTGCGATTTCGACTTCTGTGTGTTCCACAATAATAATAATAATAATAATAATAATAATAATAATAATAATAATAATAATAATAATAATAATAATAATAATAATAATAATAGTAATAGTAATAATAATAATAATAATAGTAATAATAATAATAATAATAATAATAATAATAATGTTTATAGAGGAAACTCCCATCACATAAAGTGTTTTTCAGGGAGGTCATCTGACTAAGATAAAATAATGTTAAAACTACTAATAACAATCAAATCTAAAAAACTAGTGGTTATAAAGTTAAAAGGCTAAAAAGGCTAGGTGACTAAAAAAGGCAAAAAAAAGTAATAAAAATACAATCAGACTAAAAGATTTAACTATCGAAAAAACAAAGGCTAACGACTAAAAAGGATAAAATGAAAATTTACAAAACTACAATATTTGGCTCTTAAAAACGTTTTCAGGTCCAGTTTAAAAATTTTGCAAGGCATAGGTTTCCATACTTTTTTTCGAAAAAGTCTGACGCGATCTGTGATGTTTGAAGGCAAGTGAAAGGAGATTAAAATGGTGCTTTGCTAGTTTTTACTGAGCAGTCCTAGTTTCACCACGAACGCCACACATCCGGATTGAGAACACTAGGGTAGCCTGTTCCAGGCACCGAGATAGTCGGGTTCGAGGGGATTGAGAAACAATTCGAAGCGCGAACATGAAAATAAAACGAGAGGAAACTTTCCGCGTACTTTTCACTTTCGCGTCTTCCGCACTTTCTGAGAGCCTGGAACAGGGTAATTCTAGGGATTAATTTCAGTTGGCCTGTTTCCAGTTGAGTTGGCTTGCTGGCCCATTTGTTAGAGTGCTGCACCGTTATATCGCAGAGGTCGGTGTTCAAATCCCTGCAAGCCTGAATTTTTCATGCTTTCTTTTCGAAACTGCATGAACTGAGTTAAAGCGTCTTTAACTACGATGATCTTCTTTACATTTATTTCTTCATTCCGCGATCCAATATATGAATGAAATTAATATGTTCCTCATTTTACTTGTATTATAATGAAAGCAAAAACCTTTCATTATTTAATACTTCACGTCTAAATGCATTCTGTCCAAAATCTCGAAAAGCTAAATCTTTCTAATTTTACTTTAATTAGAGTTCAGCGAATTTTATAACAGTTGTTTCAGGAAATCTCGAAGGCATTTAAGTCAAGAAGGACAAAATTTGTTCATTAAACATCAGTATTTTTCTGGCAAACGTTAAAACTCCGCTTGTGTTGAGTCACTAAAAGTTTTGTCTCATCATTTTTTAATAAAATCTCAGAGTGCTTTCATGGAATGGAGCCGTAAACTTGCACACAAAACTTGATCCCGTTTTACCAATTTTGCACTGAGGTTTGTAGCATCCCCGTAAAGCACGATCTACCAAATAAAAAGCAATTCTAGCCCGGCTGCATTGCAGACACTCTATATCGCTTGTATTTATAATCTAGACGATGCGTCTGCTTTCTGCTGGACGGAAACTTCCATCTTTCCTTCACATTGGAGTTTTCGTAAAATTTAAACTCAGTTGTCCGTGAATTTTTAAGTTGTGACCTGTAAGTAAAAAAAATTTGCCTTATGAATATGAATTCATTCAAGGAAGGTGTTCCGATTCCGGCGCAACCTGTTAACATTCAGCGGATGTTAATTCAGAATTAAAAAGAGGAAATCCTTTTTGGCACTCAATCGTCTGGAGTGCTTACTGATTAAAAAAAAAACAATAACATAAATGTTTACTTACACATGTAGCTGAGGATCTTCAAGTCGAAACGAAAGAAGAGAAAAACACAGACTTGAACTCAAACGGGGGTAAGTTTCCTTCGATAATACAGGGATTTGGATCTAAAATACTGCAGTTCAGGCTGTGAACTATCGATAAGCCTCCGTCGCGGCGTCCTTTTAACGATATTCAGAACATTCAGAAGGGACAACTTATTCATATGCAATATACTTATGATTCATATATTTCACTCACATACTCTATGGTTGTTTAAACAACAGACAGTTGTACTCTATAAAAACCGCTCGCGTAATGGGTCTTAAACGGCAAGAAAAAGAATTAATTGCTCAATGGAGAACTTTAATAAGAGACATCACTCTGTCTCAACTGAATATTTGGAAAATCGGAGGTGATTTAAAAACAAAACAAAAGGAAATGAAGAGATATGTCTTTTACAATGCTATAACGTTGAAACAAGTAGCCCCAAAAGGTTTCTGGCGCCTTTATTTCTATCTTTTTTTTGTTTTCCTTTCCTCGTTTTCCCTCCATTTCTGTATGCCAGGGAAAGAGTCTCAAATCGGGGCTCTCAAAATTTTTGCTACGAATCCGGTAACAGAAGCGGCCTGTAAGGTGTCCTCGTACATAAAGTAAATTTTAGATCAGCGTTGGCAATAAACTTTATTAAAACTAAGTGTAGCCAAGAGGACCAGTGTTAATGCTATCGATTTGCGAGGGATATTTTGAATTTTAAGTAGGCTGTCGGCTGGTGCAACCCAGTTGGAACCCACATTGAAAGATAAAACGTCGCTCCAGTTGACCGCCTATTTAAAATTCAAAATGACCACCAAGAAAAATTGATAAACTTAGGGTGATTTCAAAAAAATGTGAAGAGGCTGAAAGACCTCAAAGGTAATAACAAATCGTAAAGTTACGGTAAAACGGGCGACCAAATGTGCGATTTGTTTTGTAACATTGCCGCAAAACGAGATGGAAAGTGATGTTGCTTGTTTTACAGCGCGTAGCGTGGGGGTCACACTCGTAACACACTTTTCAGCAGTGTTGCCAACAAGCTGTACCTTCTTGTTGCCCGTTTTATCGTAGCTTTAAGATTTACGATAGGTTTACAAAAGCAAACAGCAAATTTTCTTTGCCCGGCCAAAAACCACTTTTGATATATCACATGGTACGAAATTCTTGAAAAAACTTTTCGAGACGTTTGGTAACTATTAGGGTGAATGATAATACAAGAATTATAATAACAAAGAAACGTAACAGCCAGAGCGAGCCTTTACAGCTTGTTTGTTACACGATACAAATCTACCGTTCGGCGGAAAGCGACCTAAAAACAGGAAGGACATGCTGGTGTTAGAAGCGGTCTACTCACCTTCGAAGTTTTAGCTGAAATTTCATCGACGGCGAAAGTTACCTGGAGATTATCTTGGTGATAATCCAGACAGTGAGGAGAGAATGAGGGATATCGCACGAAATAATGTCGGTAAAAAAAACACCCACAAAAGCAATTATTTTTAACACATTTTCTTATTCTTTCAATATTCTATAAAAGGTTGTGGCATAAAATCATTTCACAAAAACTGCAAGAAATAGACCTCATAATTTGTAAGTTAATGAATTAATCTTTGGAGATGACTTTTTCCTTTCTAGCAGACAATAAATTTGTTATCTTTTACAAATGTCGCTGATTTATTTTGTGATAAATCTAATTCTGGCTTTTTTTTCCTTTTTATATAGACGATGGTTCCGGTGTGCTGAATTAAACGAAGTGATAGAGTTATGGAGCATGATTGCCCCAATCTACTTGGTTTTCGCTGTCATTACTGGCATCATTTGTGTTTTAAGTGTTTCGCTTAACGGTCTTGTGTGCCTGGTGTTTTGTAAAAACAGGAGACTCCTAAATGCTCCGAATATCTTCATCGCTAGCGTGGCGCTTAGCGATTTATTTCACTCGATTACTATTTTGCCACTGATTGTTATTACAAACACTCAAGGAAGGTGGATTTACGGGGATAGTGGATGTAAAATAATCGGTTTCATTGCTACATGGAACGGTCTGACTTCACTGATGAACCTGTCAGTCGCCTCATACGAAAGATACCACGCACTAGTTTTTCTGTTCAAAATTAACCGAACTTTTTCAAGGAGAAAAGCAGTTTGGTTTTCATTGGCTATGTGGCTGTACGCTTTGTTCTGGAGTCTAATGCCATTGTGTGGCTGGTCAGGCTTTGAACAGGAAGGAATCGGTACTAGTTGTTCAGTCAGATGGAAGTCTCGAGACAAGTTGGATCTCTCATATAACATTTGCTTATTGGTGGCTTGCTTTGTGTTGCCTGTAAGTGTTATAATCATCTCTTATTTCAAAATCTGTCGGGAGATAAACAAAAGCGCGAGGCGTGCGAAAAAGACATGGGGCAAAACTTCACCTTTTACACGGGAAACATTTGAAATGGAAAGAAAGATGGTCATTTTGTTTGGTGTAATGACCGTGGCTTTTCTCGTGGCCTGGACACCATATGCTGTCGTATCACTAATATCCATGGTCGGCAGACCTGACGTCATCAGTGACATCACAGCCACCATTCCGGCATACTTTGCTAAATCATCGGGCTGTTATAATCCTATTGTTTATTTTTTCCTGTGCAAGAGATTACGGCAGCAGATCAAGTTGATGGTGAGAACGGGCAGTGAAAGTTCAAGCAGTAATTTCCGCAGAAAAACGTCCAATTATTCTCAAACACCGCATTATCCCGAAACGTTGAGATTGCGATATACGGTCGAATTAAGTTGATAAAGATTGCCCACGTTTCCAATCATCCGTGGCATCTTGATATTTTCATGATAATTGCGTTCGCCCACGGTTCCGCAAAAAGTAATAACGGTGAACTTAGTTGTAACGCCTATTCTAGAATGACGGATCCGCCAAAAGTAAATTCAGTTTTGAAACAAAGGCCAAGTCTGAAAAGAAAGAATTAAACCAGATTGCCTTGGGGTTATTGTACATATGGAATAGAATTGGAATAATTGCTCATCGGAAGCACAATAGGCAACACTTCACTCCTAGTTTTAGCAAGATTTCGAAGTCATTAATTGATAAAATAAAGAGCTTTAGCAAGATTTGTATTTTTAGTTTATTTTATTGCGTTTCAAAAAATATTCTTGATCAGCATTTACAGTTGCATAACAAAGGCCAATGGCAGGAGTTAAACAGCAGAGGGGGTTGGGGGGAGGGGGGGAGGGGAGGGGAGGGGGTGCCGGTGGTGCGAGAAATTATCTCTCTTACTTCAATCTGCGCCCTCTTTTCTCTTCTAACGCCTGCCACTCAAAGCCAAGCAAGCATCATCTTCGACCAAACTTCTAGTTACGTAAAGTTCATGATAAAGTAGAGACAAGTTTACTACCGTTTTCTGAGATCTTTCAGTTTCTGACGGAGAAATGCCCCCAATGCATGGTGATGAGGGCAAAGACGCGAGTTACTGTTTAAGGTGGGGAGAAAGTTTCTGCTATTAAGAGCTGTTGTACAAGCCACGCAATCAATTTTACTTTGAGCTGAAGACGTACCAGCTGAAGAACCCTGAGAATGAACCAGCTTTATATTTAGCGTTGCGCTTTTCAATTGAGTACTGAGTGGTTTTGCGAAAGGATACACCTCCTTAGTCGACGTGTAATATTTTCTCCGTTTATTTGGTTGGTGGGTACTCCTTAACTTTTCTTTTTCTGTTGGATTATTATGTAGACCTTTTTCAGTGTATTTGCTGCTTTGCTCCCTGCAGACTATCTGATCATCGCGGCTATCGGTTTGAGTGACCGCATCTCGAGTTGGAGAGGCAACCTAAAATACAGACATCAGTAAGTCGTCAAAAATTCACAATTAGCTAAAAGGGAGCTAATAATTATAAAAACAGTTTTCGAAGAGAGCCCTTACATACTCTGATAAAGTCTAAATTGGTGGGCAGATCTGTTCGATTTCACTCAAAACGAAGTACTAAAAAACACGATGGTCTTCATTCCAGAAGTGTAGACCGAAGAGGATGAATTACTATTATCTCTTTAGCCCGTTAAGCTGAAGATTCACCGCTGATCCTTCTACTGGAAACCCTCCTTTGGGAGAGCAAAGGTTTGGGCCTTGGACTGGATTGGATTGGACTGGCCTCGTACTAATAGGGCCTGGGTTCGAGTCCCGGCGTCGACGCCATATGTCTACACTATGGGCCAGTTATTTAAACGGAGTTTAGCCAGTGTTTAACAAAACCGCGTTCTAAGCCATTTTCAATTTCCCGAAAACTTTTATGTGAGCACCATTTACCGTGAACAGTTTCATTAAAGCATATAAAGTGCACAACAAAAGCATTTGTCTACTTAAAATAACCCACTAAGATCTGGAGATCCAAATATTTCCAAAACCGCGGTGTAAGTTAGACTTCGTTGAAATAACCGAGCCTATATGTCTAGAACAAACCGAATATGGCTTCTGCTAACAAACGAGAGCGATGATTTCCGCTTTATTTGTGTGACGCTGTGAAACTACACCGCGCCGATCTTAGCTTGTTCCAGGCTCTCAGATAGTAGGGAAGACGCGAAAGTGAGAGGTACGCGAAAAAAAGGGCTAGGGGGCGCTTTCTCAATCCCCGCGGACCCGACTATCTCGGAGCATGGAACAGGCTACGCCGATCTTAGTGGATCGTCACATATCGGACAGGTCTTTGTGCCACTCTTTGGCGCAGTAGCGGAGCAGCTGTTCATATTATTACAGGATAGCTCCTCATATTAGCCTGAGTAACTCACTGGTTCACTTTTCAAATCCCAGAGGTTTTTATTCCGTGTTGCTCCGGCTTTCCCCTGTTCTCAAGTGCAAACAATTGTACAAATTCCAAGTCGATCTAGGAAAGTGTATTCTTTTAGTCAAGGACCGTAACTTAGTGTTGTACAGCTTTATCAGGTTTTGGAACTGTGAAGTGTTACCTTAAAGTTTAAGTTAGTTACCTGGCTCAAGATGTCCTGTTTATCAGACCGATCACAAAACTCCTTTTCTTCCTTTTCCATTTCACGACCAGGTTTTTCCTCTGGTACTATTCAAACCAAAAAAGAACCACTTGCCATGAACAATACCAGGCAGCCTGTGGCCTCTATTCAAAGACCTTTGTCAACTCACCCTAAATTGATGGAGGCCTCATTTTGAACAAGATAGGTCTTCTCGAGGCGTGTGCCTCCGCCCAAGTTGTACACATTCATTCGGAAAAGATAACTCACAAACTCATCAGTTAACATTCAGGGGTTTCAAAAACATTTCTTGTAGCCATCAGGCCCCGGTTGTTCAAAGAGCGGATAAGTCCTATCCACTCGCGCCATCTCGGTTGTTCGAAAGATGGATAGCGTTATCCACTCGCTATCCAGCGGATAAATTTATCCATGGTAAAGTAGGTAGTATAAATTTTTATCCACCGGATAAACGACACAAACATGGCCGGTCGACAGTTGCATCTTTTACAGAGCAACTTGTCGCTAAACCGGCTAAACCAACTTCCCAGAAAAAGGAGAACTTTCCGCCGGCAGCTTGACCCGTTAACGTCGTACACCGACTCCGAGTTAAGATCTCGATATCGTTTAGTTTTCCTTTTTGTGTAGTTCAATAAGACACCAAAGTTCAAGAACGATAATAAAGTTCAATAACAACTACATGAGTTCAGAAAATGACACAAGCATTAATGTTTGTTTATTAGTTAATGTCAAGGAAGGGGGTCTACTGGGACTGGGAATGTGGGGTGTCAAGATTTATTTTCACACATTTTCGTTTTTTAACATACTCGGACTCTACGTTATTGACAGATGTGCCAAGTGACATTGTTCAGTCTTCGCAATCTTCTGGGCCTGCTCACATTGCTTCATCTTCCTGCTTGTTTAGTTTTATTCTCCAGCCGATGTAGCTTTGTGGTAATTCCTCAGAAGACGCGTCTTGGTAAAGTCGCAGTCATATTATGACTTTAAGTGGTCCATTAAAATAGCTTTTCTGTTGTACTGCCTCCACTAATGTATCCTATATAGCTCAACCATTGCTATGGTTTATTGCAGATAGGTTAACAGATTCTCATTTAGTTATTGGTTCAAGAATAGAATTTGCATATAGGTTGACAGGTTCTCATTTAGTTACTGGCCCAAGAACAGAAATTTGCATTTGAATTATTTTGCTAAGAAGCCTGAAGTTATTAAAGGTTATAAAAATCAAGGGCTATAAATTTTTTCTTGCAAGTGGGGGAGGGGGGGGGGGGGGTGGGAAGTAGTTGGTGGGGGAGTTTTGGGGGGGGGGGTGGGGAATTTTTGTATGGCTGGTTTAAGGTGGGTTAAAAACGTAATTTGGGGTTGTGGTGATATTATTGTGTATATTTATAGAGATGTTAAAAATGTAGTTGGGTGTGTTTGTTTTTTTAAAAAATAATAGTATTGTAATTGATGAAGACAGTTTCTAATATAATAGCGAGAAAAAAAAAAAAAATTTGTATTTAGTTTATATTGAAAACATGTAGGATAATTTTAATGAATAAAAAAAGAAAGGAATATTTTTTTTGTGAAGTGAGGGGGGGGGGGGGGGGGGGGGTTGGAACTAGTTTGTGGTGAAGTTTAGGGAGTCGGTGTGGAAAACATTATTATGCCTGATTTAAGAGATGCTAAACACGCAATTTGGGATTTTAGTGATAATATTGTCTATATTTATAGAGATGCTAAACATGTAATTCGGGATTTTAGGGAAAATATTGTCTATATTTATTTATTTTCTATATCTGGACTTTTGCATATTTATTAATTTCTTTTATTTTATTTACTTTTATCTGACCGGTTTCAAAAATAGGTGGTTCCTGGAGAGGGAAAACTTTGTAGACGGTGAGGATTCATTACAGCGTATGATGTTGAGGAATGCTTGCTGTGTATGATGGAGGAGGTGCCTGCTAATTGGATATCTGTAAAGATCTAGTACAGAGTGATAAACTTCCCAAAGAGAGTGGTGCAGTGTGGGAAAACGGAGGATGGACGCGTAGGTGTGGATTACATGGAAAAGGAAAAGATCATACAGGATGCGAGAAATATGTTTATTAATGTTATTTATATCACTACAGGTCTGAATATGGCCATTTCTACTTATAAGAACTTTGTACGTTACTTTTGTATGAAGAAAACGATTTGTACATTAAATTTACATATAGTGCATGCTGGTCTATTAATTTCCTTTTCTTCTTCTTCTTTTTTATCTTTTTTATCTTTTTTCACTTTTTGGCCTCTGCTAGAATGTGGCTAGCCAAGCGGTCTAGCTGCCCTGCCATTAGCTGCAGTTGGGAAGCCACCCGCTTGGCCTCTATAGTTGTGCTTTTAATTTCCATTGCTTTCTGTTTTAATCTTTCTTCTTTTTCTTGAAATTCCTTTTCTTTCTTTTCAATCTCTTTCTTCCTTTCTTCTATTTCTATGGCTGCTAGGCAGGTACGTACTTCAATTTCCTCCTCCGAGGACAGCTGTAAAAATGATTAGCCCACCTATAATAACCTTTCTACTAATTGTTATTATCTTTTCCCGGTCTATATGATAATGAGATATGATGAGCTCATCCTTTTAAACAAAACGCATCTTATCTCAACAAAATAATGAAAGCCTTGTCTCATCAGGAGCTCAGAAGGCAATCAAGGAAACAGGTCAGGGAGGGGTGGGAAGGTAAAATTATAGCCGTAGGGGAATGGGGCGGTTTACGGAGATAACCTGTTTCCACACGTTTCGACGCCATTATGGTACCATTTGGCTGAGCCCTACGTGCCTTTTGTTACTTTAGATAACCATCCAGTGGATAGCAGTTTTCTCCACTAGATAGGCCTATCCGCTGGATAAAGTTATCCGCTCTTTGAACAACCGGGGCCTGGTTTGAATAGAGTAACCGACTGTATCAACAAGGGGCCGTTAGTCCCCTTTTTCTTGGGGCGTGCTTCCCCACAAAACTTTGAAATTTCAAAGCCCTAAAATACGATTTTCGGCGTTCTGGGGACTAAATTTAGGATAAAAGAGCGTGTCTTTATTTAAGAAAATGTAGCTTTCATTTACCTTTCGATTTATCAGTTACACAATCAATTCTTACAAGCAATGAAAAAATGGTGAAAACTAGATTACCTACTTTTGCACGTAAACAAATTCTGCGTAAAACCAGTAAACCTTTAGGAAAGCACGTCATAATTAAGTTTCATTCAGATTTTACGATATTTTTTTTGTTTACAACGTTATTCAAACTAGTTACTTTTTCTTTGTGGAAAAAAAGTAGCCTAATTTTATGAGCAAAGTAGCCTACGCGTTTCGTCGGCCGTCGGTGCTTATTGAAACCCCTGAGTCATTATAAACTGATCTCAAAAAGTTTTGATATTTCCCAACACTCTTCCCAGTGTTCACGGCACTACCGCAGCACTCATTTTTAGCCACTTCTTCAGCGGTGTTTCATCAACCTCGTTCCAAGGGTAGCTTTCTCATTTGTTGCCTCATCATCAACTCAGGATGACGTAAAGAAAGGGAAAATGGTTCTGGCAATGAGGCAGAGCGTTTTAATCACCGAGGAAATAATAACTACAAAATAATTTTAAAACAAAGTGTAAACACTCCGAAGACGGGTCATACCTTGAGAGTTTCCGGTGATGCAATGGAGAACAAATATCGCAACTCTCCTGAATTCTTCGGACTATAGAGACAAGAAAGAAAAGTTGTAAGTGGGATGGGTTTAGCAGACTCCTGTCAGAGAGCCGCAGGTTTGTATTGATTTTGAACAAGGCTTCATTGCGTCAACTCTCTCCTCCACTTTTTTTTTTACTGTTCGCCGTGACGAGGATCGCGTAATTGGGGTAAACATGTCTACTTGATAACTGCCCTAAAATGTGGGCTGGTGAATAGACGGTCTATTAGCTACAAAAAACAACCTCTTCCTCTACAAGGTGAGGGTGAAAGTTCTGTTAATTTTCGTTCTTGGCCGGTCTATATATCCACGAAGGTGCAAACGAAAACCTGCAAAGTGCTGACTGACCCGGTTACATTAAAACAGACCACCATTTTTAAGAATCTCAGTCGCTTATTTGTTCTCAAAGGCCTCTTTTCTTGTGGCAAAACACTTGACTACCTATTGCCTGACAAGCGTAGGTTTACCCTACCCTTAAAATTGACATGGTACCTCTTCGAGGGTTAGAAGCTCAACTAGCAGATCCACACCTCCCATTTGCCTAAGCTGCTGTTGGTTCCTTTCTGAAAAAACATCATCACATAAGCTATATTATATTCCTCTCCAGGCCAAAAGCACCAAATGTTAGGTAAGCATGTCTCACATAAAGACCTAAAACTACTTTGTAACCAGGGAAATAAAAATTGTTCGGCGAACAAGTATATTACCCACCACTCTGGTCAACGCAGATGGAGAGTGCTAAAACGCACTTAGTTCTGAGCTGTTTAGCAAGTGCAGCGTTCACATCTGGACTTAGTTGAGTGATGTGCAGACACTGAAGAAGTAAAGACACCAGTCCAAGATCTGCTGCACTCTCCTGACACATTCCTGGAAAAAAAAGCTTTAGCTCTTATAGCTGCTATTTGCCACTTTAGACACCGGAAGGAGACTAGACCGAGTCAACTTTCGCAAAGACGTCTGGCACTGTTACTAGGGACATGAAAAAAAAAAACACCAATAGGGACTATAAGATCACAACGCACTTCCTTTGTCAAATGTAGGCGAACTCTCCTGAAGTTGAATTCCAAGGCATCATATCCAAGTTCAGGAAGAGAAAGAAAATTCCGTCGTTGCTTGTTTGATTTTCCATAAAACGCGAATTTAGGCATTTTCACGTCGTAGTCGAGCAAAAACTGCAAGGAAATGTACACAAAAGTGTGATGCGCGTGCAAAGTTGTTGTTTTGCCTATTAAACTTATTGTTTTTCAGACGTTCTCGTTGCCATCGCGACGTTGGATCTTAAACTCTCTAACAGCTGACCGGCGCGTGCCCAGTCACGATCCCACAAACAATTGCGAATCACACTTCGAATCTATTTCTCTTCTCTTTTGTGAAGTGGCGAGTAACTACATTACAAGACTCCATTCAAAAAACATTTAAAAAATAATCAAATGAAACATATCATGACTAAAACCCTTCAAAGTAGGAAATAACTTGATAGTTGGCTATTTAGAAGCAGGATGCATGGTCAATCTCAAGACTACGCAGAGCAAAAAGTTTCGCTAGCGGTGCATTGAATTGCTCGAAACCCAAGTTGCAGACTGGGGGTCTGTAACGTGGACCACTTGGCAACGCTGTCTCATGAAAAGTTTTTCAGTGGAACAAATTGCTGCCCAGCTCAATAGCTATAACGTACTTGCAGCGTTACTGACAGGATAGCCTTTGTCTTTTAAATAGGAGTTCACCAAGGCTAAACCTCTTGTATGGTCGGTCTGAAATGTTTCTTTGTCACCTTAAATGACTTTAAAAGACTACTGCAAGTCATTTCTGTGCCATTATATGTTGTTCCAAATTCCACTGAATTTCCGGTAATTAGATGCACCCACTATTACGACTGTAAGGATAAGCTGTGTCGTAGGTTTTCTGCAACGGTTCCAGCTCAGCCTGAACCTATAAGCATTGCTACATGTTTAAAAGAGCTGCAGTGTCAAGGCTGGCAAGTTCATTTTGTTTATAATGCTAACTACTCGTCCTTAATCGCTATGAAAATTTAGAAATATCTTGTGAATGACAAAATAGCAGCTTTGTATCAAAAAATATACCTCGCAAGCATTGCGTCAAATGTTACAGACAACAAAAGTGAACTTTGGAAAACTTTTAGGCTAGCAAATTTTCAAAAACCACAACTACAATCCATTTCAATCTTCCTCAGGTTTGTCCATCCGTGCTTGCTTTATTATTTGCTGTGTTATCCACACATTCTTTTAATGTGCTGAGCAGATATTTTAATTTTTTATTTCATTTGGTGGCAGTTCCTGCAGTTTGAATTTTGATACATTTTGTGACACAGCTACTTTAACTCCCACTTATCTCTTCTCTAGATTTCAAGTGTATTTAACTAGAAAACACTTTAGCCTGTTTACTTATATAAAATCGTCCAAGATATAACTTACCATGTCCTGCTATAGAAGATGCAATGGTATTAACAACATGCTCCATAATGCAGAAGTCTTGATTATCTGGCTGCTCAAGGCTCACAAACCGTTTAAACACGTTAATCAAGGCCCTCAGTCCACCAACAAGTCGCACCTTGGACTGGGACTCAGCTGAGTTTACGGAAATACATTAAGGTCAGATGTTTTGAGCAGTAGGTTTTTTCAATACCAAACCCATGGAAAAATGTTTGTAAGGTGAAATATGCTATTCACATAGAAATCCAACATTGGGGTACTGATAGAAGATTAAGAAAAGAAGAACAAACTTGTTTCATGGAATCTTTTCAAACATTCTTAAAAGAAGTTCATTTGGAAAAGCTCACGTGTTTATGGATTTTACTTTTGTTTTGAGTGCTGTCTTATAAATTTTGTCTACAGGTAATTGTGTCTATACTCCTGAAACATCATCAACAAAATCTCATGCAACTTTCCCGTTTTGCTACAGGGTTCTTTTACTCTTTTGATCACGAAGCAAAAGCATCAAGGCTACACTTTCTAAATAATAAAGATTAACAGTAAGTTTCATTAACTTTGCAAAAAAAGCATTGAAAACTATTTGAAATTCCTACCATTTTCACAAACAATGGCTCCAATGAGAGTGACTGTGGGTAGAATAACATTTCTCTGAGTTGTTGCCAAGTGTAAAGTATTCACCATCATGGGAAGGAGCCTGCAGCAAAGTCGCTGATTTTGAGCTGCAAATTGAATTATGATAGTATCAAGGCTGTCATTAAGAGCCAGGGGCAGGGGGTTCCCCCCGGCTACTTTCATAGGAAAATAGAAGAAAAATAGAACCAAAAGAAATCCCTAGCTGTTTTATTCCCCATTTACTTGTTGTATTTACCCAGCAATTTGAAATCTTAGTGACTGCCCTGGATAGTAATAATAATTGAATTATTAAAGTGTAATTACAAAAAGAACACAGTCTCTCTCCTTTTTTAGTATTCTCTAGCCCCACCATGTGGGGCATGCCCTGTAAAGTACTAATTCTTATTGGCACATTTAACAAATCAATAGAATTCAGTGCTAGGGTTTTCTGCAAAACAACAATGTCTTTCCATCAAATGGGAGGCAGGCTAGTTTACTGGAAAAGGAATCACAATATTTAATCTGATTTTCACTGGTGTAAGGTAGATAACTTATTTTCTCACCATTTTGAGGGTTTTGGAGCAGAGAATGTAGTGCCACCACAACACTGTTCCAGAGTTTTGCCCAGTCTTCATCAATATCATTAAACCACTTTTCACTCTTGTGACTTGAGGAGGGAAACTTATGAACTGGAAGACAGCTCCTAATTACGAGAACAACATGTTTATGGCATTTTCAAAAATTAGTAATACAGCTCAAAATCTGAATTTAACTGCCATAAGCAGGAAAATTAAACGCAACCATAATACTGTAATCTTTTGACAAAATGGATCTTTTCTAAAACCAAAAGAGTAATAGCATATAATTGTATAATAAAGGATCTAACCTAAATATGTCACACAGGCTATGTAAACACTTTGTTTCTCTTGCAAGATTCTGTCCCTGACCTAAAATTGAAAAACAAAAAAGAAATCAAAACATAAACTCAAAAATTTAGTAAAAAAACATAGAAAGGCCAACAGCTGTGCACAGGAAAGAAGACTCATCTATACAGGAATTTTGAAAGGTAGCTTTAAGCCTAAAGTCAATGGAAAATAAAGTTAATTAAGTCAATGACAGCACTGATGTTCATTATTTAAATTATACTGATATTTCCTTGGTACTTTTGGATTGGATACAGTAACATAAAACCACAACACATTTAAATCTTACAGTTATCAGCACAGATAGTAAGGAGAAGAAAAGCTGAAGTTGTCACAATTGCCCTGTCCTTGGCTTGTAAGTTGGATCGCAGCAAGTGAAACACATGATTCTTTGTCATAGCTCTCTGAGAAATATCTGTATGATTGAATACAACAAAAATTCACTAGATTAATTATCTCACTAGTTTTTCACTTTCTCATTAATCTGGCCTGGGCTGTTCAAACGTTGGATAGCACTATCCACCAGATAAATCACTATCCAGCGGATTAGTATTAGGGAAACCAATTGGGCTATTCAGTGGATAAAGATTTATATCCAGTGGATAGTGTTATCTACCTTTTGAACGTTACTGGGACCAGGGGCCTGTTCCTTGAAAGTCCCGATAATTAATGGGTCCCGTAAGCTGTTGCCGTTTACATTAAAGATCAAGGTTTCAATAGTTTTGCATCAGTCTAACATGATAAAAACTATCAGTTAATGAAACAAAATGGAGTATTTTACTAGCCAGGACCTGTGCTCTTATTCTTTATATTTCAATTTGAATATTTGATTTTGGGCCTGAAAAGTTACCAGGACTTTCGAGAAACAAGCCCCAGGTGTTGAGTGAGAAATATTGACAAGAAAGCTGCAGTAAACACTAAGGGTTCAACTGTCATGATACCTTACATTTCTAGGATTTTTGACTTTGATATGACTAGTAGTTGGAGTAGCCCTGCTATTCAACATCCACTAGGGTAATGTGGTTGAAATGAACTGATAGAATTGTTGCTTCAAAGGTTACTTCACCACAAGTCTTGATGGCAGTGATCCTCCCAGGCAGAGATTCAGGTTTAAAAAATGTAAGTGTATGTCCATGCATGGGTACTATTGCCTGGGAGATGAATATCTGTCTTATGTTTAAAATGCTGAATATACATATTGGATAATTGGTATAAGGAACCCCAAGTTTTTGCAATGTTCTCCTAATAACTGAATGAATGACTGTTCTACAACTAAAACCTGAAACTCACCATTTCCTTCGGTAGCCATCGCTAAAGTATACAATGTCGCCCCGCATACAGCAGGACTCTTTGTGGCCTTACAAAGGCTCAGCAAGTATTCCAAGCCACTTGAAAAACAAAAATAGTCTTGTGCTCTTCCTAGAGTTAGGATATAACAATTAGTGGAATTAAAACAAAATGTACTCTTCATTTCAGTAAAGTTCATTATTTTGCTATTAATGAATGAACTTAGATTTATTATACCTTTTAAAACTACTCAGTATTATTATGAACCAAGCACTGGAAAATAATTTACAGCCAATTTCTCCACTTTAATAGAAAAAGCTCAAGTTGTTTTTCCTTTCAATCACAACATAGCTTCATCACAGACAATTTTGTTTCTTGAGAGCTGATGCAAAACTGGAATGAGTTTTAAACCTGAAATTTTTCAAGCTGATAGCAAATGGCTAAGTCAATACTTACAGTGTTCTTAGAGGTGATATAAGACTTTTCAACTTAAGTGTAAAGTTCACTGCTTACGGTTTTTTTTCGCTACAAGAAATGCACATGAGCTTTATGTACTGCAAAAAGAAGAACACTTGTCAAACGGAAACGACTCACTGTTTTGAGAGAGGATGTCAGCTAAAGCTCTCAAAGCCTGCTGCTGTTGAGAAGGATCATCTTCTTGATATCTCAGAGCTTCTTGTAGAAGCTTTACATCCTCGATCTCCTTTTCCAACTCGGATTGACCACAAGTGTCCATTTCAAAAATTAATGAAATTGGATCCTTGCCTTTTTGAGATACGCTTACAATATCAAGCTTCAAGAAAACGTGAATCCGTAAGAGGAATAGATCGAAACCGATTTAAAGAACTATAACAAGAAGCCTCCTCAAGGGAAAAAATTACTGCAGGGATATGGTTAATGAGGAAAAAAGTATCAGCAAAGTGAGAAAGCGAAGTCTCCACTGGCGAAGTCCCAAGCGAAGTCTGACACTGGCGAAAAATGTCAACGCATGCGCCGCGACGTAAATCACGTGTTTCTGGCACAAGCGCATGCGCACCCTCTGCGACCTTCCCGCTTCAACCGCTTTGTCCCAGTGCCCCTCAGCCTTTAATCGTCGGCCAAATTAAAAAAAAATAAAGAAAAATAACGAAGAAAAGAAAAGAACCAGAGAGTTTATGAACAGACTCTGCGCGACTGCTGTAAACACATCAATTTACAAAATCTTGTTGAGAAACATTAAATCTACATTGATAGGAGTATTTCTTAAATGTCTCCTTTGTAAGGTTTCTTGGACGCTTATGTCCATGAAAACTTTGCAAACGACTAGCAATCCCCGCACATAATCAGGTAGAATGTAGGAGAATAATCAGTGTACAGCTCTTGGTCGCTCTAAACAGGATAGAGCGATTTTCGTATAACCTTGAAATGAAAACGTGCGGACAAAACAGAAACAACAAACGAACGGAAATAGTGCGATTTGATTGGTTTATCGAACGGATCTGACAAACGCGCGTGGCTTTTGGTTGGTTAAGCGAACGCTCGGGTGAAAAAAAAAATCTATGCCCGAGAACTTTCTAGAGATCAATTGATACTTTGCTTTGGCGTCATAGTGCAACACGATTGGCTAATCGAACGATACCTTCTCCGTAATAGGGTTTTCTATGGCGGAAAAACTAAGAGTCGATGTTTTGATCTTTTCACCCATTGGCTAATAAAACAAATAATGAACACTTACCGAAACCATTTTTCAAGGTCAAACGAAAATCGCTCCATAAGTCACCATGACGTAGGTAATTCTAGAAGGGTTGGGGTAAGAGTTGAATCATGGCCAGAAAATCAAGCACTTTTTGCTAAAAGCGACATTGTTAACCACCAAATTGGTACCTCAGATCACAATAGAGTTGGCTTTTGGATAAAAAGAGGAGCAGCTACCCCCGCTCTCTCTGTCTTTTAAGCCAGGGCTCGAGGAAACCACGCTAATGAGGGATAGTAAGACCGCCGGATACAGCTATCCACGAGAGTTCATGGCTGATGGCTTCTATTATCAAAAAATTTGAGGCAGCTAATCGGGACGGGATACTTCAGGCAAAAGTTTACGAAGTTTACACGAATGCGGAAGCCCCTGGGCACTTTCTCTTACCGAACCGGTTCCACGAGCATTTGATTTCCCTTCTTCTGATTGGCCAAAAACTATTCGTCTGCAAATATTTCGACGGTAAATATTCCGTTACGGTTCAAGGGTAATAAACCTTTGCCGCATTCCCTTAAGCAAAGGCGCCATTCCAGGCTTGGTTCGGCAATATTGAGGTCACAAAATACACTAGTGTTCATCTTAGACGAAATACAGTGTTTTGTATGAAATTGTCCTCGACCTGATTCCACTGTGTTCGCTCACTGAGGTGGAATGTGGAATAGGCATATAACTGCTGTCCTTTCTGTTCACCTTAGATACCAGGACACCAAACTTAGGACGGGCTTTATCATACCAAAGAAACCTCAATAAACAATACAAGAACAGCATAACAATGATTAAATTACAGTTTACTAAAAAGAGATATAAATGTAAGAAATTAATGTTATCTAAAACGAAACAGAAGGAACAAACTTTGTTTAGAAAGTAAAAGATGCCTTAAGCTAGGTAAAAAGCTTAATATATCTTGGAAAGTTCGCGATACTTTTGATCTGTTATCCGCTTGGAAATACAAACTATTTCTTGCCGAATAAAATGTCTCTGCTACTACAAAGCAATAAGCCCAAAATTACATTGAGCATTTGAAGTTATTAGTTAACTTGGTCTTTCTTTCAATTCTTGCACAGGCTTCTTGATACACTCGTGTCCTCTTGATACACTTGTGTCCTCGTGATACATTCGTGCCCACGAGGTACACTCGTGTCCTCGTGATACACTCGTGTCTCTTCAAATATTGTTTCACTTGCCACTGAACTGGGCGGGGTGGTTTCTCATTGGCTGGGAGCACTGTGACGTTCACCGATGACTTAATTCGTATTTATACGTCACTTGTTTTGTGTCGTTCCACTTGGGTCTAGTTTCACCTAAACAGTCGAGAAAAGCGCTTCGATGCTTTCCAAACAGCGTCTTGGTTGGAGGATCTGAGAAGAACAACATAGAAACTAGAATTGTTGCGGAAATTAGGAAACCAAGTTAAGAAGTTTCAATGCTGCTGTCTTAAGACAGGATCACAACGTTACACTTTTACTTGCGAAAAGAAGAAAAATCATCCTTTTAAACGAAAACGTAAAATCACTTCGAATATGTATCACAAACTACGAAGACAAGGTATTTCTCACTAAGAAAAAGAAAAAAGACACGGAAACAAAAAACCGTCCATGGAATGGAGGGGGCGTTTTTGTTTGCGCATTCAGTCATTTCTCGTTGTTAATATTATCACCATTGACAATGATGACTAGAGCTGGATTTCAACCCATGGGAAAAGAGTTGAAATAGGCCTTTTACATTAGTTGATCACGTGATCAACTCTCGGTAAACACGAAAACAATATACTTTTGAAAAATTTTGTTAGCATGAGCTGAAAGAGCATATTAAAATTAGGTAACCTGGTAATTTCAGCCGTATATCTCAAAAGTAGCGATTGCAACGGCCGCCGAAAATTACAAGGATTTGTATCAGAAAACAACTCTTGCTACCGAGTCATGCTTGAGTGGTTTTCCATACAAGTCCTTGTAGATTCTGAAATTTTTAAACCGTCGTTAAATCTTTCTCTTACCCATTTAAGGACTCAAATTGCCTGTTATGAATTAAAAGGAGATTTGAGGCCCGTAATGCTTAAGGAAATATTTCACGACAGTTTGAAAATTTCGAAATTTACAAGGATTTGCATGGAAAACCATTCAAGCGTGACTAGGTGGCAAAAGTTGTTTTTCTTATACAAATCCTTCTAATTTTCGTTGGCCGTTGCAATCGCTACTTTTGAGATATACGGCTGGAAATTGACAGGTTACCTAATTTTAATATGCTCTTTCAGCTCGTGCTAACAAAATCTTTCAAAAGCTAACTGTTTTCGTTTTTACCGAAAGTTGATCACGTGATCAACTAATGCAAAAGGCCTATTCGGCGCCCTAAACCACTGCCCTACGTTGTATTCCTATCTTTACTACTTTAGCGATATGACAAGCATCAGTTATAACTTCCATATACTATAGTCCTTCAATAATAGGCTTATAGGCAGAGCAGATCCCGGCTAACGAAGCTACCCACCTAATAATTGCTTGATGAAACTCTTGGAGCTGCTGAGGTGTAGCTATAACACTGCCCGGTACAATCTGGGTTTGAATTGACTGCAAAGACAGTTCAACCCATTTGGATGTCTCCTGTGTCGCACAAAAAAATAATAACAAAAAAGTTAAGTGTTACTGACACCTACGAAACATGATTACAGCTTTAACAGTTGTAAATTATTTAAGGAATAACTAATACAACCGACATTTAGATAGGATTTATGTAAGCTATAATGTTTCAAATTTTCTTAACTGTTAGTTTACAGAATAAGGAGTCAGCTTTAGCGAGGAAACCTTGTTTAACTAACCAGCTTTCACATGTGTTTCACTCCAGTAAGTATGTGAACTAATATATCAGGCTCTTTGGACGTTGAATAAGAATTCGCGGTGTTAGAAAATCCCCACTAACTGAAACGTCTTTGAAAAAAGGTCCGTAGCAGGTTGCAATACGGAAACCAATATTCGATGAATATCATTGACTGACCATAATTCAAACGATCGCAAGACCACTGTTAACATAAAACTCCACATTAAAGGAGTTTGGGACCAAAGATTAATGGAATGTCGTAATTACAAGTTTACCTCTCTACAGAAGGTGATGAATTCCCACAGCACTTCAGCTACGTCTAACACCATGTAGGATGGTAATGCTCCTGCGCAAGCCTGAATCAGACCTTAAAACAGAAATTCAGACGTCACGTTAAATATTTCAATAATGGGAGCAAGAAAAAAAGGGAAGTTCACGAATTGTTAGTGTGACACACTACGTAGCTTTACGTATTGCGTTACTTTAACTTGTTTAATAGTAAATGCAACGTAAGAAGAGAGAGACCTTGTTACTAGAACGTGTTGACTGAAAGGTACAGAAAACAAATTCAGACTGAAAAGACTGAAGGGATTGTACACGCAAAAATCTTGAAAGACCGTAAAACAAAGAAAAAAAATAGAGCTTCAAAACTCCTTTAGACAAGTGGTCCTTCGAGCTGGATGATCAGGCTTAAAGCCATCATGATTATGGACAGGTAAACGAAGGCAGAGTAGCCTCTTACCATTTATAATGTTCTGACCATGTACAGCGAGTATCTGCTGCACTAATGAAACCCTCTCTTGAAAATCATTTCGTGACTAAAGAAAAGAGTAAACAAAATTCCGTGAGTTCCAAGCTCTGAGCGACGGGTGTGTCAGCACTGAGGAAATGGAATCATTTCTGGCTGCAAGTGTGTTGTGGTCTCATTCGCTCAGAGGCCTTTCAAGCTAATCCAGCCAGGCTCCCACGCAGACCCTCTTAGGGCTTCGTAACCCTTCCTAAGCCTTCAGAACGTCAGCGAGGGAGGCTAGACGAGAAGACGACTGAATGCATTACAAACTACTGAATATGCGATACAAACTATCAGCTGTACAGTAAAAACACGCGACTAAGAACCTGTATTTTCCCAAGTTACCCTCAACAAGTTCTTACATAAATGGTAATAAGCAGAAATTAAGCTATGTAGGTTCTTAGATAGGTTCTTATTTTCTGAAAGAAAAAGATTACATGGAAGCCAAGAGTATTTAGTGGTATATTCAACTTATTGCGTCCGAAGGATGCATTCCTAATCTCCGTCTGTCATGAAACTTTTCTCAATAACGGACGCCCTTTTATCCGCCCAGCAGATTTTTCAGGGACTTTTTCTCGGCCAGGGACTAGTATCTATGTTTTGCCTCGGCGGCTTAGCCTCAATTACACAAAATTCAGGTGAATAGTTTAGTGTAGTCACTGTCGGACGCACTCCCCTAATTTGCAATTACTACTAGTTCCTTATGAAAAACAACAACAACCAACCATTTTATTTGCCGACTTAAAACACGTTTACAAAAAAGAGAATTAATTAACATAAATTAGGCAAAAAACTACTCAGAACAGCAAAAAAAGTAAACGAGCTGAGAAGACACATTGCAGTTGGGGTGATAAGACACCTATGTGTCCAAAGAGGATTCTGAATGTTGACTTGACCCTAACAGGTAGCCTAACAGGTTCTTAAAAAGTGAGGTTCCTAGTAGCGGGTTTTTAATGTATACCCCTATTACCAAGATCAGAGTGTTGTAAGGCACAAAAAGGCCAGAGAAAGAAGTACAATCTTTCAGTCTAACCTTCTCCGTTGCACAGCTGACAAGACATTTGAGGAACTTCATTACAGATAAGTTGGCGTCTCTGTGTTCGATTATACTCGCCACAACAGCGCAGTGAATTGAAGGGATGGCAATATCACACTTGAGAAATGAAACAGGAAACTTCTGAAGACATCTGAAGGGAAAAGCAAGATGCAAAAACTTCTATCAATTAACAGAAAGGCTTTTTAAAAATTCGCTACCGATGACAATAACAATAATAACAATAATGATGATGATGATGATGATGACGATGATGATGATGATGATGATGATGATGATGATGATGATGATGATGATGATGATGACGACGATGATGATGGAGATGATGATGGCGACGACGATTTAGACGACGACGACGACGATGATGATGATGATAATGATGCTGCTGCTGCTGCTGCTGCTGCTGATGATGATAAAGACGCTTCAACCGTCAATGAAAATAATGTCGGTAGAACAACCAAAACTAACGGCCGGGTGAAGAATTTAACCATAATTGACGAGAACAGGAAAGAAAGGAGATTTCCCTGATGCTCGAAAACCTGGCACGTATAATTAACACACGAGCTTATCTTACCTGCTGCAAAGTCTAAACAAATCATCTATGGTGTCTGGATGCTCAATCATTCCTTTCTCTTGACTTAACAACTGAAATGCTGGTACACAAAAAGCCTGAAAGAAATTCAGTGGGAACCAAGGATGAAGGAGATTAGATGCACACGATCATAAAGCTATTTTCAGAATCTCACCATTTTGAGTTTTCTCTCAGAGGGCAAAGAAGTTCACGGGACATTTTATTGTTGCGAGGAAAATTTGACAACACCTCAATCAACTGACTGAAGAGCGATGCCATAGCGAAATCCATGGACAAAGACGGGCGCGATCAGGAGTAGCAACTGCTGTCCGGTATGGTTGAAAGAGAGAGTATTAAGCAAAGACTCCAGTTTAAGGACACAAAGGGATGGTGGGGTCAGGGTCAGAAACGACACAATAGAACCAGTGACGCTATCGACTGGAAACAGTTTCTGCGAGTAGCTAGCGTTATGCAACCACAACCATCTCGTGTTTAGACTACTCAGCCTAAAGATCTTTTATATATTGCTAATCGGTTATACCACGGAAATAAACATACCACAGTCATATCAACAAGTCCAGAGATACATCCGACCTCCTCACCATACTCATCTACCAATATACTGCCCAGGTACAGAAAGCACGAGTGGGGATTGGTACCGTAAATACTGACCATCTAGTTCGAGAATAAAAGGAAGAGTTAATCTTACTCTTCGATGTCTGGTAGTAACGGCTGACACATCTTGAGGGATCTCGTCCTTTGCAAAGACATGGTTGATTTGACCAATTGCTCACTGACTGAATAGGCAAATCTTTATTTACATTTTTTGCCTCATTAGCATATGCCTTTCATTCTCTGATCACGCTATTAAAATAAACTCTCTAAATGTCAAAAGAACATAACAATTTCAGTTATCTTTGAAAATTTGAGTCCGATATATCGAATAGTTTCGGAGAAATTATCTTTGAAAAACTCGAAAATTTACAAAGAATGTATGGGCTCATTAGCGTTTTTGCCACCCAGCAATTTCGCAGTTTTCGATGGCTGCTATTTCCTTTGTTATTGCATGCAGAGAGCTGAAAATTGTACAAGTTGCACGAATTATTCAACACTTTCATCCTCTGAATTTAATTTGTACATACAGTGGCGCCTTCAATGGGTTAACTCGATCGTATACTAAGGAGAAAAAAATGTAAACAATGACGTCAGCAACGATTCGCCTGTAAGAACTCTGTTGCAACATACAATCCTGTTTCGACAAAACCTGTACAAAAATGTCCCTGATGCAACACTCTTCGATAAGAACGTGCCTTCTTATGCGATTTCTTTGAACCAGCAAACGTTGCACCAAGTGGAATCAAGTTCTACTGCAACTGCGACGATTGCTGCGGGGTATCCTTACAGGACAGGCTCATTTTAGCCCGCTAGCAAGCTCTCCAATTAACCGCGAGAGAACGCGCGAGTGTGTGGCACTCGCGTCTCCTTTCGCGTGCCTTCTCGCGACTCCCCCAAATGGAGAGCTTGCTTGCAGGCTCCGTTCATTTCAGGGGGTGTTACAAGGTCTCATTATGAAAAAAGCGGCACTTGAACATTGGGCAGAGTAACAGTCCAACGCTGTCAGACGACTGAGGCGCTACTTGCTTTATTTAGAGGGACTTGATTTACTATTAACTAGAAACTTGGGCGAGGATTCACAAATGAATTCGTTAAAGTAAATATCGTACCTCTGTTTCTCATAATAATAACCTTCTTCGCGTCTGCGTAAAATTATCTTGACAAATGGCGCCGACATTATCACTAGTTTTCGCTATTTTCCTATTTTAGCTACCTTTCGAAAAAGTTTTGAAAATCTTGATTAGCAGCGTACTGGTAATATATTTTACAAACTTAAGACAGCTCGCTAGCAACTTTCTCTCGTTCCACAGCTTTGAAGTGCAATAGCGCCTAAATTGCTTTTCAGCTTGCAGAAATTGGGACACTGATATGCCCTCACTTTTTGAAGACACAGAGTTGTATGATTTCTAAGAACAACACCTTACCTGTGAAACCAATGGAGAGAGCAGGTTTATAGCAGCTTTACCAAGGCAGCGGACAGCGAATCGAATGCATCTGCATGTCATAAGAGGGAAAAGGGGATTACAATTAGCCTCAAACGCAGACGTTCTTAGAGCTTTGTCACGCATTCCTTCGTGGGAAAAGAAAGCGTGACGAGGCAAAAGAACGTCAGGCTGGGGGGCTGAGTAACACTAATAAAGGAGGTGTTATGAGGAAATTTAAAAATGGAAGTAAATGGAACACCAAGTTTTCATACCTGCAGCATCTCTCAATGATCTTTATGTCAGCGCGATATTTATCACAAATATTGGAGAGTATAGGCCAGACCTAAAACATCAAGTATTACTAATATTAATATTAAGATTAAGATTAACATTCATATGTTCTCGTCAAGTTTTCCTGCTTTCCATCCATTGTATCCGGCTGCAAGTAGTGGACCTGGGGCGCTATAGGAGGAGAAGTTACTTCTTCGACAGTATTTTCCTTAGTATGTGGGCTGTTCCAAGCATTTTGATTTTCTGGATTTTACTGGTGCTAATGTTACCCGGGATTCTACTAGTGACCTTGTCTAGTCCATTCTTAACTAGACCTAGGGTTCCAACGACCACTGGTATTGTTTCCGTTTTCATATCCCACATCCTACTGACTTCAATCTCCAAATCTTTGTACTTGGACAACTTCTCTGTGAATTTTGCTGAGGTGTTACTTTCAGATGGAACTGCTATGTCAATGAGCAAGCACCTTATTTCTTTGCCTTGAGAAAATCTCCTGTTCGTAGTCGTCGTCGTCTTAGAATCTTAACGTCTCTTTTCTCTAGACACTTGGGAAAGTTCTTATAGTAGAAATAATAATACTTTGTTTTGTTTTGGGAACTTACCTCCTCTACGACCACAACGGCTGGATGAACTTTACCATTGTCCACTTTAGGATTTAAATATCTGCAACAAATTGAACCAGTAAGTATATAATTCAAAGACTTTTAATTTTCAATGACATTCCACAGTGAGAATGTGTTTATTTTGTGTGAAACTTAAAACATGTTTTATTTTCTTTGGGTGACGCTTTCACTGTCTAGGAACTTGCTTCTTTGGGGACTGGAATCAGAAGTTATTCAATTAAAGAATTAGCCTGCGAACAAGCTCTCCGGGCTGCTCTGGCGGCGGGGCGGGAAAACGAAGAAGAAATGCTCATTGGCGGAGATGACATTAGTAATGATGTCATTACCCTTAGCACGTGTTTTTCAATGTTTGTTCACATTCGCGTTCGTTTCCGCTGCGAGCTGATTGGCGGAAATCTTACAGCTCAGTCGACGGGGAGCCACAGGGGAATTGGAGGTGGAATTCAAATTCCAGAGACGTAGTTGCAAGCTCTCCTTCCTTTTCCCGCTGCGCCGCCAGAGCGCCCCGGGGAGCTTGCTCGCAGGCTATTAAAGAATGAGAAAGACGGTTTCCCGGCTCGGATGATAAAATACGAGTACTCCCGATAGCAGTTGAATCTAAAACCTTTAGGTTACCAGTCCAGATGCTCTACCACTAAGCTACATGAGACTCGTGGGAGCTTACGCCACAAACATCCTGCACACTGCTAGGAAAAGAATGTCGATATGTCCTCATGCGGAATGATAGAGATGTGATGGTGAATTTTGAGCCTTTAAAACATGAGAAAGATAATTTTTCAGTTAGTGGCACACGCGGCTCAGAAAAGAGTCGAACTTATGACTTTTTGGTTACTAGTGCAGATGCTCTACCGCTAAGCACTAACTATAATTTCCATTCTTACCTGAATGTTGCCGCAAGTCTGTCAAGCCACAGCGTGGGGTCTGGGTAGGAGTTACCAGGGGCCGTTAAAATCTTCAAGGGAAAAGACTTTGTATCAATAACAACTTTATTGAAATGAAAAGAAAGCATTTGAATTCCAAGCATAAGATTTACGATACACATCCCGTAATCCTCAGAGTCTAAGCGACCTCGCTCCCTTTCTGCTGATTTAAAAACACACAATTTTTGCTGATATATTTTATTTTTCCCTCTAAGGCCGAAAAGATTTCCGCTGTTGGGTTATTTTTACGTGCGAACGCGCGTAAATATAAATAGAGACAATGAATGAAAGGTCGAGCGTAAACGTGAAAGTTGAACCTGGCTCAAATTTTACGTTCATGCGGGACGCTTCATACATTGCCTCTATTTCATTTACGCCGCGAAAAACGTATGCAGCTACGCAGGTTAACATTACGCGACAGTAGAAATCCACCTAAACTCACCGTTACAGGGAACAAAGAAAAAGGCACTACCTTGGGGCTAAGAATATGATTTCCTATGCAGGCTGTCTGGAGGCTCGAACACCTGTCATGTGCAAATTTGTCTCAATTTACCTGTTTAAGTGACGCTATGTGTATCCCACATATATTCTGTAAACCTTCTGAGAGCTTCTCTGTCGATTCAACTGCCTCAAGTACTTTACAAACGCCTGAGGCAAATGACAACGAGGAAAATTAGTACACAAGCCTTCAATTACAATTAAAATTTCTTTACCTGTTTACGGTCACCTCCTTGGTAACAGATACCTCTATCTTTAATCTTTAAATCTTTAATTGACATATAAGACCGACATGTCCCTAAAACGGACGTTTAGAGTTCTGTCATACTTCTGCTAGCCTGCGGACACAGACGTATTTCTGGTCGTCGCTTCTCTCCGACGACCGCAGGTACGTCTGTGTCCGCAGGCTAAGCACCTCCCACACACCCTTTAAAACAGACAACTCTCTAAAATACAGGTATTCTCCCTGTGATTTTTGAGTCATTTTCTTTGACACTTTATTAACAGAGATAACTGTCTATGCAATAAAGTATGTATGTATGTATGTCTAAAATGACGTCTATTACGACTTTGACATTTCAGTTTCATATTCTAAGACCAGCCGACAACAGCTGCAACAACTTAGGGTCAATTTACTTAAAATACAATTGTAATTTACAAGTGTCGCCATTGCTTTCGGACCCTAAAACAATAGCTACACTTGTAAATTACACTTTATTTTAGTTTTATTAAATTAACCCCTGAATTTGTGTGACCTAGTCGAGTTAAGACGATGACCGAAGCACTCAACACTAATTGATTGTTCTCTAACACTTTTTGAGAGACAGTTACCTTTGAGAAATCCAATGTACGATTCATGCGAGATGGACAGAGAATCTGCTGCAACCACCACCTGAAGAACATTTAAGAGAATTGAACATCAGGCCAGTTTGAAAAAAAAAGAAATGTCGTGTAATAACACGACGTAGTTTGTTAAAAGGTCATCAAGCTTTGCACTCAGAATACTCTTCAATTTATTGTAACAAAAATATTTCATACAGACAGAAGAAGGGGAAAAAATGATAGGATAGTGGGAACGAAAGTAGGCTGGGGTTTAAACAACGTGACTTTCGAGTCAAGTCATGAGGTCAAGGAAAATAGAGCAATCGACATTCACGGTGGTTGTTTTGTTTTGTTTTCATCATCATCTTTTTTTTTCCTTCTCTGCTATCTCCACTTTCTTTCTTTTTCAAGGTACAAAAGCGTGTTAGAGTTAAAGCAACAAGGGCAAAACTAATTCTGAAGGGCCAGGAAAATAAAAAACAACGTACATTTACTTGTTGTTTTACTTGAACTAGCAATGAATAAAAGATACGTTTTTTTAAAGATGTTCTTTACCTGCGCTAATACATCAAAATACTTTGTCATCTGTGAGTAACAGGACATACAGATGCTCGATATGGCTAAGGCTGTGATTGAAGATATTTTGGGATCTTGAATATTGGATAACAGAAAGCGAAGAACAGGATCTGCAAAGTAGAACACAGATCATGAATTAAGGGAAGGGCCAGGCTGCATTCAAAACCTGTTTCACAATTAAAAGTGTTTTGTTTTGGCCAGAGTGTAAAGTGTACAGAATAATGGTTTAAAAAACCGTCCCACATGTATTGTAAATCGACCGTGCATACTCTACAAGTAGTCTCTCTTTTCTTCAGATTTTAATAGTGACGGGAGTGCACACGTGAGAGCGTCGAAAAAGGCAAGAAATGGGGGTGGCAGCCTCTCCCGTCTCGCGCCTTCAGTCACGCGCGTGGCCATTTTCGTGTCTCGCGCGTTTCGTTCCTAAGAAAAAAGAGAGACTGCTCGTGGTCTAGAACGCGCACCTGACTATTTTATACTGATTAGAAAAATCGTATACGAGGCTGTAATACGTAACAGAAGCTTTACATACCAAGGTATTGTGGGTGTTCATGTATCCATTCGGCCAGTTCACCAACAAGTTTAATGCTGCTATGTCTGACAGCAACATGACAGGTTGATGGGAGATTTAACACCATTGGCAAGAAATGACCAACCACCTCAGACTGGCTACGAAAGCAAAATTGCCAGGTCGTTAGTCCAAGTTAGTAAATGAATTTGTAAGGAACGTCAGTTAAATAGCGCAAGTTTCGTAAGACCTTAAAACTAAAACGCACGAACAAAACAGAAACAACAAAAGAACAGAAATAGAGCGATTTGATTGGTTTTTAGAACGGATACAAACGCGCGTGGCTTTTTGTTGGTTAAGCGAACGCTCGCTTTGACGTCATCCTGCAATACGATTGGCCAATCGAACAATGTTTTCTCCATAACAGGATTTTCTTTGGTGGGAAAACGAAGAGTCCATTTTCTGATCTTGTCACCCATTAATAAAACAAATAACGAACACTAACCGAAACCATTTTTCAAGGTCATACGAAAATCGCTCTGCGTGTATAATTTGCGTACAATTTTAAACAACTGCAAAGTGTTCTCTTAGGGGCCGAATAAGTCTGTCTTTATAGGCCAGTATAGCACTAGTACTCCAGCCAGCCAGAAGGCCTTCCAGAATTTCACATAGGACATGAAGTTTGAACAAGGATAGTATAGATGTGTAAAGAGACCAAAAAAAAAAGAAGGCCGTTGAGAACAGCATGACATGTGAATGTAAGTAACCTTCAGTACAAATTGTTTTGCTGTGGTTGTTGTTACATGTATCGCTGTCAAAACAATAGATTTCTTCATCCCTTCTCCTGTCTGGCATCCAGGCCTTCACAAAGAATACTCAGGGGCGGATCTAGGGGGAGGGTGCAGGGGGTGCGCACCCCCCCCCCCCCCCCTAAAAAAAAAAAAAAAAAAAGAAGGCCGTGGAGAACACAATGACATGGAAAGGTAAGTAACCTTCAGTAAAAATTGTTTTGCTGTGGTTGTTGTTACATGTATCGCTGTCAAAAAAAAAATTTTCTCCACCCCTTCCCCGTTCGGGCATCAGGGCCTTCAAAAAAAAAACCCAGGGGCGGATCTAGGGGGGGGGTGCAGGGGGTGGCCACCCCCCCCCCCCGAGATGACCTGTGGTTTTCTAATACAACTGGTATTCTGCAAAAAAAAAACTATGTGGTTTATTGGTGTTGAAGTAGAGCAAGAGACGAGTGCACCCCGTCCTAAAAAAAATCCTGGATCCGCCCCTGATACTTCACAAAACATTTTCAGAAGTATTCAGGTACTTACTCTGAAACATTTCTGGCCACTGTTGACATCACAAACAAGATGGCCTCCGTTATTTCCCAAGGTATTTTGTCTCCTTGCTGGGCGAGGCTATTGTACATCTAGTAAGAAAAGTTATTTTTAACAGAATTAAACTTAACCATTCACAATTAACATTAAAATAATGGTTCATATTACAATACTTTAAGTAAAATACACTGTAGGAAACAACTATATTTAAAAAAGTTTATCATAGGAACTTGGATAGGAACTATGTAAGTAATTGTCATAAAAAAAAAAAAAAACATTGCAAACCTGGCTGAAACAGTTGGTTGATCCTATTATAAACACACAATCATTGATGAGGTCTGCAACTCTGAGACGAAACTCTCCAAACTCATCACTGTCGTCTGGGATGCCTTGCTGTAGAGAGATTCAGGTGATAACAGAAATTTAAGTAGAAAAGGTTCTAAATAATAGTTCATCCTTTTTGTTATAAGTTTGCCATAATCAGTTTTTGCCTGGCACAAAATTTATATTTTTAAAACATGTACATTTACATTACAGTAAAAAACAGGCAGTCTAGCCAGGAATGCCAACTTTCATAGAGGACAGAATACATTTTGGGGAAATAAACTTTGAACATTTCAGCATATTATGTTTTCTCACCCCAATGACAAAGCTTTTAAAAAAATTTTTTATCGCTAGAAAGTTGTTTGCCTTTTTGTTTGTTTTTATACTACTTGACTTAAAAGTATGCTACAGAGCATATGACTTTGAAACAAACTTACAAAATCTTTGTCCAAGTAATCTTGGACATCTGCGTACCCTGCTAGAGATAAGTACAAATGTATACAAGCTTGAACTTACAGCATCACTCTCCAGTCGACAGTGGACACAGAGAGCTTCAATAAGAGTCTGAAAGTACTCTCTAAAAATAGCTGTCTTGGCGTCATTCCGTGCCTTGAAAAGAGCTTCTGACAAGCGATACCAGAAATTGAAGGTTACCTCTGCAACCTAAAAAACAACAGGTCATAACATTTACAAGTCTTTGAAGTAATGGCAAAGTTTTTAAAGGTAAAATATGAAGTTAAACTGACTTGTTTTTCAAGATATGGTGCAGGGTGAGGGGGAGAGAGGGGGGTCAGTAGCCTTCCATGGAGTTGAGGATCCTGATATGGCTCATTTCTTGAAAAACACATTTTTAAAATGATAATGCAGTTGACTCCCAATAACTCAAATTCTCTCTAACTCGAACTTTGCGCTAGCTCAACCAAAGTCGATTTTCCTTGGATTTCCTTCATACATTCACTGTAATTTTACCCTCAGTAAGTCAACCCTCGATATCTCAACCCTACAAACCTTAACTCGAAGTAATTTTTGTTTCCCTTGAGATCATTTCAATATAATTTTACCCTCGATAACTCAAACAATGCTTTAAGCGCATGGCAAGTTGGAAAAAAAAAACAATGTACTGAAGTCCAAAACATTGAATTTATTTCAAAACAATCATGTCAGTTCTTTGTCTTTCCTTTTTTTTGTCACTCCAGTTCAAATTCAGTGTCCATTACTGTATATTAATCAAGCTTTGTTGCTTATTTCCTTGTTCAAAATATCAATCTTTATTTCTTGCTGTCTTTGAAGTGAAGTGTGCATGATACTTGCATTCCCTCCACATCCATTTTTGTATTTCCTTATTTCCAGTTGCACTTCATAAATGTCACCTCAATATAACAATGCTTTGCCTTTATTGCTTCACTTGATCAACAGATCTCATCTCCATTTTTTCGTGCAATGTATCATGTACTGCAACCCTATGGGTCTTGCACAATCTGTAATTATTTGCTTTGAACTCCTGATAACTCGAACCTTTTTCGATTTATTGTACTAATTATCATTACCTCATACTGATGGTGTTTGACACAAGTAAGAAGGATGGTGAGTGTTCTCAAGTCTCCCAGGCCCTACAGTGCAAAGAAGAGTTTTAATCATAAGATCAATGACTAAAGAAAAACATCTCTTGTCCACCTTTTCCAAAAAAGAATCAACAATTCTCTGAACAAACTAAATGTGAATGCTAATCATGACTACTGTGCATTAAGTAAATGCATGAATACATGCTAGAAACAAACTAGACAATTCCATTTCTCTCTATGATCAAGATAAAGCAAAGTGAAGAACATGTGAATTAATAATAACAAGATGAAGAAACAACAAAGGATCATTTACCTTTCCAGGTGATTCTACCATCACATGTAAATAGGATTCTCCCATTTCAGTGAAAATTCTACACAGGTTAAGAGCTCTGTCAACAGAAAAGAAGTAAAACCAAAAATTATTACAAATTCCAAAAACATAACTTATCATTTAAGGGTTCTTGGAGCCTCAGAAAACATAGAAGGAAATGTTTTCATTTTGCAAAAATGCCCACCAACATTAGCTAGTTCAGCTCAGAGACATGAGCCAGTGGCAGATCCAGGGGAGGGGCCCGGGGGGGGGGGGGGGGGGCCCCCCCCCCCTTTTTTTTTAGAAAAACGAGGGCCCCGGGGTCCCACCCCCCCCCCCCCCCCCCCCCCCCCCCCCCCCCCCCCTCCCCCCCGGCCCGTGCCCCGGCCCTTTTTGGGGCCCCCCCCCCTCCCAAATCTGGGAAAAAAAAAAAACATAACTTTTTTTTTTTTTTAAAAATACCAAAAAATATCTTTAATTTTAAGGTTGTTTTGGGACCCTAAAAAAAAAAGAAGAAATTTTTTTTTTTTTAAAAAAACCCCCCCCAACTTTGCTTGGTCCAGCCCAGGAACAGGGGCGGGGGGGGGACCCGGGGGGGGGGCGGGGGGGGGGGGGGGGGCGGCCCCACCCCCCTTATTTTTAGAGCAAACTGAGGCCCTGGATGACCAGCCCCTTCCCCCCCTTCCACCCCTCCCCCGCCCCCATTATCTCAAGGTCTGGATCCGGCACTGTTAGTGGCATCCCTTCTCTGCAAAATGTGGGAATAAAAAAGACTTCATGTTGTGTTCTGTTTCAGTTTTATCACCTTAGCTGTCGGAGCCTCTAATATATTATTAAATTAAACAAGGGGCCAATAAACCAGTTACCTATCAAAGTCCTCACTGTTGACAGCTTTCTCATAAGCTGGTGGCAGCATCATAACATATTTAAACAGTCCTTCAGCTAGTGGTTGCTGCTTGTCAAGGTTCTGAGCAAAAAAGAAAAAAAAAAGATTAAAACACATAAGCAAAGGAGCAGCTTCCTGTAGAATAGAGCTCGTTGGACTTGTAATTTGCTTTGATTCCGTCTTGGGTGTCCCACTCTGTAACACTCTGGTCACTAGCTGGATTTGTCTTTCAGTTTTCCTGACTCAAAATTCTGAGTCACCCTTGTAAAATAGCAAATTGGTTGCCTCCTGCCAGTAGAGGTTTTCAAACCTGTTATGTTATGTTTGTACATAACATAATTTGTCTGAAATCACTTAAGTGCTATTAAGAGCAGCTAAAAGCACTTCCATTATAAAAACTTTAAGCAAAGAGTAAAGCATTTTCCTAAAAAAGGATGGAATTAATATCCTTTACCTTAACAACAATCCCTTTATGCAGTGCGCATTATTGTACTTGCCAATGATTAAATAATGAAATGGACTGTACAGCTATACATGTACATTGGATATTTCTCTTTTGAGGGAGGAAGGCAGTTGAAATTTCTTTTGTTATTGGTCTTAGACTCATACATAACCAAGTCTTGTGATAAGGAATTACAACAAATTAATATTAATTTGAAAAAATTCAAACTAACTTCAAACAAAGTTTATTTCTTTGTTGTAATTGGGGACCATTAAGACACATGCACACACACTTACCTCCGAAGTAAAAAGAGCATTGCAAACAAAATCTGCAGCTACCTCATGTAACATATCACTGGAGTCAGCTTCATGCTGAAACAAATAGTAATTCAAAAATGATTGTTCATTACTTTATTGGCCTTTAACCCTTGGACATATACCCTAAATCACACCCCCCCGTGGGAGAAGTGGGGGGGGGGGGGGGGTTGTTTTAACCCCTCCCTGGAGTTTTTGATATGTTGCAGTATTTTAAAACGTATAAATGTTGGTTAGCCTGTGTATAGCTGCCCTTTCTTGAGAGGAGGGGTGGCTGTACACAGGCTATAATTGATGTGTTTAGAAATGTCAAAAGAACAAAGAAAGAAGGATGTACAAGTTTATATTGTAAAGTGTACATAAACATTTACTGAAAAAAACAAAAAGGTGCTGCTACTTTATGGGATTTCTTTTAAAGAAAGTGAAAAAGAAGGAGAAAAAAGAAAGAAAATCAAAATGTGAACTGAACTGCCTATCAATGGGTTAACTTCTACATTGGATTCCCTGTACTGGTAAGCATTAGCCATTTTCTTGTTTTTAAGTAGGGCTTCATCTGTTTTCATAAAATGGAAGGTGACTTATGTGAGACTAGTGAAATTCAAACTCAACTGTAAGTGCAACAATCTGCCCCCTTGCACTGTATCCACAAAAAATAAACAATAGGTTTGTTCCATACAAAGGGGAATTTGACAACCATGGTTGGAAACTCCATTTATTATCAGTATACAGCTATTTCAAGAGAGGTTGTCGAGAAAAATGTGCACGTGACAATCTGAAAGGTAATATGGGATAATTATTACCAACAGTACAGCCTGCTGATTATTACTCACCAGAGTTCTAAAGGTGGTCTGAAGCAGTTCAGTCTGTGCAAACTCAGCAGGAGGAAATGCACTTAGAGTCACCCAACTGGCAGCACAGCGAAACATCTAATAACAATAAAACAACTTGTGTTGCTTGTTTTTTATACATTGACAGTTCTATAGGGTATGGTTTGTTTTGCTGCTAAGTCTCAGGAAACTGGAGCAATAACAAGTGCCCAACTGAGGTCAGTTGAGAAGCTTACACAGTACATTGAATTAACCCATAAAGCAAAATATAGGTACACATGTGAGGGGACATAAGCACAAGCAGCACACTGACAGCTTGAAAAACTTGTAAAAAAGTAACAGTTCAAAAAAATTTTTCAAACCTACGAAAGGGATACTTGCATATGATAGAAAGGTGGCATTTTAAACTCCAAAACCATGACACAGTAAATCTTATTATTAATCTTGACACACGTAGCAGAGGTTGATTTAAGAAACAGTTTACTGACCTTTACTTTGATATTTGCATCATTTTGAAATTGACCAACACAAGCAGCCTGTATCATACACAATGTACGATATTAACAATATTAGTTTATATGAAACAAGATTGTCGCAGTTATAGATTCAACTTTTGCAGTTGCAAGTTACCAAGTTTAAATCCTTGAAGAATTAAAGAATGTACATGATGATTGTTCACTACGATAATTATCAATATTATACGCTAATGCAAGAGTACACTGCTATGACAGCTCGACACACTAGCTGGCTGTACATTAGCTTTATGCCAACAATGTTTAAATCCCATACATACATTTAGACAAAAAAATTATTGAGTGACTGACATGTCAGACTAAATCTAGCAAGCACTGTAAGCATTAATTTCATTTCTTTCCCCTGTTGGGCAAATGGTGCATAAAAATGAATCACTTTTTGTTCTCTTATTTCTTTAATACAAAAGGAAAGAACAAAGAAAAGTTCTGGTCACTTTTCTGTAGGAATTAGAGATCAAAACAAAACTCCACAACAATTGCATATGAGACTGTGATTTTTACCTGCAAAACATACTGTATATAACATCTGTAAATAACAGTTGAACTTACAAGAAGATTAAGAACTGTTGTAGCTGAAGCACGAAGTTCAGTGCACACATCGTCCCTTCTGTTTGCACCCACTCGAAGATGATGACTCCCCACCTTACAAAGCACAAAAGACATGGAGTTATTTTCAATTTTATTTTCTTTAAGTTAAACTGCTGACACAAACTACTTAAGACAAAATAAGCGACAAAATACCTCTTCAGGAAGAACTGTCAGAATTTCCAGAAGAATTGGTAGTCTTTCTACTGTTGCACCAAACCTGTAAAAGAAACCACTTAGAGTATTAATTTTATACTTTTAGTATTTTAGTCATATTTGTGTTAAAAGGAAAAAGGTATGCAATATTAGCTACCATTAGCTTACAATTTAGATTGAAACCTGGAATTCTTGAGCACTGTATTGTCTTGTGTGACTTTCATGTACAATACGTTGAAATAGAGTTAATAGAAGGCTAAAAGTTGCTTTAAGGGCTGGGATTATGACAGAGAGCACGTTTTCAATTTAATTTAAGTTTTAAATTAACAGGACCAATTTTAAAAAGTGCCTCATTTTCCATCTGCATAGGACATCAATAAGGTATATTCTTGTTCAGCACGCGTGCAATGACCACGCTTGGCTGACTTCCGAATGCTCACCGAGATATGATAATTTAGTATAAGAAAATAGAAGGGATTCCCGTCACGAGTTGCTTTAATTATTGGCTTGCAATAAACCTATGAAAAAATGATATTTTTTTAATAGTAAGTAGATTTAGTGTGTAGCACTTCTTGATTTTTTTGCAAAGGCACAAGAAGCATGAGAATTGATTAAAAATTGTGAGTTAAACCTCTATGTATCACGCGATGGCCTGTCTCACTGTACCAAAATTATCATATTCAGAAGTCAGTCAAGCGCGGTCATTGCACTGGTGCTGAACAAGAATTCTGTATCATGACAGACTAGAAACAATAGACAACTCCCAAAGCACAAACTCAGCCAAAACGCTAAAAATCTTCAATGTTTACTCAAGTTTGGGCTTATAGAAGATAATGTCACAGTTTTTCAATGACCATGAAATTCAGAGTCCGGGTAGTTAGTTAATCAATTGTGGCCCTGAAAAAATTTGAAGGAAAAAAAACTACGAATTTTTAAGAAAATGCTTTTTTCGTGAGAAGGACTCTTAAACGCTGACAAACGTCAACAAATAGCGAAAACTATAATTTCTATATGTTTGCTTTGCTCGAAATCGCGCGCATTTACAAGGCCCTAAAGCGTTTTGCTGACTTGCAAGGACCCATCTGTTATAACGATGCCCAAAATAAAGAGATGAATCTCATAGTTTATTAGATATAATCCGTGTAAAGTTTGCTTATCATTTTCGCATAAATTATGACCTAAATTTGGAAACCGCTGAATTTCTCGAATTGGGTCTTTGCGATTTTGGTGAAACTCTGTTCAGCGCAAGGCACTAATGCGCACTATGTGTAGCCGAGAGATTTTTACGAAAAAATGCCAGCAACAGCAGATTTTCGACTCAGACCTCAAAGGGGCGTGGCATTATAACCACGTGACATTTACTTTGATCGCCAAAAATTTTATGTTATATTGTAGATTGATCTATATGTTATCCATTCTATGTGTTAGACTTACGATAAAAGTAAAGGTGGGGATACCAGAGAGCTTCAAAGTAGGATGGTACCCCCCCAAAAAAACTGGGTTGAGTCACCTTAAGAGGCCCTTTCATGAGATACAGACAAACCCAAACATGTATTTGAAACAACATTACTAAATGTTGCTGTTATGTTAAAAAGCACTTAAGAAATGCAATGGAACCATTAATAGTTTATGGTTGCTACTATAAAAAGGTTAAGGAAAAGAATTGCAACTGTGTCTCAGATAAATGACTGAACATAGTGCAAATTAATTTAATTATTATTATACCTCTGAGAAAGGTCATTGACTACTTCTTTCCACTGTGGCATTTGAACAGCAAGATCAGCAAGAGTTAGACACAGCTGTTAAGAAACAGTTCTAAGTTAATATATACAAAAAACCATGATGATGGTTTGGTGTCAAAGTTGTCAATGGGCCATTTCCGAGTTCCTCCAAGCCCCTTATCAAAATGAGGTTAAGTGCTCAGCCTTTGATATGCAAATGATTTTTCATTCTCATGCAAATAAAACTCATTTTTGCAAGAAAGGTTGCCCACTTGGCCTCATTTTGAAAGTGAGGGTTTTTGGAATTCGGCAGTGGCCTACTGCCTTTGACACTGGTGTCGCAAGCAGTACAGAGGATGTGGATCTGCACGAGTGGGTGGTTCTGGTGTGAATGAGTTAACCAGACAAGAGTTTTCAAGCACTAGCCATCCTCTTAGACATCCGGGGGGTCACTTGCTTCAGATCAAGGGAGGGGGAGTGGAAGTGAGTGACTCTTGAGCTAACTACATCCAGGCTAATTCTACAATTTACAGATACTCCTACATTCTACTCCTCTGGGCTGACATGCCTGTTCTTTTGCATTTGTACAAATGTAGCTATGTAATCAATTGCATTATTATGATACGTTTATGATCATGAAAGCACTATATATACTAAGTGTACACCATAATCTGCACATGCACCATTTTGTACCTCTGCTTTTCTTTTTACATGTATAACTTATAACAAAAACATAAATAAAAGCGTGTGCTGGCAAGTCTTGTGTACATGTACCTGGGTGACAATTGCGTGAGAGGCTCCATGGAGGGTGAACAGATGATCAAGAAGGGAATCCTTTAGTGACTGCAAAAGAGAATAAGTGAGTATAAAGCACTACATGCATTATTAATTTGACATCCTCAATCATTGCAAAAAAGAGCCCCACATAGGTGTTCAAATTAAATGATATAGCAGAACCTCCGTACTTACATCACATGTATATTGTGGCCCACAAAATACATGTAAGGACAAAAGCAAATAATATTGAAAAAAAAAAAAATGAACGAATCTCAACTGGTCAGAGGGAAACCAGTTACCGCAAAATTTCGAAAATAAGCCCTAGGGCTTATATTTTTCAAAGGCTCTTTTTGAGGGGCTTATTTTTGGAGGGGCTCATATTCGGAGGGGCTTATCTATGGAAAAAAAATTGCGTTTCAAAATCAATTGGGCTAGCCTTATAGTTGGAAGGAAATTTACCGTTTTTGCTTTGTTTTACAGTGGACTCCCGATAACTTGAACCTTCAAGGGAAATCATAAAAGGTTCGAGTTCACGGGAGTTTGAGTTATCGGGAGTACGAAGAAAATAGCCGAGAGTAAGGTAAAAAACAGTTTTTATTGCACAGTGAACATTTTAATCTCATTTAATTGTAGAAATGTCAAGTGAAAATTAAAAGTTGCTTCAAGATTATAAATCAGAAAGTAACGTAACAAAAAATAGCCTAAATAGAGCATGCATTTGACTGTTTTGAGAAGAAAAGCTGCTTCATGTTAGCCTGTGACAATCAACATCAGCCTCCACTAGTAAACTATACTCCTACAACACGTCAATAGGAAATCCAAAATTCAATGTTTCGGACGCCCGTATACTGCTTTTTCCTCGGCTTTTTAAGGGCTTTTTAACATGGTTCGAGTTATCGAGGGTGAAATTATACAGAAAATGACCTGAGGAGAAACGAAAATTGATTTGAGTTAGAGGGAGTTCGAGTTATCGAGGGTTTGAGTTACCGAGGGTAAAATTACAGTGAATGTATGACGGAAATCCAGGGGAAATCGATTTTGGTTCGAGTTAGCGCCAGGTTCGAGTTAGCGAGGGTTTGAGTTATCGGGAGTTGACTTTACTTTGTACTTGAGAGCAATTTTCCAATTTCAAGCCCCAGGCATTTAACAAAGGGTTTTTTGCGTTACTGGTTTGAGGGGCTTATATTTGGAGGGGCTTATACATGGAGGGGCTTACTTTTGGAATTTTACGGTAGCTATCAATATTATTAAACACAAGCATGGCTGAGTACACTGTAATTGAACTTATGGCCGCCAAGGACAAATCCAGAAAGTGGTTACTGTGGGGGTTGAAACTTCTGGGCCCCTAGATTGTATGCTGACGTCCGAGCTTACTGTTCACATGTTAAAATGTATTGTAAGAGGGTACATCTGTTGTCCTCTCATCCACAACTCTCTCTCTTCATTCATTCAAGTCCAGCTCTACACCCCTGTGGCAACCTTGCCTGTTCAGCCGGTCAGAGGCAAACCAGTCACACCCTGTTGCTATTACTAGTAAAATTTATATGTGTAAGCATGGCTGAGTACATGTAGTTGAACTCATGACCAACCCACAGAACACATCCAGCAAGTGGTTAATGCAGAGCTTGAACTTTAGGGCATCTAGATTGCACATTTCAGCTGTATGCCCACTCTCCCCGTAGCCTGCTTAACCACCAAGAGTACTGATGCAATAAACGTCCCAGAAGAAACAATGAGAATTCTGGTTGAAAAACTATATAGAAAGAATGAGACTTACTTGATACTGTGTCGGTTGAAGTTCGTGAAAGTGATACTGAACCTGAAAGCAATGTGGAATAGTCTTTAGGCTTTGAATAAAATAATTGAGTCTGTTAATATTATTTTTGTTAGAGAGAGAGACCTTGTTTATTTCAATCAGGGTAGCCCAGTAAGAAGCTTGAGCAACTGCTGAACGATAATTATATATAATAAAAATCATAAAATGCAATAAAAAAAAAATTGCAATCTGAGGCGTCATTCTCATATGAATGATTTAAACACAAGTATCTCCATGAATGGTCTTTTATCAGGTAGGTAGTTAGAAAACAGATAAAAGTTGTTCTTGTGTGGACAGCCATATAAATAAATTAGTTTTTATACATTTTAAAGTATAAATGGATGTTTGTAAAAGAAAGCTTCAAGGTAGATTATTGATAGCAAAACTGCTTGTATTGATATAGTAAGTACCCAAACTAGCTATCATGTTATTGCCCTCATCGATTATGTACTAAGGATAAAAGTATTACAAAGACAAAAGGAACAAACAAACAAACAAACAAACACACACACAATAAAGATATCACAATGATAATAATACCAACTTCTGTTTTAATGTCACTGTGCAGTATATATTGTTTTATACTAAATTATTATCTAATGTACACTGTATGATGATATAAAACAACTGTTTGCTATTTACCTTTGTTCGCATGGTCTGTGCAGCAAAGTAGCTTGTCTCCACACTAACATTCAACCTCAAAAGATGGTCTGCAATTTCCCAAGCATACACCTGCAATGAAATGACAATGTTATAGTTCCTTCATTTTTCCTGTACACATAAAAAAATACAGAAATGGAAATAAAAACCTATGGACATTGCTGTGAACATCACATTCACCTTCATGCCTTTTTCTGCAGTTCAAAACTTGATTCATTTCATATACCATAAAATTCTGAAAATAAGCCACGGGGCTTATATTTTTCAAAGGCCCTTTTTGAGGGGCTTGATTTTGGAGGGGCTTATCTACGGAGGGAAATTTGCATTTCAAAACCGATTGGGCTAGCCTTATAGTTGGAAATAAATTTACTGTTTTTGCTTTGCTTTACTTTGTATTTGAGGGCAATTTTCCAAGTGCAAGCCCCTGGGGGGCTTATATTTGGAGGGGTGATTTAACGGAGGGTTTTTTGCGTTACCGGTTTAGGGGGCTTATATAGGGAGGGTCTCATACATGGAGGGGCTTATTTTTCGGAATTTTACGGTATTTTTCATGTCATTTTCACCATCGGATATATTACGAACTCACAATTACTTGTTCTCCAGTTCACTTGATTAGGTCAATGGATAGAGGGTTACCAGTTGTTTTTGATGCAAAGTTGTTTCAAAGCAAGTTTATTAAGTCGAGTTGTAAATAAACTATATACTTAATAATAGAAAAAAATAATAATAATGAAGGTTTGTTCATACTGGAAAGTGCACTTAGCTTATCCAGCTAGTTTACAGTCACTCCACTCAAACACTTAGAAACAAATTATTCAAATAAAACACAACAGGATTAAGAACCCCACCTGGCATGAGGCGACCAGTTGGCTATTTACAAGTGAGGCCAATGATTTAAACTCGGAACGACTGAGAACAAATCCAGTAAATAGCCAGAGCGGGACTTGAGCCCAGGACCGCCAGATTGCGAGTCTGACACGCTGACCACTCAGCCACCCTGCCTCCACAAAGTGATTGCAATTTTTGTGCAGTTTCATTGCTTGAATTCGTATCAAAAGGACTTGTATCAAAACAACTTTTTATCAACATTATCTGTTACCAGATAGAGTGTTGCGTCCAGTCAAATTGCAAAGGTCAGGGTTTGTTTCTTGATCAAGCCTGAATTTTTTTCTGGTTCTATTTCAACTGCTTAGGTTGTTCATTCTACTGCGGAGATCACGTTCACTTTCATATCTTTAACCGCAGTTCAAAATACGATTCAGTGCTCAAACAAATAAAATATCCCATACTGTTGAACATAGTGTCACGTAAGTTTGGAATTCTTGCTCAGAAAGACCATGTTGTATTTTTGCACTACAAGTAATGAATAAATAAGCTTATAGGCAACATAACATTTCGATGACTCAGATGCCGGAAAATGGCAAAAAACAAGTTTGCGGCCGGCCGTGACGAGCTTTGAGTGAGATTTTAGGCCCACGCAAAATTGAAGAGCAGTAGAAAAATATAACAAATATCACTAATTAAAGCCATAGCTTAAAGAGGATGCACTCAGACGCTAATAATATTTTAGCTAATGATATTATATTAATGAAAAGGGAAACCTTACAAAGAAACTCCGAAAGTTTTGATCTAAAGTATCAAAGCTTAAAGATCAGATCTCAAACTTTGCATGCATGCTTACTGATCGCTGAAGTTCTTGAAGCCATTCCGAAGCTTTCTCTTTTCCAGTAGGATTGGATTCATCGTACAGAGCATTAATTACAGCCCTGACATGATCCACTGATGGTTTGTTCATTGTAGCTAAACGTTCTGCCAGTCTTTCAAGGGGTCATGTTGTCGTTCTGAATTCCGCCGCCATGGTGGTAGTTCGAAGGAGTTCGAAGTAAGGCGCTCTCTTCGCGGAAAAACCTGGCGCCGAATTTGAAGCCCCTGGTAAAAAAAAATCAGCGGCTCGCAATATGGTCATGTAAGAGAAATTGAAGCTTCGTCTTTCTAACTCGGGTTTAAAATACCTTCTCACAGTTAAATTCAAAGCCATAGCCACACCATCATTTATGGCGTTTGTGTCTCTAAACTGAGTTGCCTGCCACACTTTCTTTTCTTGTCATTTCCCCGAGCAATTTTTTTTTCCTGTCGAGATTGTACAAATGCATTTCCAAAGACACTTTAAGCTACTTTATATGAAGGGAAAGTTCGATGTGGCGCCAAACGACGCCAGCTAAGAAAGATGCCTTCCAACGTGGAAATCAAAGCAAAGGTCACGGATTTTGAAACGTTTAAGAAAAAAGCAAAAGAACTCAGTGGATCTGAAGGTAGCATTTAAGGGATAATGAGATGTTATTTTCCCATCTACCCTATTTCTGCTACTTGATTATACACCCAACATCGGTGCAACGACGGGCATGCCAGCTGGTTGAGATAATTAGAGATCACGATCTGCACAATTCAAAGGCTGAGATGAATAGTGGTAGCTATCTAACGGATAAATCACTATTTAGTGATACGTGCCAATAGGGAAACCATTTTAATATTATCCAGGCTTGTGGATCTTGGATAGCCTAGCATTATTTTTTCCACCCTTTTATATTGAACAACTAGAGCCAGAGCACTTTAACAGATGTACATGTATTCAGAGTATGAAGGAGTTGATGTTTTGTGGCACTTTGATGAGACAAGCGCAACTAGTTTGCAACTCACCCGACAGCCTACAAGACAAGACTGACCACCTAAACAATATTTTAAGGAAAAACAACTACAACGCGGACTTTGTTAGACGGAACACTCACAGTAGCGCCAATTCCAACACTTGGACTAACATTAGTTATCTCTGCCCCTGTTATGGCAGCAACTATACTGTACGTCAGAGGCACCTCTGAAACGATTGCATATATACTACAGCCTTAAAACATATGCATTACACACATACTGATGACCACTTTACGGCAACTGCTTAGTAATGACAAGAACAAAGATGGACCAGAGGACAAACAAGGAGCAGTATACAAGATCAAGGGCTGCGACTGCCAGACCACTGACATTGGTGAGACTGGCGGAAACCTTAACACGCGACTCCCTGAACACAAGCAAGCAACAAGAAATGGTCAGTGATGTCTACAATCACATTGCTGAGCACCATTTACAGACAAAACCTCAAATTGACTGGCCATAATGCTTGTGACATGCATAACACATTCTACAGACTACTACCAACAACACTTTAGAAAGCTGGTTTACTAACTTGGAACAAGGGCCACTGAATCACAGTCAACAATTACCAGCACCGTAAAAAAAAACCCTTATTGATGGACTCAAACAAAACTGACCACAACAGAATAATGGCTGATTATAACCAACCATTTGACTAACAATAAACAACTGTTCAACTGTAACAAAAAGGCAGATGGAAATGCTCCAACTGGCTTAACTGACAGACAACCAATAACATTGTGACTTAATTGACCAGTCATATCAATTACCAGAGTTTAATACCATCAACTGACATGATACAACTCACTTTGACTTTGAACCGACAGTTGAGCGAGGTGTCGATGGAGTGTCGTTGACGGTGATATGTTGGTGATCCGTTGGCAAAGTAATGACTGACTATTGGCACACTATTGACCCAGTATCAACCGATGGGTTATAGGGCCGACTATCGGACAGATACAGTGTATCGACCAACACGTGGCCAATACTCTACCAACACTCCACTGAGACTCGACTGACGCTTGGCTGATGTATTGACTGATAATGTCGACCGATATGTTGGTCAACACCACCTATAAGACCGAGATCCCTCTTTTACTTGCTTTGCTCCTTACTTGCTTGCTCTTCCAAGTGCTTGATGATTTCATGTATTATGGTTCTTGTAATCTGCAAGCTGAGGTGGAACTTACAGGTTTTACACTGTAGCTTATCAGCAACTGTTTAAGCACTTATTTCTTTGCCATGGAATTTTGCAGGAGAAGTTATTGAACAGAAAGATATATTTTTCAATGTTCCTCAAGGAAGACTTAAGGTAATCAGAGCTTTTGATCATTTGCTGTTATATTTTTTTATTTGTTTCAGTTTATTTATTTGCCAGAGAAAAAGAAAAAAAAAAAAAAATATATATATATATACATACATACAGACATTCAATATATTGCAAAAATGGTTAGTTATAGATTAAAGAGATGTAAATTGTTATTAAAAGAATTAGAAGCTTTTTTCTGGTGAGGAAGCTCAAATTGAAACCTTGTGGCTTATTTTCTGAGCTCCCTCCCTAACCTAAGACTAAATAAAATTAATAAATAAGCAGTGAAATCATACTGAAATATAATTGCAATAAAAAGCAAGCAAAACAAAACAGACCAAACAGGCGAAAAGCAGCAAAAAACAAGTATATGTATTATTTAAGTAGCTTTAAATAATGTCTGTTTCCCAGTGTTAGATAGAACCTTATTATTTTAAGTGACCAATATACTAATCTATCTCCAGATAACCATCCCACCAAAACTAATCTTCCCCTTGTTTCCTTGCCAGTACCTACTCAGGGTCTGCACAGTCTTGAAAAGTTGTTGAAAATCAAAATGTAGTCATTGAAAAGTCCTTGAATTCCAGTTTTCCTTGAAAAGTCCTTAAATTTTCTGTGCTAGTCCTTGAAAATTCCTTGAATTTTCTTCAACTTTGAACGTAGTGGCCTTAATATATCAATAATCATAGCCCACAGAATTTTTAAGGTGATTTGCAAAACACATTTTGTATGTAATGAGAATTAACTATTAATTTGAGACAATTGAACTGAAAAATGTAGAGAGTCTGGTGGAGCAAGTCTAACCCTTATAAAAGTCCTGTTAGCTTGGACTGCTGGGAATGAGTATTTATGTACGACTCTGTAACTTACATTCGTGGTTGGTGGTCCTTGAAAATCGAATATGCTCCTTGAAAAGTCCTTAAAAAATGGTTACAATTTTTTGTATGAACCCTGTTACTGTATGACTGCTTCTTCTGGCTTCAGCTCAGATTTCTTCAAAACAAACCATCTCAGCTTATATACTATGAGAGAGATGACAAGAGCGGGCCAAAGATGTCAGACTACTTTATCACCACTACAAATGAACCTGAAGATTTAGCAAATGTTCTTTTACAAGCACTGGGCGAGAAAGGTAAGGTGATAAGCATGGGCAATGACCTTTTTTGTTGTTTGTTATTAAAATGTTAAGAATGATATGTTTGAATGTGTGTTCCTTTCAAAGCATCCACTCATTAATTTGCTTAACCGTGTGCTTTGTTCTTGCCTTTCCTTTAACACACTGTGATACTACAATGAATATTATGCGCAAAAAATAATTTTTTGTGAAGTGGAGAAAATAAGATGGAAAAAAAGAATGCATGAACTCACCTTCATCGTCATACAGGGCTCGACGTTGCGACCTGTGGGGTCGCCAATGCGACCAGCTTTTACTCAGTGGCGACTAAATTTTCACACCTGGTCGCCAACCTGGCCACCAAGATAGGTGACTTTCTTCTTTGGGTAAACGTACACTAATGATAATCTGTTATCCTTTACAAAACTAACGGATAGCTAACGGTTTTGCTAACGCTCTAACGGTTTGTCTAAACATTTTAACGATTCGTCTAAACGCTTTAACCATTTCTTTCAACACTCTAATCTACGTTTACTTGAAAGAGGATTGTGAAATGAATGAATTCGACGAAAGACTTACCGACTTTCGGGCAAATCGATCGCAATTCTTAACAGATCGTCCCGTGTTTCTCCGGGAATGACTTTTAGCGCATCGATATTTAAAACAATTTCTTTTTGCCCAACATGTATCTCGATTGCGGACTCGATAGCCGATTAGTCTGATAAAAGCTAAAGCTAATCGAAGCTAATCGAGAACGAACAGCGCTTACTCGAACTTCGCAATTCTTGTAAACAAATTTCTGTTGAGCGTGGCGACCCAAATAAAAGCTCTGCCGTATTTTATTGACTTCTAATGAAGTACCGTTGAACTCATGCTGTTTGTCTAACAGACTTCTCGCGAAATCAACTTCATTGCCCGAAAACATTAGCGACGTTTCCTCTTTCTGGAGACTTTTGATCACGCGTTAGGCAATCGCGAAATAGATGAAGTTTCACCGATGTTCATTTCTGAACGTGCAAATACATGGGACGCAAAACAAATTTTGCAGATTTTGTTCTTTAATATCCCAAATAAGTTTTTTTAAGATTCCTTAAGTTTGTTTTTCTTAATGTGTATTCCATTTCCTGAACCTTAAGCTTGAATACTTTATAATATATAATTTTTGGCGACTAGAATACTTGTTCTGGCGACCAACAATGAAAACATGGGGGCCTGTTGGCCCCAAGATTTTTTTCTGAAAGTCGAGCACTGTCATAAGAAATTGACCAAGCTGTTATTAGTAACACTTATCTTCTTCGTCATGACATCATTATTGTTTTTGTCATCATCATCATCATCAACATTAGGATTATTACATATTTTGGTGACAATTAAATTCAACTTATTAAGGTATTGTTAAGAAAAAACGATTGCTGCACCTTGTGGGACAGACTAGGATACACTGTGATGAGGTTGAAGGCCTGGGACATTTTATGGAATTAGAGGTTTGTTTTGATTTTGTTTTTCCCCTCAGTGGAGTATTTTGTTTTTTACTTGAACTGTATTTGACTTTGAATAGAAGACTTCCAGGCCCCGGTTGTTCAAACGTTGGATAGCGCTATCCACCGGATAAATCACTATCCATTGGATAAGTATTAGGGAAACCAATTGCAATTTTTATCCAGTGGATAGCGCTATCCAAGGTTTGAACAACCAGGGCCTGGAGAAAAGGAAACTTGGTTGCATTCATTCAGGCTAGAAGGTTTGAAAAGTTAGACTGTAAATTTCAGTGTTAGACTTTCAAAGGGAAGTAATTTTTTGCTTGAATTATTGTGAGGTTTGAGAAACCATGGGTTCAAGAACAACATATTTTAGTATAAATTATTTGATAATAAAAGCATATTTTGCAATGATTAGGTCACTGGTGTGATTCTAGTTAATACAATGCTTATTTATAAACCTCAACTTTTGTCTTATTAGGCTTATTACCTTATGATGACTATACATTTTTATGTTCATTTTCACCAAAAAAAAAATGAAGTTTAGCCCCTTTTTGCTAATGCCTTTTGCCACCGTTGTTTGAAGTTTACAGATCTATGCAATGGTCAGTAAATTTCACTGGATTCTTTGGTAATTATTAGGTTGTAATGAAAGAAAACCAAAGTGCCTTGGAAGGTGAAGAGATTGCCAAAGACTTGATGTTCAAGTTAGGAGTTGAAGACAAAGATCTTATCAAGGGGGCATATATAGACTTGCTTAGTTCAAAAGACGCTTAAGACAGGCTGTTTATGGAAGGCCACAGTGTTACACTGATGTCTGACTCTGCATTCATGCGGATTGTAGAACTATGAAGCAGTCAGCAGGGGCGGATCCAGCATTTTTTTTAGGAGGGGGTGCACTCGTCTCTTGCTCTACTTCAGCACCAGTTAACCACATATATATATGTATATATATATTTTTTTTTTGCAGAATACCAGTTGTATTAGAAAACTGCAGGTCATCTCATGGGGAGGGGGGTGGGCACCCCCTGCACCCTCCCCCTAGATCCACCCCTGGCACTCAGCCAGTCAGAACTTGATAAAGGGATAAACTCTAAGAAAGTTCACAACTTTGTCCTGGTAGATTCTCACAAGGCTCATTTTATTGAGCAAAACTGTAGGCTATCTTTAAATCTATTGGTAGAAGCCTAGGTGGCTTGTAAAAAGTTCATGGAGCGTCCGAAATGAAAGGTTTTTGTAAGCAAAAGGTCTTTATGCCAATGTTTTTATTTTTTGGGGGGGTTTAACTTCAAAGACTTCATGGAAGTTTTGCTGGTGTGTAGAATGCGACTGAAATTTGATATTTTTTGAAAGTGATACCGAAAACAGATTGTTTGAACATTGAAAAGGAAAATGTGGTATATTTGAAATTAAAGAGAAATTTTCGATAAAGGAAATAAAAATTGAGTGTACAAAAAGAGGCAAAATCAAAGGCAATAAATAAAATATAGCTTGTCTGCAGTTCAGGAACTTTATTAACAGGAGGAATTTTTTACTCAAAAAGAGAAAAAAGGAACTTTTTATTGGAAGAAAGGCTTGGAAATAGCCTGCGTATAGCCCGCGCCGGATTTTTTTAGGGCGAAGGAAGAAATCTCGAGGACGCGCGCGGGGAGAAAAGGAGTGTTTCCCTCGCGCGGCCTGTATTAAAACCATGACCGGCGCCTGCTAAGCATAACGAAACCGGCGAAATATCATAGTTAAAGTTTAGTGTCATTATCGTATTTTTGTCTGGAAAACATTCATTTACGGTGTCGGCAGCAATATTGACATGCTTGAAAGTCATTGGACACTTCTCCCGGGAAAAGAACAATCTGTCGAAGTGCTTAGCAACGACACCACGCCACCAGCGGGATAGCAACTACACAACACGACTTCAAAATGGCGGCTCTGTTTTAGGCCAAACTCCCGATCAAGGTTTGAAACAAAACAGTGATACTTTTACAGTTTTTGAAACGGATTATTATCTTGCAAGATGGCAAAGGTTGTTGTAGCCCCCGCTGTTCATAATTTTGCGGATCTTCGGCCGTCTTCGCGTGCCCTTACGATCACCCCAAGACCAGGCTCTCGTAAATCAACTGGCTATGGAACACTTGATCGTCCGCCTTCTCGAAATATTTCTCGTGTAGGGAGCAATGTGGTTGTTTCTCCGCGTGAATCAAAAGGAGTATCGAATATTTTGATTTTATCTCCGGGAAGGCGAAATTCGGGTTTGAGCCTTGGTAAGTAACTTTTTGACGTCTTTTACATCAGTCTGTTGTTGCTCTTTTGACGCACTGCAATCGTGATTTTATTTGTTTTAAATGGCAGGATATACTTTTCATTGCGAATTAAAAATTTAAAAATGAGAAATTTAGTCTTATATCAGGGAATATGTTATATTTTTGTATATTAGAGCAGTCTATAATCAGAATTCTACCTATAGAATTAGAATGTTATTTTGCGATGCGAGTTTCCTTCGCGTACTACAGAATATTTATGTAAACAACTTTTTCAATCGAGCGCGAGCTTATGAAATGTTTCTTTGTGACCGTTGTTAATTGTAACAGAGCCGAGTGATACACAGAGCTTTGATTTCGTTGTGTACCAGAACAACATGGCAGTTTCCTTTACGTCCACATTCGCGTTGTTACACGACAACAATCGTTTGATTCTTGTCCCGTGTTTTGTAGGTTCGCCCAAATCTCCAGATGTGAATTTGACCTTCATTGAGATCGAGTCTCGACTAAGGGAGAAGATTCGAGTCAACGCTGACGAGTTACGTCAGGTAAACTTTATTGGGTGTTTGTAATCCTAAAAAAAAAACAGTGAATAAGGTTTACGCCTCTGCCAAAAAGGTTATAGAAATTGGAGAACTTCGGGATATTAAATGGATCCATGGAGACACAAAATTTCTCTTTGAGTGTTTAAAAATATTGCACTTGAAGATAATTATTTTTTAATCGCCAAGTGGCCATTTAATGTTCTATTTTTAATATTGACACAAATGAAATAGATCTGTACCAAACTATTTCATTTTTGAAATGTAGTTTTTTGCTGCAAAAGGCCTGATTTATTATGAATGGTATTCCTTTTTATGTCTGAAATAGCCTGAGTATCAGGCCTTCCTAAGGGGCTAGGGGAGAGGAGATTTTAGATGGGGGAGTGGGGAGGGGGAGAAGAGAAAGGAAGGCCTGACACAAAACCATTCAGCAAATCGTGTGACACATCCAAAATCTGGATGTGGCAGTGATTGGATAACACACAATACCCAATGACGTCACCGACCGCAAGAGCGATCGGCAAGGAGAAGCCATTGAAATTTTTCATAGATGTTTTGATTTCATGTTACCGGTATGTGATACTTTTATGGATAGAGACGCAGAGAGGAATTCAAAAAGGCTCGAGAGGGCGCTCTCAAGTTCTTTCCTGGAATAAAAATAAAACCTGGGCAAGAATTGTGTTTTCAAGACCTCGTAGTTTAAAGGAAAGATGTTCTCGGAGTATGGAAAAGCCTCATATACCAGCTTCTGTCGAAACTATGTCAAAGAAGACGATATCAGTGTTTCAGATATCCAAGTTCTGATTTACAACATCCTGCCGTTAAAAGGGTATTGTTACTGTAAATGAGAATAGAGCGAGGTAGCCATGTATTGAGATAGCCGACGGCACCAATCCTTTTAAAAAGATTGACTTTGCTTGTGGCGGTTACGATAGCGTACGTGATTGGAATTCGTTCGCTTCCTCTTCCAAAATTTTCTCACTTTTGAAATGTCTTAAGCTCATGCGCACGCCATCATATTTCGCCAACGGGATTGACCTTTGCTATAGGCTCTCACTTCTTTTTGAACTTGTAACAGCTTTCACGAGCTCTCTGTGAGGTGGTGGAATTTGCTGCTGCTTGATAGTTTCTAGGCATAGGTGTTTCACCATCGCACCTTCCTATTTATTCTTGCAGCTCCTTTCAACCACCCGAGAATACGAGGGACAACATCAGCTTTTTAGCTGCCAGACAAGCGCCTGATGTAACTCTGTAAACAAAAGCAATTTACAATTTTCCAGGCACACGTTTATTTACAAACAGAGCGTTAGCGATCTTACACCAGCACAATTCCGAAAACATGTTATAATTCGTCAAAAACCACAGGCTTTACATTACAAGTTTTCGAAAACTCCTCATTGGAGGTTTCAGAAAAAAGCGAAATCGTAGCAACACAAGCACCGGAGCTCGGCCAGGCCGTAAAGTGAGATTTATTTTAGGTGAGCTTTTTGACACGTGAAGCTGAGAACCCAATGACCGGAAGTGATTTTGATTGGATGGTATCGAATCATGCTGTGTGGGGGTGGAAGGCTTCAGTAAAAGCATCTGTGTCAGGCGTTTTTCTCCTTCAGCTCTCTCCCTTTTTCGCTTCCATCGTTCCCCTTTTCCCCAGAAACGCCTGATACTCAGGCTATGTCTGAAAAGGACATGGTATTAATTGTTATGCATGAAAGGGGAAATACAGCATCTGCTATGGACAGTACACCGTACATGTACATGTATGAAAGGTACCTGGCATCATATCTGGGCATGGTATCCCGCAGTTTCAAGTCACAGGGATGATCAAATGGGAAAAATGTTAAAGACTAAAAAACTGCCTAGGGCTTCCAACGATACCCCCAAAAAATCCCTTTTTCCAAGCCTTAAAGTTTTCCAGAAAGCATAAAATGATATAACACGAAAACTAGATTAGAAATTGAATGTTTGTGTTTACGGCTTTGATACGTGGGCATTACAATGAGTCTTCAGATTGTTTTGTATACCCAAAAAATCCCTACTTAAATCAGGCCACACAAAAAAATACTTGCCAAATTTTCCTACCCCCAAGAAATTGTGGAATCAAGAATTTCAAACCCCAAATAATTCTAGGATCACCCCCATCACTTGAAATCCAGCAACCCGCCCACCCCCACCCCCCAGTGGTATCCACTGTAGAGGGGGAGTGGGATGGTAATTCTGAGCTTTTAGACCATTAGACCACCATCTTTTGCATTATATTGTCTAAGTTCATATTTTGCTTCTTAATTACCAGGCTTTCCAAACTTTTGATGCAGAGAAGACACAGACCATCACTCAGAGTGAATTTAGAAGAGCTCTTGAATCTTTTTGTATTCCAGTCACAGATGATCAGTTTGAGCAACTTCTTAGAAAGGTAAAAGCACATTGAGAGTTGTTAACTGCAATTCCAGTTGATTAGACAGCATGTACGTGTGTGAGTAACCCAATGTACATAAGTTGTGTACTTGAAGGTATTTTTACGTTAGCTTTACAACGTATGTCTACAATGTCTACTTAACATTTTTCAATGTCTTATTTACTTCGGCAACAATCCTCTTCTCAGTACTAAGTATCACAAAATAATTTACAAGTGTATTAATGCTTTATCTGTATTTACGTGTTGTTTGGCACAAGGTTGGAACTAACAGAGATGGGACCATATCATACTTGGAATTTTTAGAGAAGTATCATCAAAGAGGAGGCACACCAGATGGATTGCGAATGTTAGGAAGCTTGCAGAAGTAAGTTAGGTCCCTTTAAAGTTTGTTTTTTGGTTAATCAAGTGTTCTGTCTCCTTTTTTCAGGAGTTTTCCTGGCAATTTCGGGTGGAGGAAGAGGTCAAGTGCCTATGACATAGGCTTTAGGCTTACTCAAAAAGCTAGTTCTTGGCAAATTATGTCAATAATCGGCTGTCTTCAGGGGTTTTTATTGAACATTTAGTCAGAAGTAGAGTTACGTGTGCAGCAGGCAGCGACAAAACTACTGCTGTAGGATCAAATGACTTGTAAATCACTTATAAATGACAAAGGTTAGGGAGGAAGTTTTAAAAGCTAAAGGGGTGGTTAATGAATCCCATCCAGATTTTGTTAATTCTGTGTCTATACAGTGAAGGTGGTCTTAGGGCACTTATTTATTGTGTGTGTGTATAAATTTGATAAATCAATAATATTTATTAATAACTGTAGGAGAAAGGTGTTTGACTACAGATTTTCTCTATGTTACTAGTAGACACTTTCTAATGAAACCACATTTTATATGGTGCTTTCATTCTAAATATAATGTAATATGAAAAAGTAAGAATAGTGAATCATTGTTATGCAATTTTTTTTCGTTGCATTAGATTCAACCAGACAAAATCTCCTCGAGATCAAGTAGCCATAGATGAGATTGAAGATCGGTTAAGAAGAAAGGTAAGAATTTCTTCATTTTTTTATATTTGTTTACATCTGTTCACTGGACTTACTGTATTTTTTGAATGGAGTGCAATTTATGTGTATTAGATCTGATGATTTTGCAAATTTTTGGGCTGTAATGAAAGATGGTTATGGTAATAACAAATTTTGGAGTGGTGCCTACAATGGCCGACAAAATGAGTTGAGACACTTCGCCCAAAACCGGGCTTTTTTATGTTTTATTAACTTCAAAAGAAGGAAATATAGCTTTCCTCCCCCATCCCCTCCGTGCAATGTTGTGCCCTTGTTCTAGCTACCAGTAGAAAACAACAAACACCCCAACTTTGAATGAAGGGGACAGGGGAGGGATGCGGATTCTTTTGTTCTCCGAAGTTACCCTATTTAAGTACAATGTCTCAACACTTTTTGTCGCCGATTGTAGCTATTAAAATGTAGCATTGAGCAGATGAACAGTGTATCTGTAACATTTTCCCTTCCCATTGTGGTTACTTCTCAATTTAACCTTTTCATTCTACAGATGATTTAATTTGTAGTCGTTTATAAAATAGGAAAATTTATTGGTTTACGAGCTTACTTTACAAACTGGGCCCAGTTATTCGAAGGCGCTTAACCCAGGGTTAAATAATTTATTTAACCCTGGTCTTCTTTTCTTGTGTTCAAAAGCATTTTCTCGGATAATTTTCTGTGTTATTTTAAGAGCTTCCAATCATCAACCTGTAGACAAAAGAATTAAAACTGAAATACTTTTTAAGCTTTCAAACCTTAATTCTAATCTCGCACTAACCCTGGGTTATCTTAACCCAGCTTTGAACAACTCGGCCCTGAGTACTAAAGTATGTTTATGTGTATTGATTGTGGTTGTTGGTGTTGCTTTTAGATGGGTGGCCAGTTCCAAAGTGTGTTGAAGGCATTGAGATTGTTTGATTATAACAGAGATGGCCAAATACAAAAGCATGAGTTGCGTCGTGTCATAGAGAACTTTTGTTTCAGACTGACGGATGAACAGTTTAACAAGTAAATATATTTTCTAGTCGTTTTTTCTTATGCCATTCCCTGTAAAAATGAGTAGGGGCTATGTTCACTGTACTTCAAAATGATATATAAAGTCTTTGATCAAATTAGAAATAAACCAACCAGCATACTATTCTGAATTCTGCAAACTGAATGGCTTTTAATACCTTAATTGTACATACTCAAAAAAGTACTTGTTTTTAATTTTCTAAGAGACAAATAGTCAACTTATTTTGCACTTAACTCACCTTGTTGACTATTGGCTAGTAGAAAACTCATGAAAACTCATTTCATGGCCTAATGTTTTTAAATAGAAAGTTGCACTTAAACTTAAGAAAGATAAGTAATAAGAAGTGTAAGTGAGAATAATTTTGATTGTCTAGTGCATGAAATGAATTGACAACTTTTTCTAATGCCAAGTTGGACTCAATTCAAGCCAAACTGTTTATGTAACCTGGCTTATTAAATAGAGGTTATCTATGCTGGGCCGTAAAACATCATCTGAGAAACAATGAACTGCCTTGCACACATTTTGCTGAGTACAGACCCTTATATTTGGTCATTTAATAGTTTTGGGATAAAGGACTTTATAAAATGGGAGTCCAACAATTACGAGTTCTTTGTGATTTGAGTCCTTACCGGCCATTTTACAGACATGTCAACAAAAATTGAAACTTGCTCTAGCTGACCAATCACCATGATTTGTGAATTATTATGATGGCACCAAACCAATGTTTTTATTTTATTATTGAATTTTATTTTCTTGACTATTATAAAAAACCATTGCTTATAAGAAGTTAAAACACTTTTTTAAATTTATCTATAGATTGTGGTGTAAATATGACATGACGCGTAATGGTCATACCCTGGAGTATATGGATTTTCTTAAACGACTTGGAGTAAATGCAAAACCCAAAAGTCAAATAAAGAAAGCAGGTAGGTGACAGGTTCAGTTGTATCTTTGTACAAATGTAGCTTGCTTCCATAGTGTTATACTCTCTAAAATACAGTGTATGTAGTACACTGGTGTGTATTAAAAAGCCATAAGAGTAATTCCATGGTATTGGACTTGGTCGAGAAATCAACCCTCATGGTATGGGTGACTATTGGGGAAACTTTAACTATTTCAATATTATTGTGTTGCAATGAACCACATGGATATTGCGATAGTAAATGTGATAGTGGAGTTACTATTGCTATTGCTATTGAAACTATCAAAACTATCAATAGTTTACTACACTATCGCGATTGTTATCAGTGTTTCATTTTTGCTATCGATCCATTGCAATCGCAGCGTTAATATCGTGATCAATCAATAGCTTGATGTATTTTAACAGCCTTACCTCATGGACAATTTTTCAACTCTCAGAAAGTGCCTTGTCTACGAAATTTGTTGAACAGGAACTAGTTTAACTATTGCTAAACGTGTAATCAGACTGCACTCGCGCAAAGCTATTCTACACGTGTTAGGACTTCTGCATAATAATCAAGCATACACGAATGCTATCCAGTTTATTCAAACCTCAACTAGTTTACCAACTTTGACACTTGATAGTTTTGATTCTTGATAATAATGTTAGAAATATCAGAATGTTGAATAACGTTACTTTTAATTGCATCAAGTTCAGTGTTGTGATCATTATTGTGTTGATTGTGTTTCCACTCTTGACCAACTTTTACTAATTAAATTTATCTATTTGTCATGATAGCAATCATGTTAGTCTTAATATTAATGTCTACTTTTGCAACTTTCTTTTTTAAAACTTTTGCTGTGCCATATGTGGAGGCAGCTTGCCCCGAGTTCAAGACCCGCTCTGACCGCTAGCTGGATTTGTTCATGGTAGTCCCGAATTCAAATCCTTGGCCATGCTTGTAAATAAATAGCTAACTGCTTTGCCTGTGACCAGTTGGGATTCTTAACCCTGTTATTTTGAATTAGATTACTTGTTTCAGACATTTTCTCGGCCTACTAGGATTAGTGCTATAAATTTATACTGCCAAGGGTAAATAATGGAATTATTATTATTATTATTATTATTTCCATTGCTTCGAAAATCGCTTGCAAAGAAAATTCCTTGTTTCCTTTCATGATCTTGGCATGCCTGTACTTAAGGGCCTGGGAGAGAGAAGTTTTTCTCTTCTCTCTCCAAATCCCTTAGGTTTATTCATGCCTCTGTTTACCACATGTGAGAAAATGAGTATAATAATATTATTGTTAAAAAAATTTCAATAAGTTTATTTTTCAAAAAACAATTTTGGTCATTTTTTGTATAACAGCAATATTATGATAATGGGTAATGATACTGCAATGTAAACGGTATAGTTTAACTGGTGCAGGTAGATGTCAAATATTTACCATATTATGCTATAAAATATTTATACTGTTTGTGTTGAGTCACAAGGGATAATAGCACCATTATCTAAAATTATCTAATGCAGTTAAAACTAATTATAATTTTAATCTTCAGTGTTTGAACTTCTCACACTTAACAAAATAAGTGCCATGATTTGAAGAAAGTGGAAGGGCTTTAATTACCATAAGCTTTTAGGACTAGTTGAGATTGAATGTAGAAAAGAGTTATTGCTGTGGTTCAAAATTTAATCAGTTTCCTGCTTAAGTTGAGAAGGTAATTAAATATTAACTTTTTACTTGTCACAAATTATTGTAACAAAACACCATAGCAACATTGCTACCACTCCAGTAACTTCCTCAAGCGACAAACATCTGCCTTCAAATGATTGAAGACATAAAAGTCTAAACTACTTTCTGCATCGTTTTCTGAATTGATCCATTAGAGTTTGTGATCAAAATGTTTTTGGCCATGGATGTTCCATTCAAACTTGGAGCACAGCTGAAAAGACCAAATCAGGGCTATGCTGTTGATAATTTAAAAAATAGTTTTTCATTTTACAAACCAACGGAGAAGCATAGTTTACAAACAAAAAGTCGAAAAAGGTCTTTGACTTTCCCAGTCATAACAAGAAAAATGCCTCTTGGCCAAATGTTATTGCAAGACCATGTTGGTGAAGGGAAACTATTTGCCTACTCATTGGAAGGAAAGAAATTGACTTATGAAAAAAACAGGAAAACTCCGAAGACAATTTACAAACTTCACAAGAGACCACAGAGTATGCTTTTAGTAGAGTCATTATATTAATGATTTTGTACAAAATGTATTTTTTTGTATTGACTACTTCATTGTCAGTTGAGTATTTTGGTATTACCGAAACTGAATTATTTTTCATTGTTTGCAGAAGTTATTGCAGAAACATTGTTAGGTGTATTCTTGTGGATCCACTATCAAAGATTATTATACTGCACTTTTGTCAAGTTTCCAAACATTGGAAGAATTAAGGCTGGTTTGCCAAAAATAACCTAAAAGGATGTTTGAAGATATTTTTGTGTAACCAAAATTAAATGCCAAGGCATAGCTTGTAATTTAAGTCACCTTTAATAATATTGTTTTGTTTGCCAAAACCTAGTTGAGGATCAGCATCTAGTGAAGCTTGCAGCAGTAAACAGCAGACCACGATCAAGTCATACCGCCAAGCAATCTCCCCCAGTGCTCACAATAACAGACTTGGAACAGAAACTCAGAAAGAAGGTTCACTGGTTAAGTTTAGTTGTTGACCCTTTTAGTTCCTATAGTAACAAAAATTAACTTCCTCCAAACAAAATTCAAAGCATAATCAAGTAGAAAGGTTATGGGAATTAAAGGTAATATTCAGTAGTAAAATGCTTTGATCTTTTAACAGTTGTTTAATCCAACTTTTCTTTATGTACAACCTGTATGGAGATCAGTGTGGAGAATTTGTATGTAGTAGTAGTTGTAGTTTGTTTACCCACAAAGCAATTAGGAGTTCTTGAGAACTCATCTAAACATGTCCATGTGCCCAAATAGAAAGCACTCTTATACTCAGCTTTCACAATTCTAACAATTCTTTTCTCTCGCCTCAGATGCTTGAAAACCATGGCAACATAAGCCGTGCATTTGTGGCATTTGACAAGCGTGGTGATGGCTTTGTCACCCTGGATGAACTCAAACGAGTTCTCTTTAACTTTGCCTTTCCAGTGTCAGACAAATTGTTTTTGGAGCTTATGGACAGGTAATGGAGAAAAACTTTCATTAGTTTACATTAGTTCAGTTCAGTTTCTTCACACTTATTCAAGTCAGATCTGTGCTCAGGCCACTCCAATATCCCCTCGCTACTTTAATACTTTGATCTAAGTGCAACCAAAAGATAGATTTCGCACTAAACTGATATACTAGACACCCTGGATTTATAGCTTCAAAGCTTAAACTGGGCTTTTTTGAACAATCCTTAGAGCCCTGGCATGTGGCTGTGTAGTCATAATACTTCAATCTTTTTATTGCTGCTCTTTTCTTAAGTGTTTATGTTTTGTAAGATCATACACTCAAGTTGGCAGTTAGGGCTTCTTCCATTGCACCTTGCATGCCTGTGGATAAAATTAAATTGCATGTACATGTATTAAACTATTTTATTGCATTTACAGATGTGGGATCCGGGCTAATCACAAAATATCATACCAACAGTTCCTCAGTAAATTCCAAATGCCAGTTAGCAAGGGAAATGGACAGACTATTCCAATCAAACCAAGTCACCAGTATGCTCTTTTGTGACTGTTTTGTGATGTCAGTTAGCTCATTTCAGAAGTAAAAATAATTCGATAATAGCAGGGATGGCAAATAAGATCAAACATACACTGTACATGTGTGTACAAAAGTACTAATCTCTGAACATTTTGGTACATGGGTGATCTTGAGGTATTCTTGGGGTGTTAAAACTTTGCATCTATTTTGTACTACTCTATCATCATTGTCACCGAGTTTATTTTTTTGTCACTAAGTTTGGAATTCAAACACGAGTCTACATATCTTAGCAAGTCTTGGAAACTTTATTTAAGCTGGTTGTTAAGCTCCTTTTATATGTTGGTGCCCATAGTTGTTTGCTTAAATGAATATGCAGTATTTTGTGCTTGGTGATAATATCCTATTGATCAATTGCAATCTTTCCTTGAACACATTGCTAGGTACAACCCGGTACGTGAGGCAGAAGCCATGCCAACAACAGAGGATATTTGGAAGCTTCTTCATGATAAAATTATGAACAGCTTCTCATCTGTCAAGCAAGCATTTCTTGTTTTTGATGATGTAAGTAACTAAAAAATAAATGCATTAACTTTTAAAAATTTATGTTCATTTGAAGTAATGTAAGTTTGATAGTATGGCAGTGTTTATGAACGTATTTTCAGGAAGCTTGATCTCTATGTTTGCATTCTGCCAATGCGTTTTTCAGAAAAATTTCTCTCCCAACTATACCTTTGAGAATACCTTTCAAGTTCATACTTTATTTAAAGAGGTTTGAATACAGTCAGATACTTTCATTCAACTCACCCTCTGAATTTCCTTTAACCCATTCCTGATTTGGCTTTTTCATGGAACCTAACATGCCCTTTGTCACAAAATCTTAGAGTAACTCTCAGCCATATTCAGGGCTCCACATAAAGTTTAAAACAATCTGTTCATAGGAAATGGTTAACTAGTGCCTTAAGGGCTGTGCTCTAGCAGAGCCCAGTGGCCCCAAGGGCCCAACTTTTCCTCTTGAGTGACTCAGAAGTCTTATTTTCTTTTCATACAAATCATATGCTGGGCACCCTAGATTTTACAGGTCAGAACACTGGGCTTCCTTCAATTTTTCTTAGAGCACAGCCTTGGCCTTATTCATGTGTACTGTTGCTTTTGCTCCATAGCCCTTGAAATTTGTTCCCAAATGACGTACACTACAAAGGGAACATGAACTATATTTATCATATCCCTATATTAATTAATTATATTTTAACAACTGTTTGCGTTGTAGAATAGAGATGGGCGTGTCACCAAACGTGATTTTAGACGCGTGTTGGAAAGCTTCTGTTTTCGAATGAGCCAACAGCAGTTTCATGAGCTGATGGCCAAGATTGATCCTTACAACAAAGGTTATGTGTCCTATTTGGAATTCCTGGACAGATTTGAGCAAAGAGAAACAAAGGTAATACATGTGTATAGTTCAGTAGTGTTTAGAAATACCAGACAGTTCAGCTCTATTGAACGAAATATCTTTCCCTACCCTACCGCCTTGAAGATTAATTTTGTCAACCCCACCCCTTAAGTCCAAGGTTAAGGGGAAAACACAGGAAGAACTCAAATTTTGTTTCCTCAGGCCCATTTCGTCTTTGTCAGAGTTCATTTAGTGAGAAGGTGACTTTCCTTGGTCTTATCCCTAAATCGTGGCAAGCGAGCATGACAAGTTACTTGCCCTACAGGAAAATTTCTTACCATAAGCGATTTTGTGTGAGCTTTAAGAATTGAGGAATTCCAAAGCCACAATCCTGGCCAAAAGGTTTTGGGACAACTCTTTTTCACGTGGTTTAGATTGGAATTAGCAGAATTTGCAGCTAACCAGCAATACACACTGATAAACACGGCCTTAACAAGATTTCCTTTATGATTTACTTTATGTTAGCGCTTTTTAAAACATCCAATGTTTATAAATCATTTGCAATGTAGTAGTTATCTCGACAGAAAAGGAAGGACACTTGCTGTGCCAAAATCTAGAGGTTGTAGTAACTTATTATAAAAACCTACTTGATTGCTACTAAAACTGTTTTTGTTGTGTTATGTTTCTAGGATGCCCACCCATGGCTGATATCAGATCACTCACCGAAAAGTGTTTCTCCTCCTGCTGTGATGGCCTGGTCAACTGTAAGTTCCTCGATTGTCTACTGCTGGTTTCTGACAAAAAGTACACAAACCTAACAAAATTGGCAGTATTAAGCAATATCCAAGTTACATGTAGCCTCTTTTTTCAAAATTAGTCCCGGTGCTTATTCTTTCATATGAAAATAAGTTGTCATTCAAATCACATGCAAAAGTAAATTTATTTTCATACGAATGCGTGTGTACCAGACCTCGCTTTGCTGAGGATGCTCAGGACAACTCCCAAATTGGCTGTTGATGGATTTGTACAAGAGGTCATTCCTCTGCATGCAATTTTGATGCCATGGGCCATGGCTACTGAATTACCCTCGGCCTAAGGCCCCGTGCAAACGGACGCAACATTGTTGGCCAACAACTCCCAACATTGTTGGATGTTACGTGTTACGTCCGTTTGCACACCCCTGTTGCGTGTTGTGGCGCAAAGTTTGAAACCGGCCAAACATTTCAGCCAACAACTCCTAACTTTTCTTTTGTTCCGTGATCGCCGAAGCGTAGCGCAACAATGTTGGATCCGTTTGCACAGCTCTTTCAACATTGTTGGGGCCACGCACGCTCAGTACGCATGGTTTATGGGTTGTACCCTTCCCACGATGCACCGCGGGTCCCAACATTGTTGGGAGTTGTTGCATCCGTTTGCACACCACTGCCAACACGCACGCAGCAACTCCCAACATTGTTGGCGCAACAATGTTGGGAGTTGTTGCGTCCGTTTGCGCGCAGTTACAGTAGGGCTAGCACTCAAAGTATCAATTTGATGTATAAATTGTAAAAGCACAAGTCTCTTTAGGAATCAGTGAATAAGAAGTTACTAATGCCAAACTTGCGTGATGTAGATATTTTTTTTCTGGTTTATTTGTAGGTGGAAGACATCTTACGATCCAACATCACAGATAATTGGAAGGCAATAGCATCAGCGTACCTAGGTATTGACGGTGATAGAGATGGCTCCATTTCACGTAACGAACTAAAGCAGCTACTGGAAAGATACTGCCTTCCTGTTTCAGAGGACCACTTTGACCTGTAAGTCCCAATATGCAGGGGTGACGTTTAAGGCCAATTCAGTTTTAGTCTGTTTCAGGCTCCGAGATAGTCGCAGGGTGCAAAGAAAGTCATTTTTACAGCTTGCCATTCGGGCAAGCTGAAGCTAGCATTTACTAGGCCAAACGTCATTAAACTAGGCCCCCCAATTTTTTGATGAGCAGAATTGATTTCACAGTTCTTTTGTAAGTTGAATTTCTCAAAATACTTCACTTGCCCTTCGGGCAAGTTAAGAACATAATTCACTAGCCCGATAGTAAAATCCATTAGCCCCGCGCTATCAGACACTACTTTCTTTGCATGCTGTAGTCGTTTCCGCGAATTGGAGAAAGCGCGAGCATGAACATTAAACGGGAGGGAACTGGGGAGAGGAGGGGCTCCCTTTTTTTTCCCGCCTTCGTTCCCTTTTCCCAGGTCTCGCGTTCAGATTTTCGCGTTCCGTTTACTAACACGTCATCGTTACGATCTGATACCCTGGAACAGGCTAATTCATTGTTTACAGTACTAATAGGCCACTTCCGAGTTCCAAAAACCCTCACTTTCATAATAAGGTTCAACTGCGCAACCTTTGTTGTGAAATTGAGTTTTATTTGCATGAGAATAACAAATCATTTCCATATCAAAGGCTGAGCACCTAACCTCGTTTTGATACAGAGGTCCGGGGGAACTCGGAAATGACGTATTTATTGACTATGTATCGTAATTTATCTTTGCAAGGATGTGGAGTCGCTGTGATGAGAATGCAGATGGTACGATTGATTTTCAAGAATTTCTTAGTAAGCTGGTAAGGGGAACTACATGTAATTTACAGTGTAGTAATCCATAAGGCCGATTACAAGGCACAACTTTGTTGCATGCGACCTTAGCATAAGCCTTGGACACTAGTTCCAAAGATACCTAGATGTCTGGAGTTTAATCGCATCCTCTGGCGATACGCAACTCACTTTGACTCAGAGGTGTTAGTCTTTATCGTAGCAGTCCCGTCCAATACTACTCTTCTACACAACTTTCATACGCGATATAGCTATGACTTGGCTCATCGGTTCAAACCGTTCACGAATTTTATCATATCTTATCTACAGGGCGTAGATATTATTGGGGGAGACATCAATGGGTTGAGCACTCGAATTCACGATGAAAACGAAGCAAAAGTGCAATTCATGAAGCAGGATCAGTCCACGAGGTACGAATCTTATTGAATAATGAGACAGTCAAATTTTGCAAAAAGCTTTTAACAATGGTATCAGTGAAGTACACGTGGTGTTAAAATTTGTTTTACATTTCTTTGCTTAATCCTGGGCTACTTTTTAATGGTTGCAATTTTTCAGATTGGAATTGGCAGAAGAGAGAGCACAAAATCTGACTGGCCAGAAAACAGCCAATGAATGCATGGATATACTCAAGGTATTTATGAATATTTGAATATTTGAAACACTCGACACCGTGTTTCATATCAGATCATCAAGGCATGGGTTGAAAAACCCCCTCAGTTCTGCCTTATTTTCACGGTATATGCATTTACTTTCCAGGAGTACATTGCCCAGCGGTCTCCAGATTTCAGAAAAACGTTTGTAAAATTTGACAGTGATGGAGATGGGAAAATTTCGAGAAAAGAATTCAGAATGGTAGGCATGAATTTGGTTTTAGTCAAGGGAAAAAATAGGTGCAAAGAAGATGATTAGCCTTTTTGGGAAATGTTCGTGTATTTATCTATTTATTTATTTTTAACTTCCGCAGGTGTTGGACAGTCTGGGTCTATACATGAATGACGATCAATTTCGCATTCTAAGCGCGAGGTACACTTTCTTTGCTGTGACTGGTTAATTCTTAGAGCTCGCTGCCTCCTTCACTAGCCTGTTCACAAACTCTGTATTTTCTCGCGTATGAAATGGAAACCGCGGGGGAATATTGACCGCTCGTTCTTGTGTGCTCGCTTCACTCGAGTGCTCGCAAAATTCGGTTTTTAAAAGAAAACAAAACAAAGAAGATAAAGAAAAAAAAAACGCCCGGAGATGAACACGGAGCGCGAGCGGGGGATGATGGGAAATCAAAATAGAGAAAAGAGAAAGTTTTGGCTCTCCCTCCAACCCTGCTTTCCTCAACGATAAACGAATAAGCGATCGCCAGCGGCGGGGGCGAGGCATTATAGCTTGGAATTCAAAAGCTTACAGATTACGACGGCTAATGATTTGTATAACTGTCTATCTTTTCAGGCTGGGATTTCACAAAGGAAAATTGTCTTACATGGAATTCTTGGACAACTTTCAGGATCGACGTTCGTTTGGTGTGGGGGAGAGGGTAACAGAATACCCAAGCCACAGGTACAATGTTTTGCACCGTCTGATCCAACTCCATGTACACTGCTGATAACGCTCAAAAAATTACAAAAATAAGTAAACATTACTCAACTTTACTGATAAGAACAGAACAAACGTGAAACAACAATTTGTGGAATATTCAGTTTAATTATCGTTTGACAGACCTAAACTTGACGGCCACCTTGACGATAGAATCTTAAGTCAAAGACGTGCACTTATGGTTGAGATTTAGTAGAAGAGTCATTTCGAATAAAACTGAATCTTACTCCAGGGTTTTCTTTGATTCCAATGTGTTTTTTAGAGTTTTAAAGTAATACCAAAACATAGTCTAATTTCTTTAGAATTTTAAAGGTGTGATACCTTTAAAGCTTAAGACCACAAGGGAAATTTCGTTGTTTATCGGTCACCGGCACACAACCTTGAGGGTCACATCACTCCAGATCAGTATGTGAAGAAGTAAAGAGACTTTTATCTTTTCCCCTTTTTTCAGGTATAACCTTCCAATTCCTCAGGAGGAGTCCATGAAAGCAAGTGTCGTGGAAGCAAGACTGAGAACCAAACTTAGGGAGAATTTTCAGGTAAAATAAACCGAGAATTTATCGTCATTCAAACTTGCTTTGTTAACTACTCTACAACCGAATCATCTTTTCTTTCGGTAATTTTTTGACTCTGATCACTGTTTTTAGACATGAGCACATGGCGATGTTGACGTTTGTCATCTAAAATGTTCTTTCGTACTTTTGTTATTTTGTTCCGCAGGATTTGCGTGCAGCGTTCCAAAAGATTGACTTTGATCGCAACGGCCTCATAACTCGACCAGAATTCAGACGGATCCTGGACTCATTCATGTTCATGTTATCTGATGAAGACTTTGACAAACTGATGACGAACCTTGGCATACAGAAGGGAGCTAAACTAAACTACAGAGAATTCCTTAAACGGTTTGAACATGTGGAAAAGGTGGAAGAAGGACATCCTTGGTTGTACTCAAATCACAGGTAATGGATATAATTGACGGAAAAACAGATGGATAAAGTAAAGGCGGATTGTTCATCTAAGATTAAGACCTTTCCAGTTTCAAATTAAGACGTATTACATATCTGCCGCGAATTATCCAACGGATAACCCCCTCTCAGACGGATAATCCGTCTCTAGTTTGAAATTACCAGATTCAGGTACGAAAGAGTGTGATACAGTTTTTTCGTTGTCTCCCTTACATGTAGCTTTAACGAAACGCAAGATCTGAACTACATGACTGCAGAACAGGCAGACGAGGTCATCAAAAGAAAAGCTTGGGAACAAAACGAAGATGTAGCTAAAGCCTTCCTGACCTTTGATCGTGATGGGAATGGTATTGTCTCCAAGAAAGAGCTCAGGAAAGTCCTGTATAAATACCAGATACCGCTCAACAAAGAAGAGTTCAATAAACTTTGGAACAAGTATGTTATTAGTTCAGCTTAACCCTTAAAGCTCTAGAGGTGACACAGTCCAATTTCTTTTTATAAATAAATATGATTGTATCATTAAACGAATAAATTATGAGAACAAAGGATATGTCAGATAAAATTTCATGATTTTAGGTCATTTTAAACCAGTTCTTGTAATCAATTCCATAAGAAACAGTTAGAAAAAAATGCTGATGTTAGAGTTAACTAGACTTAAACGCGCTTTGCTGTTTCAACTGCGATGTGTCCTTATGTGGCAGAATTCAGGAAAGTCGGTTAAGGAAGGGGCAAGAAGTTAAGAAAAAGTAGCAAAACAAAATTGTGTAATTGTCAAATGAGAGAACCTGTCGATTGGTTGTATTTAAATAAAGAATAACAAAAGACAGAAAGATAGATGCTGGAATGCTACAATTTGCAATTATTGAATGGTAAAGTGCGCGTGAGACAGCGGGAAGAACACCGGGGAATATTTTCCTTGTCTTCCTTACTGTCTTTTGCCACATCTCACTTGAACATATTGCCAAACTCCCAGGAAAAACTATTCACAATTCAATCAGCAGAATGCGTGTTATAATTCACTTTTGTTGTTGTCTTTTTGTTTCTTCAATTATCACCCTTTTCTTTGTGCAGATATGATACTGATGGTAATGGCTATGTAGATCATAAAGAGTTTCTTGCCAAGTTAGGAGGGGAGCTAGCTCCCGGTGATATACATGGACACAGTACACAGATAGCACAGCAAAGTCAACAGGTTCTAGAGAGCATGTACAGAAACCAACAGGTGTGTACTCATGCTAGCTAGTATTTGTGACGAGTGTGCGCAATTATCGCATAAATTATGCTTAATACCGACCCCTCATTATTACGGACAGTTTTCTTTGTCCCCAGGGGAAGAAAGCACTTACATTTTCTCTGAATTCAATTCTCTTAATTCGGTTTCCGTATTAACGGGGTTTGACTCTGTAATTATTACGCGAACTACTCTAATCCAGTACAGCTAAAACAATTTTTTTATCGAACTACATTTTTGAAGTGCAGCACGCTCTCTTTCCTTTTTTTTTTGAGGATCATTTCTTACCGATGGTTTGGGGTAGTGCTCGAGATAAAGTTGTAGTGTATTAAAGACTAATCGCCTCGTAATTTTTTTCACTTAATAAAGGATATGCACTTGGCTGCAACGTGGAATCAGGCCCAGGCTGCCTCTTTCTTATCCGCTCTTGAGGTCGAGCAACAGTTGAGGTAAGTGGTCCCTTTATTTTCTAGCTACCTATCGCATTATAGGGGAGGGCTGGGGGGGGGGGGGGGGGCAAGGGGGGCGCAGTGGTGGGATCACTTGCCTATCAACAATGTGGCCTGGCGTCGACGCCATATGTGGGTTGAGTTATTTGTTGGTTCTCTCCCTTTCTCCGAGAGGTTTTTCTTCGGTTACTCCGGTTTTCCCCTTTCCTCAAAAACCAACATTCTCAAATTCCAATTCGACCAGGAATCAGACAAAAGGCCACTATGTGGATGTGCTTCCTATAAATCGTTATTTTTGTAGCAAGTATTATACCGACCGATTCATGGGTTCTTAAGACCAAACCGTGAAATTTCTACCATTTATTTTCTCATGTGTCTCGAACTTTCTGTAATACAATACCGTATCCTTAATCCCCTTCGATGTGGTAAGATGCCAACTTCAGCCCTCTTATGTCTTCTCTTAAATTCCAGGGATTCATTACTTCTTTGATTCGCTGTTTTGTCTCTTTTTTGACTGTAGAGATCGTTTTCGAGACGGCTATGAAAGTCTGAGGAAAGCATTTGAGACCGTTGACACCAACAGGGACGGATACATTTCAAGACATGAGCTTCAGAAAGTGTTATTTGACTTCCACTATTTTTTGGATGATGTGCAGCTCAACATACTCCTGGACAGGTCAGTACTGACCACTTTTGCGATTATGATAATTTTCTTGAATTTCTGTCTCCTGAACTCGCAAAATAGGTCAAGTACAGATACCGGTGCATAGAGTATACAAGTCGACATCTTAACTATCCCTGGATTTGCGCTAATCGCCCTTTGAACAACTCGCGAGGAGGACGGGCAGCATGAAAATTGTTCCAAGATTCACTTAACCTTCTTACTTCAAATATTGGTCACCTTGGGTGCCGCGGTTCCGGTTCCGGTCAAGTCTTCCTATTGTCGCGCGCGACAATATTTTTCTCCTGGCCTCAAGGGTCGTAACTTCGCCCTGTGCTCGACTCCTAAACATTCCGCTACGCGCGCCGGAGGAAAAAAAACCTAAGGTTTCTACGGTACAACTGGAACTCTAATGATGCTTGGTCCATGTGCATCAGTTGACAATCCCGTTTTTGTTTCCTGTAGGTGTGGACTATCGCATAAGAGCAAACTGTCCTACGAGAAATTCCTGAGCGCTTTTGAGGATAACAGGCATGCAGGTTATGGCCGCGTTACCCTGGACACGCCAGGTAAAGTCGTCACGCCTGTTGTATTTGAGAGACACGATTCTCTTACCCCAGAAGCAGCCATCAACAGACTAAGAAGCAAGATAAGTGAGAATCCTGAAACCATCCAGAGGGTAAGTGTATTTATGTCCAGGATTGCAAGCTGTGGCAAAAAGTTTCTGCCATATATTGATAGGAATTTTAGCAACAAATACCGTAAAATTCCAAAAATAAGCCCTGGGGCTTATATTTTTCAAAGGCCCTTTTTAAGAGGCTTATTTTTGGAGGGGCCTATATTCGGAGGGGCTTATCTACGGAGGGAAATTTGCGTTTCAAAATCGATTAGGCAAGCCTTATAGTTGGAAAGAAATTAACCGTTTTTGATTTGTTTTACTTTGTATTTGAGAGCAATTTCCAAGTACAAGGCCCCCCGGGGGGCTTATATTTGGGGGGGGGGGGGGGGGGTGTAACGGGGGGGTGTTTGGCGCTGGGGGGTTGGGGGGTGAATAGAGGGGGGGGGTTGCTTTCTGATTTTTTGTGTGTCTGAAACACTTGTTATTGTTGTGTACGAAAGAGACCACTGCAAACTCAATGAGAGGTGGTTAGAGCGGAAAAAGGCAGTCAAGGACGAATGGGTGTGTGAAGTGCCGGTAGTAAGATGGTATATTGCGAATGACAGTGTAGGAGAGTTTTACATGGGGGGGCTTACTTTCAGAATTTGATGGTATGCAAAAGACATTGTATTCAGAAAGATCTATAACAGCGAGACCCTTCTGATGGGGGGTAAATTGGTCTGCCAGCTGCGGGGGGAAGTGTCTGTGCAAAAGGGACGGGACACGCAAAGCCCCCTGGTTGTGCGGGGGGATGGGGGTCTGCTGTTCCATTTTATTCTGTCCAAGGTTGTAGTTAGAGGAGCTAGGTACACTTTCACAACAAACAAAGCATATGCATTCTTTCCGTTTACGTCTAGGCCCAGAAAAGGATGCTCTTGCCTTCGTCGACTTAAACTTGTTATCTTAGTCGAGTGGAAAAGAAAACAAAAGGCAGTAAATGTTATTACGTTCTTTTCCAGGCTTTCGCCGCGTTTGACCGAGATGGAATGGGACTGATATCCAAAGAGGATTTACATCAGATAATCAATGCATTCTGTTTTGTGATGTCTGATAAACAGTTTCAGGTAAAGCATCTTATTTCTCTGTTGTTAAAATTTAACAAGCAAAGAAACAATCACCAAAATACCTTCAAAATTATTTGGTTTATTAAGGGCCCATTTTACAGTTTGTGGAATTTTGCAAGGGGCAAGTCGACAAAGACAAATATCGCTACCTAAATCTTGGTAGCTAGTGAGAGCCAATTATTTGAAAATTCAGAGTTGAAGCGAGTACAGTACCGCTGAAAAGTAAGTTGACACTCGAGGCTCGAAACTCGAGACTCGATCCTCGCGTCTCGAAGCTCGAACGCTTCGAGTTTTGAGATACGTGGATCGAGTCTCTCACAAAGCTGCGCTGCCTTTGTAAGGGACCTTAATTTGAACATTGCGCTTTTGCCTTGTAGTAGTAGTAGTAGTAGTAGTTGTTGTTGTTGTTGTTGTTGTTTTAGTATTATTATTTCGTGTCAAAACTGGTGAAAAAAGATACTTCAACAACTCTATGATTTTAACATACTAAACACTCACGTCTTTTAAATTTGGAGGTGAGATCCACTTTGAGACAAAAATTTTAAAAATCCCAATTTTATTTCTATAAAACATATGCCACATGAAGGTACTGCGCGAAGGGTTTGGAGTTTCGTCCGCAGACTTTGTGTTACATAGCTTATATCTCCTGATTCTAATCAACGTCATGAACTTTGTATTCCTCAGACGCTTATGAAAAAGGTAAACGTGAGTGAAGGAGGTCTGATATCTTATGAAGAGTTTTTCAAGAGCTTTCAAAAATCAGACGCCGAGGTAAGTGGACTACTTGCCAAATATTCTTATATTTCAGATGTTAGGTAAAGATTTTAGAACTTGGAATCACATTGGCGTGGCAAGATGGACACAGCAGAATCTTTTTTATCTTAAGCTGTCACTGTGTTGTTACATTTGTTAGGCCAGTCGCAAATGGCTGGAGAGTTTATACCCTTCCCCTGACAAGCGCCAAAGAACCGCTGAGCATGTTAGCAAGCGACATCGTGGGATGACGGAGGCTGAAGTTGAAAAGAGAGTGCGAGAGGTTGTCGTGGCAAGATTTTATAGTCTTGCAAAGGTAATGTTTCTCTTCTAATTTAAGCTTCATTTCCAGTTAAAGTCCACTCAATGTTACCCACTGTTTGAGCAAAGTTTAACTGACTAACGAGACTGGCTTAAGCATTGATACTGCGCCTTATCGTTTTCACTTCCTGAGGGATGACGCAGTCTTGTTAGGTGGCTCCAACTTCGGAGTCTGTGGACAAAATCTTGTGGTGTCACCATTCAAATGGAAGCTCTTTAGCAGTAATTTCAGATAGTGCTGCATGGTGTTCAGCATTTTTCAAAATAAAATTTGACGCTTTTGTCGAATTTTTGCTTCGGCCACTGTCGGAAGTGAAATGACTTTACAATGTACCCGAGGAAAAGTCTGCTAGTGTAGGAGCTCAATTAAGTGACTTAGTTTAGCTACTGAGTAAATTTGGGATCTTAAGCTTCGGAGCAGTGAAAAGAGTGGTTGTGTTTTCACGGTAACGAACGCTCAAAAAGCAGCGAAAAAGATGGGAGTGCGTTTACAGTCTGAGTGTAACTGCGTCTGTGCATTTAAATCTCGACGATGTTATAGGGCGTGTTATCCTATTTTTGAGCGCCAGGGATTATAGAACCTTCCGTACTTTCAAATGCCCACAGTAATCCATTTATGCTACGTAAATCTAAACCGTCGATCGAAAATCATCATGCTGTTGCTAGGTTTGTTCGGAACTGAAAATGATATTTCGGATAGGTTTGTTCTCCAAAAGTTCACTCGTCAGAAAAGATACTCTGGCATTTGAGTTTATAAGCCACTTGATTTCTGTCTCTCTGCTTTTAGGGCATAATTCGTTAAATGTAACTCGGATTGTTTTATTCTCAGGCTTTCACAGACGAAGACACCCACCACACGGGGACAATCAGCGGTGCGGCTCTGCATGAAATACTCAACGAACATGCATTCCGTATGAGCAGCGATCAATTCAGTTATATTTGGAGTAAACTTCCAAAGAACGCTGAAGGCAAAGTAGATTACAGGGATTTTCTGAAGATTTTCTCCATGCGAACAGATGTTATACGAGTGGCATCCACGACACCCCCTCAGTCACGCGATAGAAGGGTGAGCTCGCCGCTTTCGAATTTTTTACAAGCTTGTGTCTTCTGAAAGATTCCATTCCCCACACCAGTTGAACCCGAAAGGCTTTTTCAGTTCTTAAGCTTTATTTACATTGACAAGTTTGCCTTGATACGTTTTGGTCTTGCCTTGATACTAAGGATGAAAAATTCCATACTTTTCCATTTATACTATCAAGGAAAGTTCTTTTCAAAGAAGCCTACGTAGCCGGTGGTTTTGTTCGGTGAGCGCGCCATTCAGTGGCGAAGCGGCAAAAGCGCCGGCGGGAACGAGCGCCATTCTCTGTCCCATTCTCCCGTCGGCTTTGCTGCTCGGACGCGCTCCCGACCCTAACAAAACCAACAGCTACACAGGCCTTTTCAAAGAATATTGCTATTATAAATGCGGTTTTGAGTTAATACTATTTAAGCGTAAAGCTGGTTACTAAGTCTTCAACCATATGCAATTCATTTTTTGTTTACAAACTTATGGGGTGGTAAGCTTTGTCATCTTTCGACAAGTTGTTATTGTCATAATTTATTTGCGCGCGTTTGTTGCAGATTTCTGAGCCCGCAATGTCGCCAGTACGTTCACCTGCCAGGATTCCATCACCTGAATCACTGACACCGCCTCCTTCAGCAACTGATGTGGAAAGAAAAATTAAAGACGCGGTAGGTCTTGAGTGTAATGTTGTCGATAACGAAAACATTAAAATTATTACTGTAGGAGAAAAGAGGGTTATGACCTCTTTCGATCATCTATGCAGTATTTCACTCTCAATAGGGTCAGACCGAATGATTTTCCGTATACCATACATGTTTGGCATCTTCCAGGTTCTTTTCATGCTACTGAATGACAACCAAAGCACCCAGTTATACTGTCTATTGTACTGTTTGTTCGTTTTTTAGGTTTGTCGTCGTTGGCAGCAGATGCAGAAATCTTTCAGAAACATCGACAGCGGAAACAAAGGAGTCGTTAACTTTGAGCAACTTAGAGGTGTGTTTCGATCTTTTGTTTTGTTTTGCTTGCTTACCTGCTTGTGTTTGTTTGTTTGTTTTTGTTTTCTTTTTTTACCGCTGTTTTAGTCGCATTTTATGGTTCCAAGCTGTGACTGTTTATGTCGAGTTGATGGAAACTAATACTCCATTTGTTTATTTCTGTTTAAGTTATTTTATGGAAGCACGATATTGAGCTCAGCCCAAACGAATTGTTGTCTTTGTGGAGGAAACACAGCAGCGAGGAAAAAGGAGGGTACGTTTTGTGAACCAGCTTAGGTTTTCTAAAACATGAAACAAAAGAAACGAAAACCTCCTTGAAGTTGTGGCTGGTTCGATAGATGCGACAATAGGTCATTTCTGAGTCTCGCGAGGCCTCTGTTTCAAAGCGAGACTAAGTGCGAAACCATTGATATGAAAACGACTTCTTTCTCGTGCAAATGTTAATGAGACTCGTTATCTAAAGAACGTTTTTGCATTTAGCCTCGTTTTGAAAGTGAGGGTTTTTGGAACTAGGAAATGGCCTTTTTATATTTTGGATATGTCCTTCTGTCCTCCCACCCTGCGTAGTCGGGGGAGCGAGGGGGAGCATGTTTCAATTTTTTAATACATGGCTACAAAGTGGCAAACAGAACATGAAAACTTGAAGAAGTCTTAACTTATGATAGTTTGATGCTGGTTGTACTTTTGTTTCATCGATATTCCGAGAACTTGAAGAAGGGGGGACTTGTGTTATACCTTGTTGAAGTGACGCTTTAAGGCGTATAGATCAGTAATTTTCTTTGTTAAGACTATTGGCGAATGTGCCAGACATTAATCGAGTATTGTCTCTTTTTTCAGAATCGAATACAAAGATTTTATGCGACATTTTGTGTTGAACCTTAAGTCACAAGATAGCAATTCTCTCGCTAGACCCAAGCTACAAAACACCCGAATTCCGGTGAGTGTTACTAAGGGCAAAACGACGATCATTTAAAGTGTGGTCCAGCCTTCCTCATAAGCACCCAGTCAAATGACTGCATGGTGTAGCAATGCCATTCCTAATCTTCTGAAAGGCTGCCCAGAGATAAGCCAGTTGCTATTAAAATCCCTTTTGTTTCAATCCTGCTTGTGTTAATTTTTCATGTTGAGTCAGACCAACCTAATACGTACAGCAAAGAAACAGAGTCAAGTGTCCCCTTTACAAAGGTGTTCCTATTATGCGATGTGGGAATTATACAGTGAAATCTAGTGTCTTTGGGACCAATAGAATTGTCCGTAATGAGAGATACCCCGTTATGAGAGGTTTGACTATTTTCGGATTTCGAGTCGGATTGGACACAATAGTAATATACAAACAAAATTTCCAGCAAACTGCATACAACTCGTACTTTTTCGTTGATCTTTATGGACTAGCACACTCCTAATTTATCCAGGCTGCGCAACTCTTTACATCAAATCAAGTTGTATTCCTATCAACAGAACCCGTTACACTACATACGATACAGTACGGCAGCACACAGCATTCTGTCGTTCTGTAAAACTGATTAGTTGTATTTGTTTTCAGACAAGCCCAGGAGTAAGGACTGATAGGTTCATAGAACTCATGGCTACAATCCGTGCCTCGGTACGGCGCGACTGGAAGGAAATGAGAAGAGCTTTCAGGGTAAGATTCTTACAAATGATCTTAAACCTAATTCTGTCTCTAATTCTTTTCCGATCTGATAACCCTAACCAGTAATAAACCCTTTGAATGATTATTTTGCTTGTGGGATACACTAAAAATTCGCATTAAAGAATCTTTAATTTCCTGCGACGAAGACTGAAATGGTTCGTATACATTTAAGGAGTATTGAGAGCTGAACAAACTTTATACAGTGCACATTGCGTTCATTCTCACCACAGTGCAGTAGCTGAAAAGTATCTCTATAAATGTACACTTCCAAATTTCGAACTGGAAAGCACCAACTTCTCCAACAAATGCGTCCGAGCTCCTAAGTATTTGTTGGGTAAATAAATGATATTTTCATCTCATCGCAACTATATTACATAACTTAGTCATTGTAAGATACACTTCCGTGTAGCCTGAAAGGTGGTTATATTCGCTCGCTAACTTGTCTTGCGTTTGCACCAGAGTTTTCTTAAGCTTCAGTATTTCTTTTTCGTTGTTTTGGGGTTTTTGTACTTAAAATCTTTTTCATTCGTTATTTGAATTAGCTCTTATGTGAGGTGCTAACTTGGTCAAATTCTTTTGTCTGTAACTGTTGGTACAATGCTTGGGGGACAGATTTGTTTGATATGAGGCAGTGATTTTGCATTTGCAAGTAATTTCTTTGCTTGTGCTAACTTTGAATAAAGATGTGTAATTGAATTGGCAATATTACTGCGCTTTTCAAAAACACGCGAACTCTGAAGTTCAAAAGCCAACTGACATTTGCGTTTTTCACTGCCGTCAATCATCTTGGTGGACCTCTTAGGAAACAGAACTTTACTTAAACGGATTCAAAAGGTCATGTTTTGTGATCTGTGATTGATGGATTTCGATCCGTTTCGTGTGTTTCTGTGTTTGAAGGTTCGTTGCTTGTGATCGTAATTATGATTGACGGTAGCGAAAAACGCAATTGTGAAGGAGGCTTTTGAGCTTTAGGGCTGCGTTCCTTTGGGATGATCCGGATCAGGATCAGTGATCTGAGATCACTCGAATCATGGCAGGCCAAATGACCCTATGAATCCACTCTGGACAAAGATTTATCGGTTCATTTGATCTACCATGATCCGAATGATCTTGGATCACTGATCCTGATCCGGATCATCCCAAAAGAACGCACCCTTAGAATTCGCGTGTTTGTGAAAAGCGCAGTAACAAAATGAACTAGACAGCCGTGACACAGCTCCTTCAAAAATATTAAGCTGATTTAGCAACAGAACGGGAACGGCAGTTGACGACGGGAAAGCGAGCGGAAAGGACTAAACACGACTACCGGTGCTCAATTTGCCGCTCTGCCATTGATCAAGGCAGTTGTTTGATTTGCGCGCACCGTCGTCAACTGACGTTCCCGTTCTGTTGCTAAATCAGCCTATTACAAAGGAGTTTAAGCAGCGACTTTTTTGAGCGACGCACGTCGACCGGAAGTGGACTTTTTACACTCTTGAGCCACGAATTTGAACAAATTTTTGGGCAAATCGTCTCTTTGAGAGTAAAGACACTTGGGCCCGGTTCAGACGCCGAACTTTTTATAAGCCCAACCTGATGTATTGAATTAAGTTCACGAAAAGTTCGGCGTCTGAATCAATTAGGCACGCCTGTTTCAATTTGGAACGGCTCCGCAGCCGTTCTTTTCGCCTAGCCTGGCCGGGAATTTCGCCTTTGGAGCGACTTTGGAACGGCTTTGATTCAAACGCCAAACTTTTCAGGTACCGATATTTTATAAGCAGTTTGACCGAAATGAGCGTTTTCCGCCTTTTGAATTTTGTTCAGCTGCAATTAAGATCGACGTTTGAATCAATTGAGCCGGTCTAAATAGTTTGGGTCGGCCTTAATTCGAATTAGGTTCGGCTCATGAAAAGTTTGGCGTCTGAACTGGACTTTAGGATTACAGATTTGGTAGCGTCAAGGCATTTAAAAAGAGAAAAAGGTTCACTTCCAGTTGGCATACGTCAATCAAAACGTGGCTACTTAAACTCCCTAATTTGGCTTTTGTGATTTTGACCAGTGATTTACGTAGTGTGATTATTCCTTCTCTTCTTATTTCCAGGGTTTGGATAAAAGTGGTTGTGGTACTTGCTCTCTTCTTGAGTTCAGAGAGATGATGAGAAAATTCAAGATTGAGTTAAGCGAGGAAGAGTTCTTCCATCTGTTCTCGTTTTACGACAAAAACATGACGGGCAAGATTTCTTACAACGATTTCCTTCGAGCACATTTAGAATAAGCAGGCACGATGTTAGAAGGTTGAGACCTCAAGGAAGGTTCGGTAGAAGCGCATCTACCATCTGTGTTACCTTGCTTAAACCAAGGGATTTCACGTAATGATTTCTCTTTGCTATTCTAAATCGTTGTATATGTCGAAGTCTTAAATAATTGAATTGTAAAGATTGATTTGATGAGATCGATCACTGTAAAGAGACATGTAAATCTCTTTGACTATTTGTTTATTAAAAAAAATGAAACGAATGAAAGGAAAGATGTGTTTGATGTAGCTCACTTGGTTCCTGGCTCTCATGACAAATTCCCTGGAGCTTGAGCCCAGCCCCTGTGATCATCATTATATTTTAAACATCGCATAAATCAGTACAGTGGATAAATCTCTTATCAGAAAGATGGCTAGTGATAACTGTGATAGAGCGATTTTCGTATGACCTCGAAATGAAAACGCGCTAACAAAACAGGAACAACAAACGAACGGAAATAGAGCGATTTGATTGGTTTATCGAACAGATACAAACGCACGCGGCTTTTGGTTGGTTGTAGAAATCAACCGATGCTTCGCTTTGACGTCATACTGCGACGTGACTGGCCAATCGAACAATGCCTTTTCACGTTAGGGTTTTCTTTGGCGGGAAAACGAAAAGGCCATGTTTTGACCTATTCATCCATTGGCTGATGAAACAAATAAGAAACACTTACCGAAACCATTTTTCAAGGTCATACGAAAATCGCTCTAACTAGTTTTGTTCAGAGAAGTGTCATCCGTGTGTTCATGTCTATAAGCTTAAAGGACAAGTCTAGGACCCTCTTCATTCTGTCAGATACCTTGGTGTCTACCTATCCGACGACCTCCCCTGGAACGAACATATTAAAACCATCTCCAACAAAGCTAACAAAACTCTTGGCTTTCTAAACCGGAACTTTATGTAATAATATCACATTGCCCACCCAGGACTAAGGAAACAGCATACAAGGCCCTAGTATAGTACGCCCAACTCTGGAATACTGTTCATCTGTGTGGGATCCATATGCAACTAAAAGCACAAACACGGTTGAGATGGTCCAAAGGAGAGCTACACGCTGGGTTTCTAAATCGCTTCGACAGCAAAGATAGTGTAACCGAAATGCTTTCAACCCTGAAAGAAAGTAGGCGAACCATAGCACGCTTATCTCTGCTGTATAAAATGTAACACAGGCTAGTCTCTCACAAAGGCGCCAATCTACAATCCGCTGGCAATTCGTACTCAACTCGTCCCATAGAGTACTCTTACACACAGCCGAAGCCATTAGGAATTACTACAAGCATTCCTTTTACCCAAGGACAATTACAGAGTGGAACAAACTCCCAAGGGATATAGCATTGTCCAATTCGCCGGCTGCTTTTGAAAAATGCAATTTCAAACATTTATTGACACTTTTATTACTTTGCGCTCATAAGCGCCATTTTTGTCACTTTTGTTTACCTTTGTTGGTTGGTTTGTTTTTTTTTTCTAGAGCGGTCTAAAATGCTCAGTATTGAGTGAAAGACCTAAATGGTGAATAAATAAATAAATTTCAGTAGTGCGCTTGGGCCGTATCCAAGAAATGAAGCGGTCAGAAAGAGACAAGAAAAAGATGATGACGGTGATGAAGGTGATAATGATGAACAAGAAGAAGAAGTAACACCAACGAACAAGAAGAACAACCGTTAAAGCAACAACAAAACAAGACGAAGAACAGAACAAGTACAACAGCAGGAAGAACAAGAAGTAGGTGAAGATAGAGAACTTAAGAGCGAGAACATGAAGCAGTGATAATGATGATGATGATGGTGAAGAAGAAGAGGAAGAAAAATAAGATGAAGGAAGAACATGAGCAAGAAAAAGAAAGAAGAAGAGCAACAACGACAAGAAGAAGAAGCAAGAATGAGGAAAGGAAGAACAAAAACAATAACGAGAAGGACAAGAACAAGGAAAAGAATATAAGAACGAAACAAGAACATCAAGAAGAAAGCAACAAAAAGGAGAAGTAGATGAAGATGACGAAGAACAAGAGCAGGAAAAAGATGATGAAGCAGAAGAACAAGAACAATAACAACAATAAAACAATAACAAAAACAGCAAGAACAAAAAGAAAGACAAAGAACAAAACAGAAACAACTACGAGGAGGACAAAACGAGAAGAAAAAGAATAAAACAAGAACAAGAGGAACCAAAAAAAACAAGAACATCAAGAAGTAGATGAAGCTGAAAGAGCAAGGTCAAAAGCGAGAGGATGACGATGATAAAGGACAAGAACAAGAATAAATTAAGAACAACAGCAAGAAGAAGAACGACAATAAGAACAACATCAGCAAGACGAAGAACAAAACAACAACACCAACAAGAAAAACAACAAGAACAGCAGGAACAACATTTTAATGTAGAATAACATTTTAGAATATACTAGGGTCAAGGATACCTGTATAATAGCTTATTGAGCTAAGCATAAACTCCACATTACATAAAGCACTTAGCCTATGTTTATCTTATCTTAAGATGGTAAATCAATATATAACCTAAATAATACGGTCCAGTCCAGAGAATACTCCCATGAGGCACGCCACTTTTGGTTAGGGGATTTGACAATGCAATGCTGACCGCCTGGGTTCTATTGTGCAAATAATTTGAAAACCAATTTAGAGAGTTCCGCTTTATGCCACATCTCTCTGACTTTTTGATAAGTGCCTCATTTGGCACAGAATCGAAGGACTTTCTTAGGTCGATAAACACAGCTCCCAAGAACTTTATGAGGGTCAATGCCTCGATAGAATCGCAAAAGAACATTACCGCGGTGAGTGTGGAGTGGTGCTGCCTGAAACCAACTAAAAGGGACTTAATAAATCGCTGTGCTTTAGATAGTGTTGAAGGTGACGTTCACCACCTCAGAAATTCTGGATACAACTGGAAGTATTAATCGGTCGATAGGTATCCATGATTGCCTGTCCACCACACTTGTACAACGGCACCACCTTTGCTTTCTTCCACTATCAGACGCTTAGCCAGTCGACAAAGAGAAATAAACCATGTGCCTTACCGAGGAAACTTTAACGCTGGCATCGTCGTTTCATTTCAAAAGACTAGCTGGTGTGTTGTCCAGACCGGTGGAGCCACCGACCTTTTAACTGACAAGAACGCTCTTAATGTCGGCGTTAAGTCTCGCTTGCTTAGAGATTAGATACGAAATGAGGAGGCGATTAACTCTGGACGCAACAGGATTTACTCACTGAAGGTTTTTCATTTCCTACTTCATCGACGGTCGAGTATTCTTCAGGATATTTACTTTTTATATCGTATTCGACGATTTTTTTTCTGAATTGATTTAGTAGGCGTGTTAGCGGCGACTGGAGATACGTCTGCGGTCGCAGGCTATACGTCTGTACAATAAAACGAAAATTCAACAGCCTCGACTCGAGAGAAATGACATCGTGATGAGAACATGGCACGTCATTTTAATCATCGCCGAAAATAAACCGCATGCTCCTCAAAAGACTCATTTGCAACAATAAAAGTTTACAACAATCGACCAGCTGGCCTTTGCTAATTAAGATTCTTCTTTTATTTTTTTTCGACCACTGAAGTGTTCACGTGTTCCAATGTTATCAACTCTTTCAAGCGACAGAATTTCGTGGACCGATCCGTTCTGGAAAAGCTCATTTATTAATCTTTCCTAAGTTTTCTTCTCAAAACATGCGTGGCTTCGGTCGCGCAACGGTTCTTATTCCCAGTTTCCACGGTCTCCGCTAGGAACACCTGGCACCCCAACACCCTTTTGTGTCCTAAATACGAGGAAGAACGGCTTACAGATTATGAGTCTTGCTCCTTACGCAAGCGATACTAAAAAGCGCGCGAACGCTAACTATTCTGCGTGATAGGCGTTCGGAAGGGAAGATAAAGGGGGAATTCGGGCGCCCAAAAACTCAAGGGGCGTGTTAGTATGCTCGAATGCCTCTTTCCCCGCCTCTTCCTCTTCGAACGCCTGCCACGTAAGGTCTCACAAGCTACGTTTTTGGCGCGACTACAACAGCTCAGTTGTACAATGAGGTGCAATCCATTTTCTAACAATATTTTTAGAGCTACACTGATCGATTCGTGCGAACTCGCTTCAATACTTACAAGAACGCGAAATTCTAAAAAGTGTTCCGAAAAACTACATGCTGATTACATATTGTGCAGTTACTCTGTGTCACTTTCGAAGAACAACTTGACATTGTTAAGCTTAAAATCTCGCAACGTCAAACGTCAGCCTGAAACGTAAATGAAAACGCTGTTAAGGATCCACTGTGATACAAGCACTGATAATAGCGTAAAACGTTTAACATTCTGCTTGGCCAGGACATTTTTTTTTTAATGAGTGTAAATGGTTCAGATCTTGAAGTAGTGTTATGCTGAATAAATTTGTGATGCGTAAATTTGTCTAAAAAATATGAAGACCTCCTTGTTTTTCTGGCATGCTAAAATGGTACAGCGTAAAATTCTCGCTTTTATCCGCCTTTTGGCGTTAGTAGTATTGTTGGAACCGTTCACTTCCACGCAGGCGTCGGTTTGCTGTGTGCATTGTACAATGTTGCAAGGAAAAATCTCCTTGAGGACGATTTTTGATCTAAAATTAATAATAGCAAAGTAATCAGAAATGTTTTTGTAAACGAGTCAACCAAGGCAAACTCGAATTCACGGTGCAATTCAAACTCAATCAAACAGGTACGCAAACACACATCTGATATGGAGCTACAATTCGACTCGAAATTGAAGTAGGATTCAAACTGAAACCCAAACTTGAACTGGGACTGGAAGTTCAAGCCCGGAAAATACAATTGAGACTTAGAGTAATCAATTTAATCGCTATCTCTAACATACCATTCGTGTTATTTTGACCAACATCCATTTTTTTTAATGACATAAAATGATACATTTTACGGAGAAGAGTACGACGGATTAACGTACTTTCAGGTTGAAATGTTTAAATGAAAATAAAGAAAACTGCCTTAAGTTAAATGCGAAATGAAGCAGATTCCTTACCTAAAGGAATGTACTTATTTATCCATTGCTTTCTGCGCCAAACTCTCACTGGCAAAAAATATGAAGATCTCTGTTTGCGTCTCTTGATGGCATTTAGGTTCCTTGAGGTCCACCTCGTGACAATGGCAATTCTCAATCAACACACTGTTTTCCAGTCCTTGAAAACGCACCTCAGCATTACCATTATTTTTTGCTGTGCTGAGAACTTCCTGCAGATCTACATCTTCGTCATGCAGCTCATCACATGGAACGCTCGTTTCAGTCAAATGGTCCAGGTGCATTTCTCCACTCAGATCAGAAAGAGGAAGAAGCATTGCCAGGCAACACGAAATGGACAGACGGGGATCTCTGATCCACGTTTTAAGGTACTGAAACACGTGTACGGCATATTGAACTTAAAGAAATAAAAGAAAAAAAGATACTTCTGATTGTAGCAACTTTGAATTGTCAAGTGTGTGATTTTACAGTAATTAAATTTGCACTCTCTACGTAGAGAACATGAAAAATGATGAAATCTAATAACTTGGATATTACCTGGTAATCAAGAAACTTTCTTTGTCAGCGATTTTTCAAAATACAATGATTCAAAAAGAAACGTAGCTCAAAAAGCGATTGAGGATGCGTTAAAAAATTTTTACAATTCTTCAAAAGATTTTTTTAGAGATTCTATTGAAAAAAATTGTTCGAACTCACCACCAACAAGGCCGATTACCAAGGTATTTGCTCCCACTACAAGGATCTTGAATAAAACGGTATCCATATGCGAATCTACCGAGGCTGAAATGTTCTCTGCTGGTATTCTACTCACAGCTCCAATACCCAGGTTGACACAAGTAACAGCAAGGGACGTCACCATTAGTATGTTTTCTGTAGAGTCTTGAATGGGACTCGTCCATGCAAATAGAACTCCATACATGCCAGCGACAACCCAAGCTAAGCCAATGTAGGATCTAGTCTGTTTTCCAACGACAATCATGACCGACGTAATAATAACTTTGCGAGACATTTCAACAATTTCCCAATACCAATTTTGAGGTTTGTAGTTTTCAAACAGAAAACTGAGTCCTGTTACGATTTCGTTCTTTGGTCTTCTTGAATCCAGGGTTGTTTTACTGTCTCTGGTGGCAAATATGATCGTTTTCAGTCTCCAAAGGGCGATGAATGAAAAGGTAGGGAGACAAAGCACGTAGACAGTAGCAATGTACGCTACAATAACCAAATGGTTGTACCGCGGCTCATGGCATTTCACGCTGTAATCTGTTTTTAAGTAATCGGAACATTGCTCTTCTTTTTCGTTCAAGCAAATCTTCTGGCAGGCAAGTGGAAACACGCTGGCTGTCTTAACACAAGTGCTTAGGTACGTTACGTACAAAAAGAAAAATAGATTCCTGTAAGCGAACTGCTTCGTCTCGGAAATTGCGTCGGCCTTCTCTTGTTCGCTTAGGATTTGCTTTCTTGCGATGACTGCCTTGCGCAGCCCGTAGCCAACACCGCAGAAAAAGATAACTAAGGCATTTATTGTCATAATTGCAATTAAATTGGCAAATGCGTCAACTTGTAGACCATGAAAAAGACAATGTATAGGCGCAACTTGAAGGATATTCAACTGCAGTATTTCAGAATATTTCGCAATAGCTTGCAGGGAATCTGGCCATTCTATAAAGGAGAACGCTTCCAAAAGACCATAGGTCACTTGATAAAATCCTATAATGATCTTAAGTTTGGATAAAAGTTTGTCAATAACAGCAAGCCCCTTGGCCTTCTTTCGGTTCGATTTGCTCGTCCAGAACGACACAGTTAAAATCGCTACCAAAACGACTGCAATGATTAAAAACTGTCCTAATAACCACGTCTTTGATGAGCATCTTTCACATGTTTGTAATTCCATGTAGTATCCCATACTGCATACTCCACATAATGGACCCTCATATCCAATCTCACACGGAGATTCTAAACCACCTTTGCAAGATTCTTGCTTTGGGCATTTATGTGGTGTGGGAATTGGATAGGGGTACTGAGTGGAGAAAGCATCTGAAGCTGGCAAAGACGAAGAGAGATAGTGCGAAAAGTTTCTGTACCGATTCTTATATATCTCACTTTGCCATTCCCACCAGTAACCAGGTTTTAAAGTGGCATGATCATCTTTGCACTCGAGTCCTCCGTGCAAGTCACACTTGTGACACTTTTCCAACATATGGGTGCGGTGGAATCCATGCAAACATTTGCAAGCGCGATATCCAGCAAAGTCGTCTGTGTTTGTTCCTGATCAGATGTGAAATAAGATTTGAGAGTATTAAGACAATCTGTAAAACAGACTCACGATTTTTCCTACTTCTTTTCGCCTGGTCAACGACTATTTTAAAAGTCTCCGTATGATCCCGCCATCCACACTAATAACAGGCTTTGCATTGCAAAGTCTGTCATTTACAAATTAGATAGCGTTTCCTTATAACTTGCGATCGTATTAGTGTAGAAGCAAGGTCAAAAGGCATTAAAATATATTCAAAGCACCTCATGATTTTATTGCGGGCGACAAGAGGAGCCCGCAATCCTAATCTACAGGTTGTTATTACGCATGCGTCGCATGTATGTAGCATTCGTTTGGACTTCCACTAAGTATGAATGGAATGGACAGAACCCGATTTGATCCCACGCGTTTGGACCGTCTATCACTCGTAATCTGATCACGCGTGTTTTGACTATCTCTCACTTGAAACTTACGCAGAGCACAGCTATGAACCTTCGATCGTTGTCTCCCGCACTCTGTAACCTTTGGTTATTGCTAATTGTAAGATGATAAGCGAATTACCTTGAGGACAAGCCTTGCAGTCTTCAGCTCTTTTGCCTGGCGTCTTCTCGAGCGAAACAAAGGAACCATTAGGACATTTTTTACAACTTGTCGCAACGTACCCAACTTTGTCGGAATAAAATCCTCCTAAAACGACAATAAGGGATGAAAAAATTACCTTCTGACCACAATGGATCTTGTGGCACTTGCAGCTTCACTCAAAAATTCTGATTAATTGAGTGGGTGCTCATTTGTCAATAGGTCATTTTACAGTTGTGTGGTTAGTGCCCTGGCCTTTGAATTGAAGCGAGGCTGGAAGTGGCCTTGTTAAGATACAAGCTGTCTTGCTTTTCATGTACAAATCGTGTTAT